AGACCAGTGTTTCCCAAACTTGGGTCTTCTGTTTTTGGACTACAACACCCATCATCCCTAGCTAGCAAGACCAGTGGTCAGGGATGATGGGAATTGTAGGCTGGGGAAAAAAAACAGCAGGAGACCCAAGTTTGGGAAACACTGGTCTAGACTCAAGTGCATAGTACATAGCAGGGAAAAGTTGTTGGACTCAAACTCCCAGCAGCTCCCGGGCCCATGCAACTGCCCAGTGGTGATGGGAGTTGTAGTTTATTCCAAATCTGGAGGGCTGAACGACTTCCCACCACCACAGAGAGTGGAGTGGGGAACGACCCCAACAGTTGCACCTACTGCTTCTGTTCCCCAAGACAGATTGCAACCATGGCCTGGTTCCCTTTGGGTGGCGTTCAAATTATAAGTTTTTAATCTTTTTTAGGGTTGGTCAGTGGAGACTGAAGGGCCTAACTTGGTACATTTTCATTGATTGAAATGGATCTGCTCGAGTTTTGTTTTTTTAGAATAGTTTAGTGGCACCTTAGGAGGCTGATTAGTAGAGAAAAGTTGTGGGAGGAGGGCTGGTCTAGTGTGTGAAAGGGCTGTTGCGGAGAGAAGGGACTTGTTTGCCCCCTCTTACTTTGAAGAGGAGGGGCTCATGTTTGGAGTGGTGGTGGAAATCCAGCGGCACTGGGGCAGGGGGGGTTTGGGGGCTTAGAGGAAGAGGTATGGAGGGGGCTGGAGGCTGAAGAAAGGCAAGGGAGAGAGGCCTAGGCAGAGAATATGAGGAGCAGGAGTTGGAACTTGAGAAAGAAATGGGAAGCGAGGGGCTTGGAAGATGGGACTTGGCAGGAACTGTGTAGGAGGGGTTTTCCCAGTAGTGATGTATGGAAGTGAAAGCTGGACCATCAAGAAGGCTGATCGCCGAAGAATGGATGCTTTTGAATTCTGGTGCTGGAGGAGACTCTTGAGAGTCCCATGGACTGCAAGAAGACCAAACCTCTCCATTCTGAAGGAAATCAGCCCTGAGTGCTCACTGGAAGGACAGATCCTGAAGCTGAGGCTCCAATACTTTGGCCACCTCATGAGAAGAGAAGACTCCCTGGAAAAGACCCTGATGTTTGGAAAGATGGAGGGCAGAAGGAGAAGGGGACGACAGAGGACGAGATGGTGGGACAGTGTTCTCGAAGCTAGTAACATGAGTCTGACCAAACCGCGGGAGGCAGTGGAAGACAGGAGTGCCTGGCGTGCTCTGGTCCAGGGGGTCACGAAGAGTCTGACACGACTAAACAACAACAACAATGTAGGAGTGGGATGGGGAGATGGAAATATGAAAAGATATAGGGAAGAGAGGGCTTGGGATGGTGGCTTTTGAGAAGGGAATAGGGAGAGAGGTACTGACACTTCAGATGGGCTGCAGTCACCTGCTTGCTATAGAAAAATGTGGGGTTGGCTTCTACAGCCCAATTCCCCATCAGGTGTCTTGGTGTTCCTTAAGTCCGTGATCGGTCAGAGAAGAACGGATAGAGGCAGGATCCAGTGAAAGCAACGCAGGTCTTTATTTTTCTGTTGCAACAGAGGCCCCCCACCCCCACCCTGCATGGAGGTGAGAACCCAGAGCAAAGGTGTGCAAGAACCTTTAAAAACCTTTGAAATTGCCCAACCCACTTCACCAAAGACCACCCAAAAAGCATCATTCATATGCCACAGAAAGAGGCGGTCCACAACAGAAATTTGAGTACAGTATGTAACCTTGGGTTACATACGCTTCAGGTTACATACGCTTCAGGTTACAGACTCCGCTAACCTAGAAATAGTACCTCGGATTAAGAACTTTGCTTCAGGATGAGAACAGAAATCATGCTGCAGTGGCGCAGCGGGAGGCCCCATTAGCTAAAGTGGTGCTTCAGGTTAAGAACAGTTTCAGGTTAAGAACAGACCTCCAGAACGAATTAAGTACTTAACCCGAGGTACCACTGTATGGCTTGTCTCCTGTCTGTCAAGATAATGCTTGCTTATTGAATTACCTGGCCAGCCTGGCCATTCCTTTTGAGGTGGTAGATCCCTTAGTTCTCCAATCGAGGTCACAGGCCTACCCTATTAATGCAGAAAACATGCCCTTAAGATAGCACGTGTGCCTGCGATTTCCGGCGTCTGCATCTGCGCACACGCAATTTCCGGCATCTGTGCATGTGCAGATGCAACTTCTGGCACCGCGGAAGCGAGTCCCTGCACCGCACTGCACCAGTTTAATGCAGCGCGTGGGTACTTGCCAAGCGGGCAGCTCAGTTTGGGGGCAGCTCATGGGCAGGTTAAACAACCCCTGTGAGCCGCTTGTGGCCCATGGGCCTTAGGTTGCCTACCCCTGATTTACAGTCATTAGGAGAGCCAAGATGGCTTTTGGGATTGTTCTGTGTGCTAAAATAAAGTGCAATTTTCTCAGGGAATATTTCCTAAATTCTGAAGAGTGAAGGATTGGTTTTCTGTGGAGTGTGTGTCCGCTGTGTGTGTGTGCACCATACAATTTTGTAACACCCTCCTAGCATCCTGGAGGATCTGTAAAGCCATAGGAGGGGATTTTTTGGTCTTGGACAGTGGAAGGAAGGCTTGGAAATTGGGGACTGTAAACTGAAGAAGGGGGCTGAAAGGACCATTGAAACTGCACATGTGTGTTGAAATGGTTAGGGTTTTGATGTGGGTTTCGCTGTGGTTTCCCCTGTTTATTTTTCGCCTTTCTGTTGTGCGGGACCCCAAGGTAGCTTCCAGCAATAAGTGTTATGGTTGGAGACGCTTATCCACACCTTTCTAGGGAGCATGTGAGTCTGGGGGGGGGGGCGGGTGACTGAAAGCAAGAAGGCCTGAGGGGATGCGTTAGCAACCAGCAGGGTGGCTGGCAACTGGGGGGGGGGCTGGGTCTTACGGAGAAGAAAAGTGGGGTGGGAGTGAGGAGCAGGTGGTGGTCGGTGGGCTGGATTTGCAGTGCAGCTTTAAGGCTTATGGACAAGAAGAGAAGGGCCTTAGTGATGTTGTGGTATTTAGAGCTAAAGGGCGCATCAGGGTGTGTTCAGGGCTGGGAGTGCCCTGGTGGAAGATGCAGATGCTCGTACAAACAGATTTAGGCCTTGAGACAGTGCAGGGTGGTATTGGCAGATGGATGGGCTGGGACACATTGGTTCACTGAGAGGGAAAGAATCGGCATAAACATGATCGAGAGTGTTTAGGGAGTGGTTTGTGTGGTGTACTGGGTGGCTTTAAATACTTTCACTTTATCCTAAGGGCTCAGGGGAGGTTATAACACTGAACAACACGGAGAGTTTCCATTCCTGCAGATCTAAATTCAGTCTAGATCAGTCACCAACTCTCTTAGTTCAACCAAAGAGACTCTGTCTTCTGTAATCTATTCATATTTTCCTAGTCCTCTCTATTGCCGTGCATGCAAACCCACCTCGGGTGCAGTTGTTGCATCTAGACATTTTTGTTTTGCTCTGGGTATCTCCTTTGGACTCTGTCTGGATCAATATCCAACAACTTGCATTGGAATTGCAAAAACAACACTGTCGTGTGCTATTTACAGTAGTGTTTAGCTGTGCATCAGATGCCTCTGTTTTTTGGTTCAGCCTTCCTAAAAAATAATAATGATCTGGCAGTAGAGAACTGGGGTCAGTGAATGGGTGATCGGGAGGGAAGAGAAAGAGCAGCTAAAGGACAAAGCTATTATTTGAAATGACACCGTTTTGGGGTTTGCAGGATCCAGGGCTGGCAATTCTGTGCAGCAGAGATTGTCCAGTCAGCAGTTGAGCAGTAATTGGTGTCATTAACCTGCGAGCAACTGTGACCTAAGAATCAATCAGCTTTGAGATGTTTGGTGGTTCCTGTGAAAGTGGTACATAAACTGTGAATAGGTTACGGAGCGGTGATGCAGTCCTATCCCAACAATGCCATGTTTGTTGCTTGCTCCTTGGAATTTTGGTGTACTTTTTAAAAAGCCGAAGAGTCGCTGCAAAAAGCAGTTACTTCTTTGGGGAGGAAAAAAATCTCTGCGATGCAGTTCCTGCAGTTAGCATTAGACCTAGGTTTCTAACCCCTATCAAACATGTTTGCCAAGTCATTCTTGCCTGTAAAATGCGTGTAAAAAAAGGTAAAGCAGTTCTTAGAGTAAGTGATGTACCTGTATATAATTAGGTTGCTGACATAAAGTTACACACACCTGTGCTTCTTGGAAGTAAACAAACCTTCCACAGGTAAGAATTGCTGGGCTGAGGCTAGAAGGCAATGTTCTAGTCTGATTTCCTTAGCCGAAGGCAGGGTCTTTCAAATAATGCCTTATGGATTAACCCCTCCACATACAGAATCTCTGTGCATATTTCTGTGGTCCAAGGTTGTGTGTACAAGAAAGATCAAGGTGTAATAGATCAAAGGGTAAGGTGAGAGTAGAACCAAAGTCTGGGGCCTTTGTAAACCGATTAAGGTACAGTTATACTACTTGCCAGTCCTGCTGGAAAATTCCCCAATCCAAATATTAAAGCAGGGTTTCCTTTGTTTTCCTTGCCCACACACTAGTTTCTGGTGGCGGTGGGAGGGGCAGACTTTTGATATGAGGGGCTATTTTAGATGAGCAGCTCACCGCATGAAAGGGAGGTGTAATGAAGGAACAACGGCTTATTATGTTGCATCTCAAGCCCTTTATAGCACAGTCTCCCCATTCTATTACCATCCCTCCATATCGCTATCCAGCCAGAGCCAATTTGAATGTAAATGCCTTGCTTGCTTCTGAAAAGCACCTCATGTGCTCATAAGAACACTCCTACTTTGTCAGATCAAAGGTCCATCTAGTTCAGCAGTTCTCTTCTCGCAGTTGTTCTATGCCTCCCCTGGGAAGCCCACAAACGGGGCATGAGGGCAATCGTCTTCTCCTGCTATTGCTCCCTAGTGCTGAAATTCAGAGGCATGCCACTTTTGATCCTGGAGGGGATCATGCAGCCATCTGGACAAGCATAGAGTCCCACTCCCCACCCCCCAGATTTGTTTGATCCACTTGTGGAAGCCAGTTCAGAGTTTAACCATGTGCTTGTGAGAATCTCTTCTTCATTAGGTTGGGTTGTTTTTATGAGAGGGAGACAAACTTCTGCCTTTCCCAGGGGTTGGCAAGGTTTACCTTGCCTGGGCCGGTTCACTCCAGCAGAGATCCCTCTGTGGGCTGGATTGTGCGCATGCGCCCATGATTTCTGGTGTCTGCGCAGACGCGATTTCTGGCGCCGCAGAAGCGGGTCCCTGCGCCGCACTGCGCCGGTTTAGCGCAGCGCGTGAGCTCACCGAACGAGTGGCTCAGTTCGGGTGCGAAGTGAGGGGCCGGTTAAACGACCCCTGTGGGCCACTTGTGGCTCATGGGCCTTAGGTTGCTGACCCCTGGCCTATCCACTTTCTCCCCACACACTGCATAATTTTATGCACCTCTCTCATATCCCCCTCCCCTTCATCTGTTTTTAAATAAAACTAAAAGCTTCCCAAACACCAATTCCTGTGAGTCAGCCCTTCGGCCCTAACGAATAATTTGCTTGACCTTTTTGCACAATGCTCCCTCTCCCGACATCCTCCTGCTTGTTGGCCCTGTTGATTCTGATGTGGGAGGAACAATGCCCCATGTACAAAGGAAGACTTCTGATTGAATGGTTTCGAGCAGTTTTGCCAAGTGAATTCGTGGTGCATTGTTGTGTGACCTCCCTCCCTCCAACCTGCCCCCTTGGATGCCCTGATGCATTCAGTGTCTGATGAGGAGCTGTGCTTAACTTCAGAGAGTCCCGGAGGAAGCCGATCAGTAGCTTCACCTACAGGTGTCCGGCAAGAGCATCTTTGAGGACCCAGGCTGGGCTTTGGGAGATAGGGAGGAAAGGGGCTGCTCCAGCAGATTTTCCAGGGGACACTTGGAAGAGGCCAAAGAAGGAAAGGTCGTTTTTTTGTGGGGATGGATGTTAGCTTGGGCAATATGAGGAGAAGCATGATGCAAACGACTGGAAGAGAGCTAGTGCAGGAGGTGTCAGTAGCAGTAAAAATGATAGCAACAGGAACTGAGTGTCCGATTCAAGAAGCTGGAAATTTTGGGGGCAGCTCTTGGCTCTGGAGTTGCATCACTCCAGACTGCCCTGCAAGGTCACATCCAGGTTCTGCCGAGAAGCCCTGCGTCGGCGGTGGGATGCTGACCACACACAGGGCTGTTTACAGCAGCGGTGTGCAGCGGTTTGTTGTTTTTTAGGGGAACAGTTAAGGCTAGAGGCTTGCAAGGGCGATGTTACACGTGTGAGCATTGCACCTTCCTCCCTGAGTTGGGCACAAGCTTCCCGTGATTTGGGAAGGAGGCGCTAATACTACTAATAATAATAATAATAATAATAATAATAATAGTATATTTATACCCCGCCCATCTGGCTGGGCTTCCCCAGCCACTCTGGGCGGCTTCCAGCAAAATATTAAAATACAGTAATGCATCAAACATTAAAAGCTTCCCTAAACAGGGCTGCAAGAGAACATTTAGGGAACTGGCTTAGTCCCCCTAGTTCACTGACTACACACCACTGGTTTTGCAGCACTTTTGGGGGGTTACTCAAGGGTACACAGTAGCAGCACCTTTCTCCCCCCCCCAAAAAAAATGTTATAACTGTGGCACTTGCTGTAACAACTTCATGGTGAGAGGGGAGCACAGGCCGTTTACTGTGGGGAGAGAGCACCCATTCTCTGCAGTACTTTGCCTTTACCATCACCCTGCCCTGTGTTTATAAATCCCAGCCTGACAAATGAATGCTGACAGCGCTGTATTGTTTTTTCTCTTTCCGCCCTCCCCAGTTGTGCTGATTGGAGACTCCGGGGTGGGGAAGAGTAATCTCCTGTCCCGCTTCACACGCAATGAGTTCAACCTGGAGAGCAAAAGCACTATCGGTGTGGAGTTTGCCACCAGAAGCATCCAGGTGGATGGCAAGACGATAAAGGCACAGATCTGGGACACGGCTGGCCAGGAGCGATATCGCGCTATCACCTCTGCGTAAGCCTCAAAAACTGCTCTGATTCATGGATTGATTATTTAATTTGATATCTTAAAAAAATTACAGTGGTACCTTGGTTCTCAAACGCCTTGGTACTCAAACAACTTGGAACCTGAACATTGCAAACCCGGAAGTAAGTGTTCCGGTTTATGAACTTTTTTTGGAAGCCGAACGTGCTCCATTTTGATTGTTCTGCTTCCGATTTGAGTGCCACACTTTGGTTTTGAGTTTTATGCTGGCAGTTGGAGTGTTACGCTTCCGATTTGAGTGCCACACTTCCATTTTGAGTGTTATGCTGAAGTCTGTCTGTTTTTGCTATTTATTTTGTGTTTTTGCGGCTTTTTTGTTTTGTTTTTGTGACTGTGTGGAACCCAGTTCAACTACTGATTGTGTGACTGCAGTACATTGTTTATTGCTTTCATTTTATGGATCAATGGTCTCGTTAGATAGTAAAATTCATGTTCAATTGCTGTTTTAGGGGTTCTTTTTAACAGTCTGCAACGGATTAATCCATTTCGCATTACTTTCTATGGGAAAGTGCGCCTTGGTTTTGGAGCGCTTTAGTTTTGGAACGGACTTCTGGAACGGATTAAGTTTGAGAACCAAGGTACCACTGTATCTCTAAGTGGTGTACAAAAAACTGAATCAGCAACAGACGACTTAAACAAAACATTACAAAAAACCCCACACATACATGTAAAAATGTTACATTAATGCAAAGTTAATAATATCTATAAATCAATATCAGTCCATTTTCCTCCTGACACACACTCCCTCTCAGCCTCTGTGTTCTCGCCCAGGGTCCAGGCAAACTTTCTGCTCACCCACAAAAGATTCGCAACAAAAAGAGTTGCCAGAAAGAGTGAACATCACCTTAGTCTCTCTCTTTAGACTTGCTTTTTATGGACAGGCCCAAGGTAGATGACACTTCCTCAGTCTGCCTGCAGCTGTGTCCCATTTAGCTGCCCCCTCCACACCCAGTACAGCAGGTTTGTTGAGTTTCCCAGGGGGTCCTAAGGATGGGACGAGGGGCCCTTTCCACTCACAGCGGTTGATTTCTAGAGGGTTGTCAAGTGCCTTCTGAGACTGTTGCAAAGCGCGCTGGACTCCGTAGACCTCTGTCTTATTCAGCCTACGAGGCATTGCTTATGCAAGAGCACACACTTGGGATTCCTGAATGCAGATTAGCCAACTCTCACATCCTGGCTATGCAATCTTCTTCTGAAATTTGATTTCTTAAAAGTGCCTTGCTGACACTCTGTGTGACTGTGTGTTGAGGGGGCAAACAGCAAATCGGCTCATTCCAGGATAAAGGAATTCAGGCTGAGGTGACGGAAGATTGCGAATCGTGTCATAAGCCTGAATTGAGTCAGTGCTCAGATGGGCTTCTCTTCTGGACCAAGTGCTTCTGATTCAGCTTGCCTGACCTAATATTCCCCCTATCCTTTGTTTATTTGAATGGGAGAGAAACCTAAACCTGGCCTCCCAGACCGCTTCATAGTTGCTCATGAATTTCCCAGAGAAGCCAATGTTTGCTTGAACATCCCATGACATGGGAAGCTGCTATATACAGAGTCTGACCATTGGTCCATCTAGATCAATATTGTAGACACCGATTGGCAGTTGTTCTGTGCAGGGTTTTAGAGAGAAGGGCCCCAGGCATAGGCAAACTCGGTGCTCCAGATCTACCCGGACACTGAGGTCCAGCGCCGAGGGCCTTCTGGCGGTTCCCTCGCTGCGAGAAGCCAAGTTACGGGGAACCAGGCAGAGGGCCTTCTCGGTAGTGGCACCCGCCCTGTGGAACGCCCTCCCACCAGATGTCAAAGAGAAAAATAACCACCAAACTTTTAGAAGACATCTGAAAGCAGCCCTGTTTAGGGAAGCTTTTAATGTTTAATAGGTTATTGTATTTTAGTGTCTTATTGGAAGCTACCCAGCCAGATGGGCGATGTATAAATAATAAGTTGTTGTTGTTGTTGTTGTTGTGACTACAACTCCCATCATCCCTGACCACTGGTCCTGTTAGCTAGGGATGATGGGAGTCGTAGTCCCAACAACCACAACAACAACAACAACAACAGGCTCCTAGGAATTTTTACAGGCTAAAAGCTTTTATGTGCCCTCCCATAGCTTGAGTAGCAGCTGAGATTATTATGCAGACATAGGTGGCATAGATAGGGTTGCTGGGCAGAGCTCCTGGAAAGACCACTGTCTTTAATATCCTTTCACTTCAACCCTAAATGCATGATCTTGGAGGTAATCGTGGAAGGGGGTGCTTTTGTGAAGTTTGTGTGTGCAAGATGTAGTAGTGGTAATAATAATAATAATAATAATAATAATAATAATGGTAATAATAATAATATTTATACCCTGCTCATCTGGCTGGGTTTCCGCAGCCACTCTGGGCAGCTTCCAACAAAATATTAAAATACAGTAGTCCATCAGACATTAAAAGCTTCCCTAATCAGGGCTGCCTTCAGATGTCTTCTAAAAGTCTGATAGTTGTTGTTCTCTTTGACATCTTGTGGGAGGGCGTTCCACAGGGCGGGTGCCACTACCGAGAAGGCCCTCTGCCTGGTTCCCTGTAACTTGGCTTCTCACAGCGAGGGAACCGCCAGAAGGCCCTCAGCACTGGACCTCAGTGTCCGGGCAGAACGATGGGGGTGGAGATGCTCCTTCAGGTATACTGGGCCGAGGCCATTTAGGGCTTTTAAGATCAGCACCAACACTTTGAATTGTGCTCAGAAACGTACTGGGAGCCAATGTAGGTGTTATGTGGTCTCAGCAGCCGCTCCCAGTCACCAGTCTAGCTGCCGCTAGAATGTAGGTCTTTTTTTAAAAAAATAAAAGCGAGTTGCGCAAGTAAACAACTGCTCAAGTGCTGCTTTAAAAATTCCATTAAGCAGTTGAATAAACATGAAGTATCGTAATAAATTTGCTTAATTTAATACCTGGTGTTAGTTTCTTTTAAAAGCAAAAACTGTTTGCTTACTTGCGTGAGTTGTTGTTCTGATGCCCTGTACCCCTCCTCACAGGGGTCCATCAGCAAAGTGTTAATTATTCTGAACTTTACACTGTCCTTTGCACACAGGATGGAAGATAAGCCTGGCTCATACTTGCAGAATTTTGGCAGTCTGTAACTTAACGGGCTGAGTTCTGCAAACATTTGTGTGCCTGGTGCAAATCCTGAAAATCTTGGCATTCATTTTTGTTTGTGCAGGCAGCTTGTGTCCAGTTAGCCTCTAGACTGGTGGAACTCTGCCTGATCCGTCTTCTATGTGACTGCCCTTCAGATAAGACCACTATCGTGCCCCTGTCTTCTCTTTTCCCATATAAACATAATCCGCTTTTCCGTCCAGTTTGTCAGTGTCCTTCAGCAACCTCTGTTTCCAGAGACCCTTCCACAGGCTGAGTAACACCTGTCTAAATAACTCTTTCAGCTATTACCGTGGTGCCGTTGGAGCACTCCTGGTTTACGACATCGCAAAACACTTGACATACGAGAACGTGGAGCGTTGGCTGAAGGAGCTCCGGGATCATGCAGATAACAACATCGTCATCATGCTGGTGGGGAACAAGAGCGATCTGCGTCACCTGAGGGCTGTGCCTACAGACGAGGCCCGCGCTTTTGCAGGTTGGGTTGTTACAAACTCTGGATGTTGATGCTCTTTGGCTGCCTGGCTCTCATGGAAGCATTGGCCATGCTCCCTTTTAAGTGCCGAGGGAGTTTGCAAATTGGCCACCTGGAAGAGGTGGTATAAAGCTTCTGAGAGGTTGTAATTTTATGAAGCAGCAGTGGTGTGCTTAGTGCAGTGAAGTCAGGTCCTTGGCTGAAAGAGGCCCACAATGTGGCGGACAACAGAGAGTCTCCGGTTAAGAGCTTTTGAAAAGGCTTAGGTAGAGGCAGTGTGGTGATCATCACTAAAATATTTAATATAAATATAGTTCTTTTTTTAAGAAATTGCTCACAAGTACATACATTACTTTGGTTACTCTTGTAAGAGCCTGTGGGACTCACTGGTTGTAGTGTTGGACTTGGATCAAGGAGGCCTGGGCTTTAATGTCTGATCAGCTGTAAAATTGAAATGTGTAATTGGAGTGAGAATAAACTGACTCACTCTCAATTTACCTCCTAAGTTTGATGCGGGGATAAAATTGCATGTGACTGAGTATAGGGTGGGGAATGCACACGGGCACACCAAACTTGGAGGAAGGATAACTTAAAACTAGGGGTTTTATTTGATAATAAAGGTAAGCCAGTATTCATCCCCATTTTACAAATTTGGGGATGCAAACAACTGACACTGAGAAACGAGGTTGCTGGAGGTTTCAAATTAGATCACGACTGGTACTTCTGATTCATAACTTGTGACACTAAAACATCTGCCTTATTTATGCTAGTTTGCAAATCTTAATTGTTTTCCCTATGCACAGCCAAGATTGGCTACTGGGTGCATTACTGAGCTGTGGTTAATCTAAAACAAAAGTGGAAGCTTCTGAACTTTTCGCTGTGCTGGAATAGGAGATAGGGACCGGGGTAACTTTTCATAGAATTGTAGGATGGGAAGAGACCCCAAGGGTCATTAGCCTAACCCTCTGCAATGCAGGAATCATAGCCTCATAATGTGATTAGGTGTGCTAACTAAGCCAACATTTCTCTTAGTCTTCAGAATTCAGTTATCTAATATGCTTTTGAATTCTTTAAGGGGTGGGACGAAAGCGATCTTTCTTCCTATTGCTTGACTTTGAGGAGAGTGCCATCTGTACATGAAAATAACTGCAGTGATTTCCTCCCCTGCCCTTGCAGAAAAAAACAACCTGTCATTCATTGAAACTTCAGCACTCGACTCAACAAATGTAGAAGAAGCCTTCAAGAACATCCTTACTGGTGAGGATTTCCATTTAGATTATCTTTCTTGGTGTGTAAAGGGCATGTGGGGCAATGGAAAGGAAACACACGCCTGGATTTGATCTGTGGTCACTACATAGGTGCCAACTCCCTGTGGCCCTGGGTGCCCGAGCACCCACAAAATTCCCAGTGAAGGCACCAGGCACCCACTAATTTCAGTGCCAGGGCCATGCACGCTGCGTGGCATCCACGGCCCCGGGCACCCACAGTTGTGGGGCCAAGTTGGAACTCCTTGGCCACCATCAGTATGTGTGGTCGGCATCCCTTAACAGCTCTTTGAGCCTTGAAATGTTTACCATCAGCCTTGCACATTTGCGTTTAGGGTTGTTTGTCAACGTGCATGTAACTTGCTCCCAGATTGCTGGAGATAATGGATTGCTCCAGTGATTTTGCTTATCACTTCTGCGTGACTGCCTTGCCTGGATAGGGGAAGAAGGCAGGTCTGTGTGTGTATCTCTCTCTGTGTGTACAGGAAGGCTTTACAGTGGACCCTGTAGTTACGTACCGCTCTAGATATATACCCTTCGGGTTATGAACGCGGCAAACCCGGAAGTGTATACTTCTGGGTTTTGTCATGCGCACATTTACAGAAGTGCTCTGTGCACTTTGTGCATGCTCAGAATCGCTCAATCGTGCTGCGCACATGCGCAGAAGCGCTTAATTGTGACGTATGCATGCGCAGAACCGGTGCCTCTGCCTACGGACTTTTCGGGTTGCGGACGGACCCCCAGAACAAATTTAATTCGTATCCAGAGGGTCCACTGTACTTTGAGCATTCTTGGCAAGCTAAATGCCAAGAGCCATTGTTGATGATGGGCTTCTTTCCACCAACAGTAACTGAACCTACCCACACCCTGAGATCACCGTCTGAAGCCCATCTGCCTCCTCCATGTGAGGTCTGGAGGCTGGCAACACGAGAACGGGGCCTTTTCTGCAGTGGCTCCCCGCTTGTGGAATGCTCTCCCCAGGGAGGCTCACTTGGCACCTTCAGAATACACTTTTAGGTGCCAGGTGAAAACAATCCCCTTTCACCAGGCCTTTGGTTGACATCCCATGCCCTTTAAAAATTTGTTGTGGAAGGGAGGGGGTTATTGGGTTGTTCTTGTTTTTATTTTGATCATGTATTTGGTGTTTTTTATATTGCGATTTTATGGTGTGAACCGCCCTGAGACCTGTGGGTACAGGGCAAGTATACAAATTTAATAACGATGATGATCATGATCGCACCAGTCTTGCTACTGCAAGTGGAGCAGGGCTGGGGTACCCAGGTGGATGTACTTGGGGCATTCCCTGTAATATGTGAATTGCAAAGGTAAATGGGTCTGGATCTGGTCCCTGACTGCTTAAAACCCCACATTTATGCCACCTTGGGTTCCATGATGGGAGAAAGGCGGACTACAGATATAACAGAATGCATAATAAATACAACCACGTGTGCCCTGTGTTACATGTGGTGGCTTCCTTGGTGTGGGTCCACAGTCAAGAAAAAGGGAGGAAAGGGGCTTCCACTCTGCAAGGGCACACAGTACAGTGGTGCCCCGCAAGACGAATGCCTCGCAAGACGGAAAACCCGCTAGACGAAAGTGTTTTCCGTTTTTGAGTTGCTTCGCAGGACGAATTTCCCCATGGGCTTGCTTCGCAAGACGAAAATGTCTTGCGAGTCTTGAGATTTTTTTCCCGCTTTTCCCCCCCTTTATCTAAGCCGCTAAGCCTTTAATAGCCTTTTAGCAGCTAATCCGCTAAGCCGATAAGCCTTTAATAGCTGCTAAACCGCTAATAGCGCTAATCCGCTAAGCCGCTAATAGGGTTGCTTCGCAAGACGAAAAAACCGCTAGATGAAGACACTCGCGGAACGGATTAATTTTGTCTTGCGAGGCACCACTGTATACAGACTGAATGCCTTTGGCTCGCATCATTTCCTCAGGCTGTTCAGTGCAGAGGGCTGTAGGCAAGACGTGCCTTTGGTTCTTTCTGTGGACTAAACCACAGAAAGCTTTCAAGGTGTGTTCTGCGGAATTCTCTTGCTCCTTAGTAATGGCAAGGACGCTTGACAGGATCGCGGCCCTGCAATGCGCAGCAGCTGGGAATGGCAGTGCGTTGGCAGGGCAAAAGTCCAGGTCACTGAGCCGAGGTTTCGTGCGTTGGGTGACCGGTATGCCGGACCCAAACGACTCTCTTCTTTGGACTCTTTGCTGTGGATAGTGGCTTCTTTCCCCCTGGGGAAAACGTGTGCTTGTATCTGAGTCCCCCTTCTGGTCTCCTTTCCGCAGAGATCTACCGCATTGTGTCGCAGAAGCAGATTGCGGACCGGTCCGCCCACGACGAGTCTCCCGGCAACAACGTGGTGGACATCAGCGTGCCCCCCACCACCGACGGACAGAAATCGAACAAACTCCAGTGTTGCCAGAACCTGTGACCTCCCTGGGGCTGCCACCTGCCCCTCCCTTGGCCTGCGCTTCAGAGGGAAAACTCATGTGCACCTTCTCCTCACAGCAACTCCATTCAGTGACTCTCTCTCTCTCTCTCTCTCTCTCTCTCTCTCTCTCTCTCTCTCTCTCTCACTGCCCTCCCCTGCCCCTTCCACCTTAGAGGGTTCCTCTTAGGGCTTACATTCCCTTTCCTCCAAATCCTTTCGAATGTGATTTATTTGGGGGTTTTTAAATAGAAGCATTTAGCAGACAGGTGGGTTTGTGTGTGAGAAAGAGAGACAGAACACCTACCGGAGGTCCGTTGCCCCGAGACACTTGTTAAACTTCTTTTTGTTTGGTTTTTGTGTGCATGTGTGAGAGCGGGAAGGATGCAGAGGTTGTTGTTGTTCTTGTTCTAATAGAAAAAAATAGCTGCACTTGGGGAGCACAGGAGGAGTGTTACTCTTTGTTTCCTCTCAGGCCATTCTCCAGGCACAAGAGAAATTCTAAACTAAGAAAACACTCACTTTGGGCTTGTCGGAAATGATGGCGGTGGTCTTATCCTTGTGCGTGCACACGCTGTAAGTCCATTGAAGATAACCTTTCCCCCGTTGCTTGTTCTTTGTCCTTCCCCTTCCCGTTTTAATGCTGAGTTGGCCTGGCTGTGTAGTTTTCACTGCTTTCTGCCCTGGGAAGTCTTTTCTTCTCAATACATATATATATATTTTCCAGTTCAGTTTGGGAACAATGAAGTATGTCTGTGCGCTGCATTCCTCTCCCCCCCCCCCCCAAGCTGCCAGCACGGCTGTGTGCAGGCTATATGAAGTGGCTTCTAATAGTGATTTATTTCTGGCTTTCTGTTAATCAGTCTAATGTACAATGAAGTGCCAGCCTAATGGCTTTATTAGAGCCTTTTTTGTGATCTGTAGAAATCACACATCTTCACTCGTACCTGGAATCCTTCTTTCTCAACTGTATCCGAGATTCTCTCTCTGCATGTTGCGCTCTCTCTCTCTCTCTCTCTTTCTCTCTCTCTCCCAATCCCCACCTGAGCTTTCTCTTCTCCTGATTCCCTTCTCCTTCCGCTCCATGCACACAAAAAACACACCCTGGTGTGAGTGTGAAGCAATATTTTTCATGCTATGTACATAACTCGCACTGTTAAGGTTATTTGAATGGTTAGTTGTAGACAACCAGATACTTGATAACTCCTCCTTTTTGTAATACTTGAGCATAACCATAGCATCTTGGGGCTTTTTTTCTTATCTCTCGGTGGTTCACTTGCTTTCAGTTCCGACCTCCTTGCACTGCAGCCCCCCACCCCGCCCCAAATGCTGCCGCCGCCTCCCTTCTCTCGTCCTGCTCCCTTGAGGTTTGAAGGTTTCTGTTTTTGTTAACGATTACACTCCACTGGCAGGGCTAAACACCACCCAAACTTAAAAAAGTTAGCTGGAAAAGCGTTTGTCTCCCTGATACCACCCTGTGCTAGCTTGAGAAGTCCTCATTGGCTGTTGCTTTCCTCACCTTCTGACTGTTCTTGTGCTGTTGGGGTTTTGGGGGTTTCTGAAGCAAGGGCGACTGTTGCATTGAAGGGTGGGGCCACCAGATAGCTTCGGCAGGCAGAAGAGAGATTGTGCTTATTGGCCGTCTTGCAGCAACCGTGCAGTGATTGTGAAATATCCTGGATCCTGCCTGGTCCGATAGGTGGAGATGGGTGTTGCCTGCCATTGCTGAGGCTTTCCCAATCAGGTTAAAAACGCTTTAGCAGCCAATCTCTAACCCCTTGCATAGATTCTCATACGGAGCAAGGCTTTTCAGTTGGTTGACCAAGTTAAAGGCAACAGCTCTGTCTAGCAGGGAGCTTTAAAACCTTCCATCCACTCTAGAGCACCCCTTGGCGCCCGTGTGAGGCGGAACAAAACTGATGGCTTGCTGATGACCGAGCTCAGACAAAGACGCGGTCTCTCCCTGGGATTTGAGGCCAGTTCTTGAGGATGTAACTGCTGAGTCGCAATGTACGAGAGAAATGAAGGGGGCATTTTTGGAGGCGCCCTGACTGCTTCTTTCCCTTTTCTGTGGGTGTAGAATCTTAAAATGATCAAGAGTGGATTCTGGAAGGAGGCCAGGCGGTTCACTGCTGGATCCAACCTATTGACTATATGGTTTTCCACCCCAGGTGTCAATAATACTAAAGCTGATCATGGGCTGGGGATTGTTTGGCCCGTTGCTTTTGATAAAACTAGTGTGGCTCTGAGTTGCTTTGGCTTTTGTGGTCATCTCTATGGAGATGTCTCCTGGGGCAGGCCTCCCCTGCTGCATGAGATGCGTCCAGCTTGCAAAAAAAAGGGGGGGGGGCTAAGGGCCCTTGCTATTGTCTCAGCACTTTCTCCCTATGTTTCCATCATGAGGTGAGGGATTTGCCCTCAGTGCAAACACAGGCGATAATGTGCAGCTTAGGAAACCACACTGTCACAGATGAGGGAAATTGGCGTTTCTGGTTAGCTGTACAATAACCTCAAGTCCACCCACGCCTTAAGAGGACAGGCATCTGCAATGGCTTTTGAGAGGACTTCCCAGGTTAAAAATCAGAGTTACAGTTTAGCCTCTCCCAGATAGGCTACAAAATGTGGGTCTGATTTCTTGAGAGTTCCCGTTGAAGGAAGAGAGAAGCATTCTCTGTGGGATTAAAGTCTTCGCGTTTATTAGGCACTGAGCTCCAGTTCCAACTGAATTTTGAGCCAGCTTTGGGTTTTGCCTGGATGGCTTCTTTCCGTGGTGGGGAAAAGATCACAACTGACCCACGTAAGTCATTTGACTGCTGGGCTTTCAGAGAGCACCACACTGTTGAGGAACGATTCCAGGATGCTCTACAGCCAAGTGCTTGCCCTCCACTTGTTGCTGAACTGCAACTCCTTGTCAGCCCTGACAAGCATGGCTCGTCGCACGAGTTGTAGCTCAGCAACCTCTGCATGGCCAAAGCCTTCCCACACCTGCTGTAATAGAAGCTACGGGCACCCCTTCGTTTTTTAGTGATCTAGAATTGCATTACGTAGTGTTGGGAGAGAAGGGAAGAGGGTGGAAGGAGAACAAGCCGGGCTGCTTGCCAGCGCTACGTTCTGAATTATTTTTAAAAATGGCAATTCGGTTGCAGCTTGTCCCACTTCCATGAAGGCTTTGAGGACCTCCACTTCTCAATGCACCTCTCTGTCTTCACTTGGGGCGCTCCCTGCCCTGGACACTTTCTTGAGAGACACCTGCCAGCTCTCTGCACTGTCGCTATCCTTGGTGGTGGAGCCTCCAGGCCTAGGGAAGTGAAAGCTGATTCAGCGGCCTTCTCCTTCCGCACATAGAGGTTAGAGGCTATAGTCAAACAGTTAAGCAGCCAAGGTGTGCGGAAGGATCGCCTCCCGATTTCTGCATCGTGCTTCTTTCAAAGCTCGCTTGAGGTGGGAGAAAGGTCTCTGTACACTCTCCTCTCCCTGTTCCTTTTTCTCTTGTGTAGAGCAATCCTTTCCACTCCAGCATGTCATGGTTTCTCTGAGGGACTAGGGCCAATTGAAGTATTAGTGGTGTTTGGCAGCAGGAAACCAACCCCCTTTGAGACATATGCCCGGGCTCATAGGGTGGTAAGCAAGACCTCTCTGGCAATACTCTTTGGGGTGGGATGGGGAGCACCATAAAGAGGCCAGTGCAAGTGTCTTTTGCTTAGGGAATACAACAAGGGGCACCACCAAAAGTCTTGGAATAGGTGGCAGGATACTGGCAAGAATTCTAGAAAGGTTTCCGAAGCTTGCTCTCACAAGTCAACCCTTTAGATGGCTTTGGACTATACTCTTGGCTTGGGAGGGAGGGAGGGAACGGGCGAGGTTCCTTTTCATTTGCTTCCTGGTGACTCTTCTGTTTAAAAAGTGCAATTCCCTTTGTAAATACTCATTTGATTTTTTTTGTGTGTGCATGGTTATTATGTATTGTGGATATATAAAGATTGCCAAACCAAACGATGCATTTGTTTTGTTTGTTTTTAACACTGAATCGGAGCCTGGCGCAGAGTTAAAAGGAACAGAATTCGGCTTTCTGGAAATCTGGCCTTGCTTGCTTTTCTTTTTTGGGGGGAAAAGCAAGATTCTGGCCCTCATGGCAAGGAAGATACTTTTGAAAGTATGTGCATACAGTCTGGTGAGAAGCCATAGCGGCAGCTGGATAAGTCTTTCAGTGTCTGGAAAGGACGTTAGTGCCCTTTCCAGGTTGCTTGCTTGCCTGCATGGAATTCTGGTAACCTACCGACTACCAAGCAAGTTGTGAAACGTAAGTGTGTCTTGGGCTGTACTTGTAGATTGAGCTCCCAGGAACAGGAAAGGCAAGAGCGAAAATGCTGTGTCATTTGACTAACTAAGCTAGAGATCTACACAAATTTTCTAAAACCTGGTGCTTGTGGAATAACATTACCTTTTCCCTCTGTCCCCCGCCCCTGCCACAATGCTGTGTTTATGATTCTCAACTGCACAACAGCCCCCTTTTTTTTTTTTTGCACACCCATTCCCTTGCTGTGAACATAGCCTTGATTTTCTGGCTTTTATACGTCTCTTCAAGCTTTCTAAGCTCTGTGGACAGGCTCTCTTAGAGTTACCGGTTACAAGTCTCTGGCGAAAGAATTTTGCTGCATTTACAACAGGATTTTTAGTGTGTGGTGCAATGTGATCTCTCTGCCGCTGTGCTGCAAACTTAGAGAGAGCCCTTTACCAAGTACCTATGCTCATGGTTAATAAAATTAGTCTGTTTTCCCAAGCAATCTTTGCAAAGCATCATCACATTAAAAAACCCCACGAAAGCCTGAACCTGGCATCAGCTGTTCTGCTATGTTTAAAAGTCTCCTAATTTGGATATTTCCCAGGATCTAGGAAAGGCTGCAATACCATGTATATGTACCTGGGATCTTTTAAGCCCCATTGAACACAGTGGAATGTAGTGTGATCCTATATGTTTATTTGGAAGCATGATTACGGAGGGGGCAATAAAGAAATAACAAAGAAACTGAATGAGTGGGCACCTTATTATTTCAGTCATTTTTTACTTGTCCCATAAAGGGAATCATACAGATGGCTAAAGGGGGTTGGGGGCTAAACGACCAAATCTTGTAGAAGTTTCTGTAAGTGCTGTCGCACGCTGAACGAAATGAGTTACCGTGGGATGTCGTAAACATCAATAGCATACAGGTAACTCGTGACTTAAGCGTGTTCAACGTGTGCATTTAGCTTTACACATTTGGCAAAATAAATGAATAAATAGACGGGATGGAAATGGGCTGGGCATCCAGGAAAAAACCAAAAACTTTGGCAGTCCCACCCATCACGTTCCACGGCCCCCTTAATTGTGAGGGCAAGCTGGCTCACTTGGCCCCACCACCGACTTCACCTTATGTATCTCCCCCACTTGCAAGCAGGCAGAGACTCTGCCTGTGTATAACCTGCTGCTTCTACTCCTCTCACTTCAGTCCTCTCCTGGTCCTGGGAGACAGTGGGGCAGCAGGAGGAGATGTGGAAGCCCTTTGCTCTCTCTCCACCAGCCTGAACTATCTATGCCTCCTCCTGTTCCTCACTCTCCAGTCCTGCAGCTTCTCCTGCCTCTTGACTATCCCCTCCCAGCTGTTACAGGCTCCCCCAGATCACAGATCCCTTCTTCCAAGTCAGCCTCCAACCCTGTTTCTGCCCACTCCTCAGTGTCCAGCCAGCCCCCGACAGGAAATGGGACCACAGACCTCCCTCCCTCTATTGGCACATCCATGTTGCACTGAGTCCAGGATGGATCGCCACCTCCATGGTTTGGGTCGGCTCTCGCCCCTTTAAAAGCCTGGAATTCTGGTTACATGTTTATTGGGCATATTTGAAAACCCCATCAATTAAAAAACAGCACATAATTTGTTCTGTGGAGTGGAATGGTTGGAAGGGAATGTGGCAATCAGCTGACTTCTGCTGGAAGCAGGAAGACTTGCTTATCTACTATTTAATCAGAGCAGTTCCCCAAATGTGGGTCTCCAGCTGTTTTTGGACTACAACTCCCATCATCCTTAGCTTGCAGGACCAGTGGCCAGAGATGATGGGAACTGTAGTCCAAAAACAGCTGGAGACCCAAGTTTGGGGAACCCTGGTTTTGAGCATTTATACCCTGCTTGTTTAGGGGACGCGGGTGGCGCTGTGGTTTAAACCACAGAGCCTAGGACTTGCCGATCAGAAGGTTGGCGGTTTGAATCCCCGCGACGGGGTGAGCTCCCGTTGCTCAATCCCTGCTCCTGCCAACCTAGCAGTTCAAAAGCACGCCAAAAAGTGCAAGTAGATACATAGGTACTGCTCCGGCGGGAAGGTAAATGGCGTTTCCGTGCGCTGCTCTGGTTTCGCCAGAAGTGGCTTAGTCCTGCTGGCCACATGACCCGGAAGCTGTACGCTGGCTCCCTCGGCCAGTAAAGCGAGATGAGCGCCACCACCCCATAGTCGTCTGCGACTGGACTTAACTGTCAGGGGTCCTTTACCTTTTTACCCTGCTTGTTAGCCAAAAAGGCTCCCAGAGTGGCTTGCAAACAAAGAAATTAAAACAAGACAGTCCCTAACTGCAGGATTACAGTCAAAAGCAAACATGCTATAGGGAGGGAAGAGGAAAATCAAAGCACCAATTTCTAAATGGCTGTTCCTGTGCTGTGCAGCTGGCACAGTTCAGGGGCAGGAGGTGTCTGGCAGAGCAAAGCTGGTGAATTGAGCCTTACTGCTTCCCATCTCTCCCACTGGGCCAGCCTGATGGAGTGGCTGCCCGCAATGGCAGTCGAGGGGAGAGGAGGCTTGGTGGGCTGGCCTGTCACCGCTGAGCCAATGTAGCAAGCTTCCCCACAACTGAAATGTGCAATCCGTGACCAGGGAGAAGAGTCGGTGGAAGAAGATTGGAAGAAATTCAAAGATTATTTACAGAAATATTGCAAAATTAATGAATGTTAGAGTGATGTTGGATTGAAATTAAGTGGCTTCTAGCTGTACAGGCTTTAAAGTTATAAATATATTAAGATTAAGGATTAGGATTAAAAAGGTTAAAAGAATGGAAAAATTGGTTTTTAATAGGTAAAAATTTAATGTTATGTTATATTAAGATTAAGGATTAAAAAGGAGGGAAAGGAATTGCTGGACAAACAAACTGAATTGGAATACAAAAGAGGGAGGTATGAGGAGGTCCGGGAAACAAGTAAATCTAAAAGTAGTGATGAAAGAGGAATTGTTTTTAACCGTTTTTCTTTTTTCTTTTTGTATTTTGCATTGTGTATTTTTCTTTTTATTCTTGAATTTTTCTTTTTTGTTGATGTGATTCTTTCTTTGTGAAACTTTAATAAATATCATTAAAAAAAAAAAATGAAATGTGCAATCACATCTCTGCCCATCACTAGTTTTCTTCCCAGGATCCCTGCGTGCATCTCAAGATACCCAAAGGGGTGGGTGACGTGCTTCCTCCTCCAGATTTTGAAGGACTCCAGATCCCATTAGCCAGATCAGTACGTATTATGGAAATTGTAGACCAGCAGCCTGGGATTTGGGGTGTGTCGGGGGGGACAGAGAGCAGAGGTTGACCACCCATACCCCTCCAAAGTGCCAATACAGTCTGTTCCTACAGATGCAGCAGGAGCTATCAGTTTATTTTTTTTAAGATCGGTATGTCCTTTTTTTATCGGGACGCGGGTGGTGCTGTGGGTTAAACCACAGAGCCTCTTGGACTTGCTGATCAGAAGGTCGGCGGTTCGAGCGGGGTGAGCTCCCGTTGCTCGGTCCCTGCTCCTGCCAACCTAGCAGTTCAAAAGCACGTCAAAGTGCAAGTAGATAAATAGGTACTGCTCCAGCGGGAAGGTAAATGGCGTTTCCGTGCGCTGCTCTGGTTTGCCAGAAGTGGCTTAGTCCTGCTGCCCACATGACCCGGAAGCTGTACGCCGGCTCACTTGGCCAGTAAAGTGAGATGAGCGCCACAACCCCAGAGTCGGTCACAACTGGACCTAATGGTCAGGGGTCCCTTTACCTTTATGTCCTTTTTGCATTATTATTATTTTCATAGAATCATAGAGTTGGAAGAGACCACAAGGGCCATCGAGTCCAACCCCCTGCCAAGCAGGAAACACCATCAGAGCACTCCTGACATATGGTTGTCAAGCCTCTGCTTAAAGACCTCCAAAGAAGGAGACTCCACCACACTCCTTGGCAGCAAATTCCACTGTCAAACAGCTCTTACTGTCAGGAAGTTCTTCCTAATGTTTAGGTGGAATCTTCTTTCTTGTAGTTTGGATCCATTGCTCCGTGTCCGCTTCTCTGGAGCAGCAGAAAACAACCTTTCTCCCTCCTCTATGGGACATCCTTTTATATATTTGAACATGGCTATCATATCACCTCTTAACCTCCTCTTCTCCAGGCTAAACATGCCCAGCTCCCTTAGCCGTTCCTCATAAGGCATCGTTTCCAGGCCTTTGACCATTTTGGTTGCCCTCCTCTGGACACATTCCAGTTTGTCAGTGTCCTTCTTGAACTGTGGTGCCCAGAACTGGACACAGTACTCCAGGTGAGGTCTAACCAGAGCAGAATACAGTGGCACTATCACTTCCCTTGATCTAGATGCTATACTCCTCTTGATGCAGCCCAGAATTGCATTGGCTTTTTTAGCTGCTGCGTCACACTGTTGGCTCATTTTTTAAATGCCCACTCAGTTGGGCAGGCTAAGTTTCACTTAAATGTTTGCTTTTGGGATTTTATTTTTTTTAAGTGCTATTTAAAGGTACTTTACTCGTCATTAAAATCCGGAAAGACAGAAAAAAACTAATCCATTTTGATGGTATTTTTCACCCTCTGTATTTCTCCACCTAAAGAGGGAACCGCATCCTTGTTCGAATGGGAACCTGAAATCAACGCCTGCCAATCTCTCGCCTTTCCCCTTTGGTTTGGCGCAGATCCAACCAGGAGGCGTGGCTGGGCGTCGTAAGAGGCCCCGCCCCTTCTCTCCCTCTTCTTCCCCCGCCAACCCCGGACAGCAGCAGCGAATTGATTGGCCGCCTGGGCCGTGACCGTTACGCCTCGCGCTGCGCCGCCCGACTGCGCGTGCGCCAGCGGCTCCCTCGAAGGGGGCGGGCTCCGCTTCGCTCGAGGCCGCGCCATTGGCTGCTTCCCGAAGCCGTCCCCGCTGATTGGCTGAGCGGAGGGGGGCAGTGGGCGTGCCGGGCGCTTCCAGTCAGGTGCGGACGCCGCTGACAGAGGCAGGCGGAGGCGGCCGCCTCCTCCTCCTCCTCCCGCGCTTCTCCTTCCCCAGCACCCGCCAGCCTGGGGAGATGGGGCGGCCGGAGCCTCGGCCCTGAGGGGAAGGCGCCAAGGAACGGGCCGGCGGAAGGGCGGGGCTCTGGCGGAAGGGGCGGGGCGCAGGTAAGGAGGGGGCGGGGCTTGGGGTTGAGTGACAGGCGCTCCAGGAAGGGGGCAGGAGGGGGGTCTCTGGAGGGGCTCTGCCTTGCTGGGTCGCCTCCCCGCTCCCCGCCTCAGAATAGGCCGGCCTAACCCAGAACCCTGCTCCAAATCCCCACCCCAGGGGGAAGGCTGCAGGTACACTGCCTCTGGGTATGGAGGCTCCATGGGAAGGGACCCCGAGGGTCATCTAGTCCAACCCCCCCTGCCATGAAGGAATCTCAGCTAAAGGCATCCCTGACAGGGATTTCCTCTGCTGGGAAAAGGAGGGAGAGGCCACCACACCCCCGGGGGAGAGCCTCCCACTGTTGAAAGGATCTTGCCAACCGAAAGGAGGTCCCTTCATCGTGAAAAAAGGGGGGAGGGGAAGACCAGCCAGTGAACTCGTCACCCATAACAGGAAAGGTCCAGGCAATTCAACAGTTGGTGTGTGAGCACTGGTAAAGGTAAAGGGACCCTTGACCATTAGGTCCAGTCCTGACCGACTCTGGGGTTGCGGCGCTCATCTCGCTTTATTGGCCGAGGAGGCCGGCGTACAGCTTCCAAATCATGTGGCCAGCAGGACTAAGCCGCTTCTGGCGAACCAGAGCAGCGCACGGAAACGCCGTTTACCTTCCCGCCGGAGCGGTACCTATTTATCTACTTGCACTTTGACATGCTTTTGAAGTGCTAGGTTGGCAGGAGCAGGGACCGAGCAACGGGAGCTCACCCCGTCATTGCGGGGATTCGAACCGCCGACCTTCTGATCGGCAAGTCCTAGGCTCTGTGGTTTAACCCACAGCGCCACCCGCGTCCCACTGGACTGCCCCGTAATTCAATGGAAAATTCTATGTCCTGTACCTCCAGATGTTGGTGAACGGCATCTCCCGTCAGCCCTGGTAAGCATAGCCAATGGCCAAGGTTGGTGGGTGTGATGGCAGCTGCAGTTCAGCAACACCTCGAAGACCAAAGTCCTCTGTACCTCTTGTGGCAGTGAATGCTCTGCATTACTTTAACATTGTGTGAAGTAGAAGTGGCGGCGAGGGGGTGCTTTAGCCAAGGAAGAAGATGGCTGGGAGCCCTGAGCTGTGTTAGAAACTCAGGTGTATAAACTAGGTGCCAAATGGCTCCTTAAACCAAGGTTACAGTTGCCAAAACAGAATATATACTTGTCATTTTGCGGCAAGACCGCAAAGGTCTTATTTTTCAAATGATGGACTGACTCTGACTGAATATCAGTTAAACATCTGGCTAGTTCAGATGACAACCTTGAGCTAGGTATAGAAGAAAAGTCACTTGATCCAGGGACAGTCCACATACCGTATTTTTCGCTCTATAAGACGCACCAGACCACAAGACACACCTAGTTTTTGGAGGAGGAAAACAAGAAAAAAAATATTCTGAATCTCAGAAGCCAGAACAGCAAGAGGGACCACTGCGCAGTGAAAGCAGCAATCCCTCTTGCTGTTCTGGCTTCTGGGATAGCTGCGCAGCCTGCATTCGCTCCATAAGACGCACACGCATTTCCCCTTACTTTTTAGGAGGGAAAAAGTGAGTCTTATAGAGCAACAAATACGGTATATATTGGCCTATCCTGACCTCTTTTTCTTAATAGTAGGGACACGGACCATTCATAACTTAAGAATAACTTAAGAAACTGTGAGCAGGGCAGTGGGGTGGGGTAAGTGAAGACAGGCGACAACAATTAGCTATGACGTTGTTCACTGGTCCTGCTCAGGCTGCGCAGAAAAAGCGTTTTGGTTCCTGAAATCCATTCTGATTGTGCAGATATAACGGATGCAATTCTACAGGATGGGGCATGAGTGTGTGGAAACGGTCCAGATCCAAGGATCCCCAGGCATGCGTCTTCACATGGTGTCAGGCTCCATCCTGGTCCCCAGGCATCTTCACTTGGTTGCAAGTAGCTGACAGTTGGGTGCAAAATTGCGCCTGGCGCCTGGCTAATTTCAAACACTGCTGCAGCCTCACTGATCTTCATCTTGGGAGGAAGAGCGGGATGTAGATTAAATAGATAAAAGACTGCCCTTATGCCTTTGGGGCTGTTTTTAGGGAGGGAATGACCCCCAAACTTTGTGTGCACTGCTTAGGAACACTGGAAATTGCCTTAGAGTGAGTTAGGCTACTGGTCCATCTTTGATATCCATCTGGGAGCCCAGAGATTGCTTGTGGTTGTGGGCCAAATGGCAAGTGTTGATGTTGACATATATATATATAATGTCCGCTAACCCAGAAATAGTGCTTCAGGTTAAGGACTTTGTTTCAGGATGAGAACAGAAATTGTGCTCCGGCGGTGCGGCGCGGCGCGGCGGCAGCAGGAGGCCCCATTAGCTAAAGTGGTGCTTCAGGTTAAGAACAGTTGCAGGTTAAGCACGGACCTCCGGAACGAATTAAGTACTTAACCTGAGATACCACTGTATTCAAAAGCTACAGTACATTTACAGTATGATACATTTTCAATCAATATATATCTGGAAGGCTTCTTGAATACTCGTCTGTATCATGGAAGAAGCATCCCAATACTTTTCTTGTAAAATGGATTGCTGGAAAGCTTAAGAATTTTGTTATTCATTTAATAACTTTCAAGTCTGTGAAGTAAGAGCATTGCTCGGGCTTGTTAAGTCTGCACAGAAGTTCTGTTTGGTCGGTTGCTCTGATCCTGATTTTGCATATGCATTGAGTTGGTTAGAGCATGGGTGCTGACAACATCCGGGTCATGGGTCTGATCCCCTTACGGGTGCATATTCCTGCATTGGAGGGGGTGGAACTAGATGACCCATGGGGTCCCTTCCAACTCTCTCATCTATGAACTCTCCCAATGGCTGTGAGAAAATTGTGCAGTACCGGTGTGGTGTACTAGTTAGTGCCCTAGTCTAGATTGAGCTTGGGAGACCTCCATCTAGTTCAAATTCTCAGTTAGTTCACTGGTTGACTTTGGGCAGTTGCTGTCTCTCAGACCTGCCTCCCAGGGTTGGGAGGGTGACACTGGGTGACACTGTCAGTTCCATAGAGGAAGTGCTAAAGGTAAAGTTAAAGGGGCCCCTGACCATTAGGTCCAGTCGTGATCGACTCTGGGGTTGCGGCACTCATCTCGCTTTACTGGCCGAGGGAGCCGACGTACAGCTTCCGGGTCATGTGGCCATCATGACTAAGCCGCTTCTGGCGAACCAGAGCAGCGCACGGAAATGCCGTTTACCTTCCCACTGGAGCATTACCTATTTATCTACTTGCACTTTGACGTGTTTTCGAACTGCTAGGTTGGCAGGAGCAGGGACTGAGCAACAGGAGCTCACCCTGTTGTGGGGATTCGAACCGCCGACCTTCTGATCAGCAAGCCCTAGGCTCTGTGGTTTAACCCACAGCGCCACCCGTGGAAGTGCTAGGATAGCACTTTTAACAGCCGTGGCTTCTCCCTAAAGAACCCCGGGAACTGTAGTTTGTTAAGGATGCTGAGAGTGGTTAGGAAAGAAACCGCCCCCCCCCACCCCATGTCCTCTCACAGAGCTACAATTTCTAGATTGGTTTACCAGTCTCTCTTCCCAGGAACTTTGGGGATTGTAAATACAGTTCTCAGAATTATTCGGGAGAAGCTATAACCGTGCTTTAGATGTGTGCTGTGGCTTTAGATGTGTGCTGTGGCCGAACTGTAAGGAGGATATGACTGTCATTTAGGGTTGCCATATTTTAGGAGGTGAAAATCCGGACACAAAAGTTGTTGAGCTTTTCTCCCTGCAAACAGAATAAATACATTTTCAGCAAACAGAATAAATACTTCCGATAAGGAAGTACAGCAGCCCTATTTGTGCAATGAAAAGATATTTCCCTCGCTGTTCCTCAACAGCTTTTTATGAACAAGATGTCCCTAAGACGTTAATTCTGCTATCGGTTAGTTTTTATCCATGGCAGTGTGAACTGGAGTTCTCTAAATACTGCAAGGGGACATGGGTGGCGCTGTGGGTTAAACCACAGAGCCTAGGACTTACCGATCAGAAGGTCGGCGGTTCGAATCCCCGTGACGGGGTGAGCTCCCGTTGCTCGCTCCCTGCTCCTGCCAACCTAGCTGTTCTAAAGCACGTCAGAGTGCAAGTAGATAAATAGGTACCGCTCCGGCGGGAAGGTAAACGGCGTTTCTGTGCGCTGCTCTGGTTTGCCAGAAGCGGCTTAGTCCTGCTGGCCACATGACCCAGAAGCTGTACGCCGGCTCCCTCGGCCAATAAAGCAAGATGAGCGCTGCAACCCCAGAGTCGGTCACAACCGGACCTAATGGTCAGGGGTCCCTTTACCTTTAAATACTGCAAGAACCAGCCCCTGCTCGCCTGAGAGTTGCGTTTGCTTTGTACATGGGCTCTTGCAGGCATTTGAAACACTCCAGTTAACCAGCTCCTCATTGCTGCGGGCGACTTCACCAGGCGGCGGCGACAGATCTGCCGGGGACCTTTGCCCTATGCCATTTTTGTGTGCTGGCGAGGGAATGGCCTGAGAGAGAGAGGCAGGAGAAGCGTTCTGGATTTTCCATGTTTAAAACGATGAGGTGGAAAACCTTTTGGAACCAGTAGGCACTCCCTGCCTTTGCCGTGGTTCCAGGAGTAGCCAGGAACCTGGGATTTCCCCAGCGCGGGCTGAGAAGCAAAGACCCGAGGGAAGGTAGAAAGGCGGATTGCGGATGTCCGGGTGAGCTGAAGATGGCAGAAGCATTAGGAACTCAGATATATAAGCTAATCGCCGAACGGCACCTTAAACCTACAGTTGCCGCAATTAGGGGCCATTTCCCCCCAAATGGAGTGTGTCGTGGTGGTTATTATTATTAATTTCTATTCTATACCACGTTGTATTTTAAAGTGGGGGCAGGGGGAGGAATATCTCCAAGCTGTTCACAGCCCATTAGAGCATCAAAGAAAACAACCCAGAATGAAATGAATCCAAGCTTCCGGGAAAATATTTCAGATTCTTTTCTAAGTGACATTCCGCTTTCTCCATATTTTTTTTACCTATTGATTAATTTATAGAGCTTGTCCCATAGCGGGAGGACTCTAAAGGGCCAGTGCGGCGTAATGGTTAGAGTGACGGACGAGGGCCTGGGAGATTGGGGTTCGAATCCCCACTCCCATCATGAAGCTCAGTGGAATTTGTGGGAAAGCTTAATTATGTTTATGGACCCGACTAGACGTAAGATGCATTTTAAAAAAATAAAATAAAATGAATAGGGCCCAATGGAAACTGGTTCTGATAACTAACTGGATTGGAGCAGGCAGAAGTGTAGGGTGGGAGTTAACCCTTTACTCCCTTGCTGTGCAACCAGCTCCTTCGAAGCTGCTATTTGCATTGGAAGGATATGCTACACAATTCACAGTTCCAGCCCCCCCCCATACCTGCTACTTTAGGATAACCCTTGGTGAAGTAGAATCATAGAATCATAGAGTTGGAAGAGACCACAAGGGCCATCGAGTCCAACCCCCTGCCAAGCAGGAAACACCATCAGAGCACTCCTGACATATGGTAGCCTGCGGTCTACAGAAGTCCATGGCACAATAAACTGGTAAAGTCTTTAAGTTGCCACAATATTCTTCGTTGCTTTTCCCTTGGGGCTGCGCAACACACATCTTAAGAGGAAAAGAAGACTTCAGGGTGTGCGTTTTGAGAATGCATAGGCAAAGTTATTCTCCCTCACTCCTGAGAAGAGCTTGCGCTCAGCTGGTTGTGGGACCAGTTTCACGCTGGGTAAGTTTTAAGGGATGTTGCCTTCCTTGGGTCGGGTGCTTAGAAATCAACCAAATGAAAAGGGAGGAGCTGTTCCCTGTTTTATTATCCAAGCGGCTGCTTTTCAGAATGATGAAGACCACAAAGGCAGCTCATTTTTCCAGGAACAGTCCTTCCTTCCTGGACATTTGCTGACCGATGCAGGACGCATGCATTTCTTGAACAATGGGGATCCTCTTGGGAGATGTTCCCCCGCCTTTTTGTTCTGTAATTAACTAAGACATAAATAGAAAGTCCGCTGAGTATGTTGTCCGTCTCCTCCCCTGCGCCACACACACATTGCATTCCTTCATCTTCTTCGAAACCGTGTTGTTGCTAATATGTCATGTTTGTGAGAATCTAGGGCCTGCACAAATGCACAATAGGATGTGTGTGATTTCCCTTGACGTGCTTGGATAGCTTGGTTGGTTAGACGTTAGAGCATGGTGCCGATAACACTAAGGTTGGAGGTTCGATCCCTAAAAAGGACAGAGCTCTGCGTATTCTTGTACAGTCGTACCTTGGAAGCCAAATGCATTGGCTCCCGAACAAATCGGTTCCTGAACGATCGAAACCCGGAAGTGAGTGTTCTGCTGCTGCCAATCGGAAGCCGCGCTTTGGTTTTCGAATGGTTCCGGGAGTCAAACGGACTCCCAGAACGCATTCTGTTCGAAAACCAAGATACCACTGTTATCCTTCCTTTCAGCTCTATGATTCTTTTTGATAGTTTATACAGGCCTCACTTGGGACGTGGGTGGCGCTGTGGGTTAAACCACAGAGCCTAGGACTTGCCGATCAGAAGGTTGGCGGTTCGAATCCCCGCAATGACGGGGTGAGCTCCCGTTGCTCGGTCCCTGCTCCTGCCAACCTAGCAGTTCGAAAGCACGCCGGTGCAAGTAGATAAATAGGTACCACTCTGGCGGGAAGGTAAACGGCGTTTCCGTGTACTGCTCTGGTTCGCCAGAAGCGGCAGTCATGCTGGCCACATGACCCGGAAGCTGGATGCCGGCTCGCTTGGCCAATAAAGCGAGATGAGTGCCGCAACCCCAGAGTCGGCCACGACAGGACCTAATGGTCAGGGGTCCCTTTACCTTACAGGCCTCACTTATGGTCATTTGTCATTTTAAGATTGCCAGTGTCTCTTTTTCTCCATTTTGCCTTGAATGAGACACGGAAGCTGAAGAAAGTCTCCTTTTTGTCTCCTGGATGACCCATTCACAGAGCATCTCAGCCTCTGGTCCCCAGGCGTCCTCCCACTGACCTGACTGCATTGTGATTAGATGGACCATGTTACCCGTCAATCAAGATCCATCTGAGCCAGCAACTCTTAAAAGGAGCATTGATGCCATAGAGTCTCTTGACCAGGGATATGCAAACTCAGCCCTCCAGATGTTTTGAGACTACAACTCCCATCATCCCTGACCAATGGTCCTGTTAGCTAGGGATGATGGGAGTTAATAGAATCATAGAATCATAGAATCATAGAGTTGGAAGAGACCACAAGGGCCATCGAGTCCAACCCCCTGCCAAGCGGGAAACACCATCAGAGCACTCCTGACATATGGTTGTCAAGCCTCTGCTTAAAGACCTCCAAAGAAGGAGACTCCACCACACTCCTTGGCAGCAAATTCCACTGTCAAACAGCTCTTACTGTCAGGAAGTTCTTCCTAATGTTTAGGTGGAATTGTGGAGTTGTAGTCCCAAAACATCTGGAGGGCCAGGTTTGCCTATGCCTGTTCTTGACCTTTAACGCTGCTATTTTACACTCAGTTGTAAGTAATCGCAGCAGGGGTGATTCACAGATGGTATTTAACTCTGAGTAGGCTTGCTGAGATGTATAAGACTGAATCAGATTAGTGCTGGAGGTGCAAAGAGGTTGAGGGAATGTTCTTTCATAAAAGGGTAAAAGAGTGCTGGGAAATGATCCATAATGAATTGAGAAAAAATGTTTAAAAGTACTTCCCCCCCCCAAAAAAAACCAGTCTTTTCTGTTGGGCATCATTCAGACTCAAATTCCCAGGGGTCAAAAAATGTATGCTACTACTGTGGCCCGTGTTTCATTAGCCAAAAAATGGGAAATGAGTGAAGTCCCAATCAAAGAAGAATGGCAACTTAAGTGGACAGAATATGTGCAGCTTGCAGACTTAATATATAGAATAAGAGAACAAGAAGAACATACATTTAGAGAAGACTGGGAAATGTTTATTGAATATATGGGAAATAACGGTGTACAGCTGAAAACTCTGGCAGCATTCAGATAAATTCAACAGTGTAAAAAAGCTTTGATGGATGTAATAATTGAATACTGAACGGTTTAGTTTTTGTAAAATATGCAGGGATTTATGATATGTAAAATGAACCACGGGAAGAGAAGAAGGGAAGTCACTGATATCTTAAGGATGTAAAATTGGGTACTTTTGATTGTAAAACAGAAAATTTCCAACTGAGCAGCAAAGCGACAAGCCGCGAGTTGTATCGGGCCTGACTTTGACCAGCGCTTTCTGTCTCTTCCTCAGGCCTACCATGATTCTGCTCTCCGGCTGCTGATGCCAGCGCATCCTCGGTTGCCATGACAACGGGCGACTGCTGCCACCTCCCGGGCTCGCTGTGTGACTGTCCGGGCAGCGCCGCGTTGTCCAAGTCGGTGGAAGATTCCGACTTTGGGCGTCCTCAGTACGTCACCCAAGTCACGGCCAAGGACGGACGGCTGCTCTCGACTGTCATCAAAGCCCTGGGGACGCAGAGGTGAGGCCGAGGTGCCCCGGGCTTGCGATGGATTGGTCCGGGGATGTGAGCCTGGGTAGCCGGCAAGAGGCTAACCAGGGCTGCATCAATAGGAGTATAGCATCTAGATCAAGGGAAGTAATAGTGCCACTGTATTCTGCTCTGGTTAGACCTCACCTGGAGTACTGTGTCCAGTTCTGGGCACCACAGTTCAAGAAGGACACTGACAAACTGGAACGTGTCCAGAGGAGGGCAACCAAAATGGTCAAAGGCCTGGAAACGATGCCTTATGAGGAACGGCTAAGGGAGCTGGGCATGTTTAGCCTGGAGAAGAGGAGGTTAAGGGGTGATATGATAGCCATGTTCAAATATAGAAAAGGATGTCACATAGAGGAGGGAGAAAGGTTGTTTTCTGCTGCTCCAGAGAAGCGGATACGGAGCAATGGATCCAAACTACAAGAAAGAAGATTCCACCTAAACATTAGGAAGAACTTCCTGACAGTAAGAGCTGTTTGACAGTGGAATTTGCTGCCAAGGAGTGTGGTGGAGTCTCCTTCTTTGGAGGTCTTTAAGCAGAGGCTTGACAACCATATGTCAGGAATGCTCTGATGGTGTTTCCTGCTTGGCAGGGGGTTGGACTCGATGGCCCTTGTGGTCTCTTCCAACTCTATGATTCTATGATTGTAGGGGTGTCCTTTGACCCCGAAGAGTCGAGTTCAGTTTAGAGTCAAAGAAGCAGAAAGCCTTTTAGTGATGGCTGGGAGATAGGGAGGGTCAGAGTTGGAAGGACACCTGCAAAAACATAATGATACGCAAGTCTGTGCCTCCTCCTGTTACCCACTTAAAACAGCCTTTTATTCAGAGGACTGGAATCCTACATAGTTTGAGCAGTGTTAGAAACTCAGATATATTAGCTAACCGCCAAATGGCACCTTAAACCTAGGTTGCGGTTGCCACAGCTGGTTGTCTAGGCACTTCTTTTTGGCACCTTAAACCTAGGTTGCGGTTGCCACAATGGAATGTCTAGGTAGCATTTTTTCCCCCAGTGAAGAAGAAGAAGAATTAATTTCATATTTATACTGCTTTGTAAGGGGCGCAGGTGGCACTGTGGGTTAAACCACAGAGCCTAGGGCTTGCCGATCAGAAGGTTGGCGGTTCGAATCCCTGCGACGGAGTGAGCTCCTGTTGCCCGGTCCCTGCTCCTGCCAACCTAGCAGTTCAAAAGCACGAAGTGCAAGTAGATAAATAGGTACTGCACCGGCGGGAAGGTAAACAGCATTTCCGTACGATGCTCTGGTTCGCCAGAAGCAGCTTAGTCATGCTGGCTACATGATCCAGAAGCTGTACGCCGGCTCCCTCGGCCAATAAAGCGAGATGAGCGCCACAACCCCAGAGTCGTCCGTGACTGGACCCAATGGTCAGGGGTCCCTTTACCTATACCGCTTTGTATTTTAAAGAAAGCCTCAAAGCAGTTTAAAATATCAAGTAAAACAATGCAGAATTAAACGAAATCAAGCTTAAAGGGAAATGTTTCAGATCCTTCTCTAAGGGACATTTTGCTTTCCCCCCATACCTATTTACCCACTCAATCTAAAGAGCTGCCCCATAGCCGAAGTGCTCTAGTAAACAAACCCTTCTGCTGACTTGCTTAAGTAAGCTGGAGGGGCCAGCCAGATAGAGATGTCAGCCGCCAGCCTAGCACTCAGAGATCTCTGTGTGGTCACGATTGGACCCGCGCCAGGGCCAGGACATGCCTGGCGACTGGGGAATTTCTAGCATAAATCCCTTGAGAAATCCCTTCCAGAGAAGCGGACACGGAGCAATGGATCCAAACTACAAGAAGAAGATTCCACCTAAACATTAGGAAGAACTTCCTGACAGTAAGAGCTGTTTGACAGTGGAATTTGCTGCCAAGGAGTGTGGTGGAGTCTCCTTCTTTGGAGGTCTTTAAGCAGAGGCTTGACAACCATATGTCAGAAGTGCTCTGATGGTGTTTCCTGCTTGGCAGGGGGTTGGACTCGATGGCCCTTGTGGTCTCTTCCAACTCTATGATTCTATGATTCTAAGAAAGGATGCAACTCGGATGTTGTGTTCAGAAGCACGGGTTGAGTTCCCAGCGTCTCCACGTACGGTGGGAAGAATCTCCCTGTCTAGATCCCTGCGGGGCGAGCCACTGCCAGACAGTGTAGCTAGACAGACCAAAGGTCTGACTCTGCAGAAGGCAACTTCCTGTGTTTCTTCCTCTGCTGGAACGACTTATCTGTGGCTCTTTCCTGTTAGTCCGACTCACTCGCCCCCTGCACACAATCTCTCCAGACACCCTTTGTGATGCTTCGGCTGCTGCCTGCTGGAATTTATCTCACATTCTCGGGTAGAACACAAAAAGCGGAATGCCCATCTGTCCAAGTTGACCGGGGGGGGCGCTCCCTACATACAGTGGTACCTCGGGTTACATACGCTTCAGGTTACATACGCTTCAGGTTACAGACTCCGCTAACCCAGAAATAGTGCTTCAGGTTAAGAACTTTGCTTCAGGATGAGAACAGAAATCGTGCTCCGGCGGCGCGGCGCCAGCAGGAGGCCCCATTAGCTAAAGTGGTGCTTCAGGTTAAGAACAGTTTCAGGTTAAGAATGGACCTCCGGAACGAATTAAGTACTTAACCCGAGGTACCACTGTACTGTGTTCTGTGAAGTGGGACTATTGTCCTTTGTTCCTTTTCTCTTTGCTGTCTGATGAGAAAGAGGAAAGAGCTAAGTCAGAATGCTCCAAGTGTATTATATGTAAATAAAAGTAGATTAGCCAAAATGCTGTGCTACTGAGTTCTGTTACGCAAACTGCCAATACTGCAGGATCGTAAGTGTTCTGATGCCTCTAGGTATCAGTCGCTGTGATGTTTGGGCTGAAGAAAGCTTTTGAAGCTCCCGAACGATCGACCAGGAGGGAGAGAACATGCCAATCGGGCATGTGTCTCTGCCAGAGTCCTACACACGAGTAGAACGAGCCTAACCGGAACAGAGGCAGGAAGGATAACCATGTCAGATCACTAACTCCTTGAAATACAATTTTTCTTCCGGATAGCTTGCCCATACACACTTTCCCCACCCCGGTCTTCTGAAAGTGGCTGAAGCCCCCTTCTCTTTTGCCTTCTCCTCGCAGCGATGGCCCAATCTGTCGAATCTGCCACGAAGGCGGAAGCGGAGAAGGCCTGCTCTCGCCCTGCGATTGCACGGGCACCTTGGGGACCGTCCACAAGAGCTGCCTGGAGAAGTGGCTTTCCTCCTCCAACACGAGCTACTGCGAACTGTGCCACACCGAGTTTGTCGTGGAGCGGCGGCCCAGGCCCCTGATTGAGGTGGGTTGCGCCTCCCTCACTTGCCGCAGGGCACGATCTCCAGGCTAGAGGTTTTGAGTGGGAAAGAGAACGACAAATCAGTTTCTTTGGAACACTTGCATTTCGCTCTATAAGACGCACCAGACCATAAGACACACCTAGACCATAAGACACACTGTGAAAGCAGTGATCCCTCTTGCTGTTCTGGCTTCTGGGATAGCTGCGCAGCCTGCATTCGCTCCATAAGACGCACACACATTTCCCCTTACTTTTTATAGAGCAAAAAATACGGTAATTTATAATAATTTTCTTTTATTCTCATAGACAACATTTTCAACGTGCGATTCTTTCCCCTTCATTCTGACAAATTAATCCCCCTCTGTCTTTTCCTTCCTTCTGTCCAGTGGCTGAAGGACCCCGGCCCACGCAACGAGAAACGGACGCTGTTCTGCGACATGGTGTGTTTCCTTTTCATCACCCCGCTGGCTGCCATCTCCGGCTGGCTTTGCCTCCGCGGTGCCCAAGACCACCTGCAGTTCAATAGCCGCTTGGAGGCCATTGGCCTGATTGCCCTGACCATAGCACTTTTTACCATCTATGTCCTTTGGACACTGGTGAGTGGTCACGCCCGCTTTCCTTCTCGGGGTTCTTCTTACACTAAATCAGTCTGCTCCTCCTCCTTACTATTATTTGGGGGCAGGTTATGGGTCAGTGATAGGGATGTGGGTGGCGCTGGGGGGTTAAACCACAGAGCCTAGGCCTTGCCGATCAGAAGGTCAGCGGTTCGAATCCCCGTGACGGGGTGAGCTCCCATTGCTCGGTCCCTGCTCCTGCCAACCTAGCAGTTCGAAAGCACGTCAAAGCGCAAGTAGACAAATTGGTACCGCTCCGGCGGGAAGGTAAACAGCATTTCCGTGCACTGCTCTGGTTCGCCAGAAGCGGCTTAGTCATGCTGGCCACATGACCCGGAAGCTGTACGCCGACTCCCTCGGCCAATAAAGCGAGATGAGCGCCGCAACCCCAGAGTCGGCCACGACTGGACCTAATGGTCAGGGGTCCCTTTACCTTTACCTTGGGCGATTCCAAACCTAACCCTGATTATTCTTGCTCTCCTTCCCCACCCGGCTTGTGACCCCCCTCCCACCCCGCCGGCCAGGTTTCATTCCGCTACCATTGCCAGCTGTACTCCGAGTGGCGAAGGACCAATCAGAAAGTCCGCCTGATGATCCCGGACTCGAGGAACCCGCACCCTGTCTCGCACTCGCTGCTCTCCGCCAAGCTCCTGAAGAAGAAGGCCGACGAGACGACCGTATGAGCCAGGAGCGGCCCTCTGTAGGCGAGGGGGGCCCTCCCCTTGCACGGGGCGGGGGGCGGGGAGGAGGGAGAGAGAGAGAGAGGAGAGAGCGGGATAGCACTTTCTCCCGCCCACAGCAGCAAAAGACTCGCCTAAACAATCAGCCTGACCAAAGGGGGAATCTTGCCACTTGCCCCGTTCCGCTGCGGCGAGAACACAGAACGACAACCGAGCCCCCCAGGGGTGTGTGCAATGAGCCTGGCTGGTGGTGGGCCCTGTGCGCCCCCCGGCCAGGCTCCGTCTTCGAGACGAAACCTAGCAAAGGAGAAAGAGAGCCTCTCCCTATATCCATATATCTATATTATATTACCATAATTATTGTTGTTATTATTATTATAATTTTGTCACTCTTCTTAATTTCCACGCCTGGTGTTGTCGCTGTTGCTGCTGTTGCTGTTTGTGTCCAGGCCCCTTTTTTTATGTCGTCCCAACAAACTTCCCCGCGAGAGATGCGGAGAGGCCACCTGCCCGTTGCTGCTGCTTCGACACCCCACCACCACCACTTTGTCGGTTTCACCCGGTGGAGCATTTGCTGTGGAGGTTTCTCGCCGCCGCCCGACTTCTCCTACGCAGCAACCGCTGCGGCTGCCGCATTTCGGGGAAGGCTCGAGAATCGATGAGTCCTTAACCCCCAGCGGTTTAATACCTGCTGTCCCTGTGGGTAGCAGCTGGGAAATGTCTGAGGAAGCCAAGGGCACCTCTGCAATAAATATCCACCCCGCGAAACACACCGGGTGTATTTTCAAGAACTTGCAATGACTTTCTAAGCTGTTATGAAAAGAAGCGGGGGAAAAGCAATGTGCAGATCTGCTTGTCATCTGATTGCATTTGGGAATGAATTGGTGCTCTTCCGAAGAACCGGAGGGTGGGAGGGAAGTTTCTTCCTCTTTTGCGCCCTTCTTTCCTCGGGGTCTCTCCAAGCCCCCTTTCCTGTTTTTGCACTACATAGATTTTTGGGGTGGGGGAGCGCCGAGCCCCCTCCCTCGTCCCCCCCTCCCTCTTGTTTCTTTGTCAGTGAAGTTTCTCTCCCCGGCCAGAGGATTCTGTGCGTTTGAGAATGGATTTGAAGTATAATAATCCCAGGAGGAGTAAAAAAAGAAAAAAAATTGAACCAATGTTGGGACTGGAGAAGTTTTTCTTTTTTTAAAAAAAAAGAAGGTTGCGACTGACTGAGTGGTAGTTTTTGAGAAGTCTCGGCAGCTCGTTGCTGTAATAATTTGTGCAACTCTCCGGCGTGGAAGGAAAGGTCTGTCCACGCTGGGGAAAGGGCTAAAAGTTTCTGAGCACTTGCTCCGTGAAGAGCATACGGAAAGTTCATTTTAAAGAGGAATTGCTTCACGTTCACCCGCTCCGAAAAAGGAACCAGTTCGGTCCCTGTTCAATGCACAGTTCAATTCACAATCCATCCATGTGGTTGGTCCTTAATCTCCGCTGCCCCGCTTATCTTCAGAATTTTACAATCAGCTCTGCTAAAGTATAAAAGACACTTTGGAAATTGAAAAGAAAAAAACATCAAAACACATATCGTGTACAGTAATATGAACAGTTGATTTATTTACTTCCCCCCAGCAATTATAGTCTGTGGGTAAAACCTCAGCGCCTAGGACTAGCCGATCGCATGGTCGGCGGTTCGAATTCCCGCGGCGGGGTGAGCTCCCGTCGTTCGGTCCCAGCTCCTGCCCACCTAGCAGTTCGAAAGCACCCTTAAGTGCAAGTAGATAAATAGGTACCGCTTTATAGCGGGAAGGTAAACGGCGTTCCGTGTGCTGCTCTGGTGCCGGTTCGCCAGAGCAGCTTCGTCACGCTGGCCACGTGACCCGGAAGTGTCTGCGGACAGCTCTGGCTCCCGGCCTCTAGAGTGAGATGAGCGCACATCCCCTAGAGTCTGTCAAGACTGGCCCGTACGGGCAGGGGTATCTTTACCTTAAGCTTAAACAGCAATATTTACTTTCCCCCAGTCTTTAAGCTTAAACAGCAAAGTCACTTTTCAGAGAGTTAAAAATGGTAAATGTAGTGACTGCAATCAAACACAAGAGTTGAGTGCGGTGAAACCTATTACTGCCAGCCTTACAACCTTAAAAAACCCACACGACACATAGCTCCTTCTCTTGACACATCTGTGTTGCACAGAGCCCAGGATGGATTTCTGCCTCCATAGTCTGGGTCTTCTCTGTTCTTTCCTGATTGCACATTTTTTTCTTCATCTTGAAAAATCCCATCAATTAAAAAAACAGCACACAGAATAGTGTCTTCAGTGGGGTGGATGTAAAGGCACTTTTGCGGTTCGGCTGACCGTTGTGGCAGTCGGCTGACTTCCGCTGGGAAAAGGGCAGTTCTACTGAAGCAGGTCTCCAGTGTTCAGAACTAGGGGCATATTTGGGATTCATGGGAGACTTGGAAGCGAAGGAGCTTCGCAGACTTAAAAGACTGGCTCACGTCTTTAAAAGACCAGTCCTGATCCCGTCTGCAGCCTCCCTTGTACTTTGTAGTGAAGTTTGGGCCAACTTTTGCCGTGTTTTTTAAGAAATTATGCTTACTTGTATATTATCATTATTATAAAAACATATAAACCACTTGCAGGGGTCAGCAAACTTTTTCAGCAGGGGGCTGGTCCACTGTCCCTCAGACCTTGTGGGGGGCCGGACTATATTTTGGAAAAAAAAATATGAACCAATTCCTATGCCCCACAAATAACCCAGAGATGCATTTTAAATAAAAGGACACATTCTGCTCATGTAAAAACACCAGGCAGGCCCCACGAATAACCCAGAGATGCATTTGAAATAAAAGAACACATTCTACTCATATAAAAATATGCTGATTCCCGGACCATCCGCGGGCCGGATTGAGAAGGCGATTGGGCCAGATCCGGCCCCCGGGCCTTAGTTTGCCTACCCATGACCTATTATGGCATCTTTTTATCAAGGGTTATAGTGGCACATATCCTAAGACTTGGGCTGTATCCAAGCAGGGTTTAGTCCAAAAGCAGACACGTGTAAATGAATGAACATGCCTAACTTAAGTTTCATTAATTGTGGTGAGTCTACATAAGCGAATTCATTAAAAAAAAAAACCAGAGCAGTTTACAGCAACTGGTGCATACCATAAAAACCCTGTTAAAAATGTTAAAAGCAGAAATCAGGTTAACCGTGTAGGAGTTTTAGTGTGCGGATTTTTGTGGAACTATAGGGTGCACCTGCCAAATATATATACAGTGGTACCTCGGGTTACAGACGCTTCAGGTTACATATGCTTCAGGTTACAGACTCCACTAACCCAGAAATGGTACCTCAGGTTAAGAACTTTGCATCAGGATGAGAACAGAAATTGCGCAGCGGCAGCGGGAGGCCTCATTAGCTAAAGTGGTGCTTCAGGTTAAGAACAGTTTCAGGTTAAGAACGGACCTCTGGAGCAATTAAGTTCTTAACCCGAGGTACCACTGTATATTTTAAAAGTCATAAAAAATTTCACTTCTCAAGGTCTGTTTTCCAGGTGGAAAATACCAGAATAAAAGGACATAGACCATTTCAGACAAAAATCCCTTGAGGAAAAGAGAAGGGCATCTTTAATATTGCTGCAGCAGGGCCAATCTTACAGAAGAGAAAAGGGAACATGGTTCCTTGGCTTTAATTACATGTTAATTTCTAAAACCATCAACTGCTACTTTGATTTGGACTTGATTTCTTATCTTTCCATGCTGCTTTTCAGTCAAATGAACCCCAGACCAGCTTACAAACAATAAATAAGAATAACATGTTAGAGAACATAATAAAGGTAAAGGTAAAGGGACCCCTGACCATTAGGTCCAGTCGTGGCCGACTCTGGGGTTGCGGCGCTCATCTCGCTTTATTGGCCGAGGGAGCCGGCGTACCGCTTCCGGGTCATGTGGCCAGCAGGACTAAGGCGCTTCTGGCGAACCAGAGCAGCGCACAGAAACGCCATTTACCTTCCCGCCGAAGCGGTACCTATTTATCTACTTGCACTTTGACGTGCTTTCGAACTGCTAGGTTGGCAGGAGCAGGGACCGAGCAACGGAAGCTCACCCCGTTGCAGGGATTAGAACTGCCAACCTTCTGATTGGCAAGTCCTAGGCTCTGTGGTTTAACCCACAGCGCCACCCACATAAGTCATACAGAGTGATTAACAAATCACCAGTAAAACAAATTAAATTGATTAACAAACATAAACTATTGTCCTATTGACTCAAGATGTTTAGCTCTTACTTGCAAAGAGATGCACCTAAGAACATTTCTGGAATTAATTCAGAAAACACGCCTGATCATCCGGTTCAGAAAAGACGCTATTTAGAAACCATTTCATTCACAAAAGGGATGTGCGGCCAAGCACTTGAATTTCTAAAGGCAAGGAAATATGGAGGCTGAGTAGCTTTCTAGAGGATCGATTCAGCCTCCTGTCAATTTCACATCGCCATTCCTACGTAATAATCCGTTTTGCTATTCCACATCATCCAGATGCGTTTGGGTTTCCTGGCACCCTAAAGGTAGGAGACACAGGTATGATTTTTTGACATATAATAATACAGAGCAGCTGTGGATTCCTGGAGTTTGAACCCGCAAGGGATTTATACATACCCTGTGCTCTGATTTCCTTAGTATCCCGAGGTGAGATATGGCTAGTGTTGGGCTGGCCCTGGGAGAGCCGGGTTCGAATCTCCATGAAGCTCACTGGCTGACCTTGGAGTCAGTCGCCTAACCTCACAGGGACGAGGAGAACCATGGACACCACCTCGAGATCCTTGGAAGATAAAGGTGGTTTTTAAATGAAATAATAATAAATGAATGGATGGCCTGGCTGCATTATCTCCCTCCTTCTGCCAATTGAGGAGAGCCGCTTTTCCAAAGGGAAGCTTTCTCGATGCTAAAGGGAGAGAAAAGCCTTTTTGCATGAAGTTCATGCAGATGCTTTCTGATGAACTGGGAAGAGATGTCTTGGGAAGGGTGGAGGAAAGAAAAAAATGTATTGTTGTAAACAAAAATTGCCTTTTTCCCTTATGGGGTATCCAAGAGCCCATATAGAGTCCTTACATAGGTTCCCTATTGGTAGGAGAAAATAACAGAGGCCAACCAGAGAATATTGAGAAGCAAAGCAGCTAGCAAGCTTGATCTTTATTCATCTGTTGCAACAGGGTGCTCCCCTCACACGCAGGAGAGGAGGGACCCAGAAAAATGGCACGCAAGGCCTTATAAAGACTTTTGAAATTCCCATCCTGTAGATGAAGACCACCCCCAGAAACATCATACATACATCACAGAAAAGGAAGTCTAAACAGAAATTTGAATGTTGTTTTTCTCCTGTCCTTGTTTATCTCCTGTCTGGCAGGTTACTTGATTGGATTGCCTGGGGAGCCTGGCCAGTCTTTTGTAGTGATAAATACTTAGTTCCTGGGCCAGGTCACAGGCTCACACCCTATTCATATCTTAAATGTTCCCTTAAGACAGGATTTGTGAGGAAAGAGACAATGGGGAGGTTTCCCACTTTGACCTTGCAGAGGAAACATTTGGTCAGTTTAGGAATCAAAATGGTTCCAGGTTGGTCTTCCTGTGCTGATCTATGTATGTGCTTGGTTGGTACGCTTATGAACATTACCATATATCTAAGGCCTCAAAATTCCTATCACAGTATCATCCAGGGAATTTATTTTTTTAATTTTTTGTTTCTGGTTCTCTAGGGTGCCAAAAATCAATCTCCTGAACAATTGCAGAGTTGGAACGGGGCCTTAGGGTCATCTAGCCCAACCCCCTGCTGCCGAGTTAGAAAAATGGAGCCAGCCCATTTGGAAACCAAATAGATCTTTTTAATCTTTTTATCGGTTTTCGTTCTTTGGGTTTTATGTTTTTGTATGTTTTGTTTGTAAATGAATTAAAATAATATTGTTTCACAAATGAAAAAGGGAGAAAGTGAGGAAGTAAAAAGAACTGCACCCTTTAAGTTTGCTGATTTTTTTTTATTTTGAAATTATTTTATTTTGAAATTATTTTATTTATTTTATTTTGAAATTTTATTTAATTTTGAAATTATTTTATTTATTTTATTTTGAAATTTTATTTTATTTTGAAATTATTTATGGCACATTCTTCCTTTCAATATAGGGAGAGCGCCTAAAGTTCAAACTCTTTTGGCAGCTGTGGTCAAAGGGCAGCATAGAGACTGGAGGGGCAGAGCGGCCCTCTTCTGGCTCCGCCCTCCGCGTTGCCATGGAGACCCTGCCGGCAAAGCGGCCTCCTCTCACTTCTCATAGCCTTTTCCTGGATTCCGACTCCGTACCCCACATCAATCATCGAGGCTGGCCGCCTTGCGTCGAAGAGAGTTATCGTAGGCGGCTAGGCCTGGATATTTCATGAACTACAACTCCCGTCATCCCTAGAGAGCGAGGCCGCCGGTCAAGGACGACGGGAATTGGAGTTTATCAACGGGAAGAGAATACCGGAAGTCCGGGCTGCGTTGCCGCTCTATCATTATCTCTACTGTCCTTCCTATCCAAATAACGAAGCAGCAGCAGGGAGGAGATGTTTCTGGAGAGGGGGCGTGGCTCTCTCTCGAGGACTGAGGGGGAAAGGGGCGTGGCTCACGGAAGGAAGAGAAGGGGCGTGGCCCTCGGAGGAGGGGCGTGGTTATCTCGAGAAATATGAGGAGGAGAGGGGGCGTGGCTTTCGGGAGGAGGGACAAGGGGCGTGGCTCCCGCCAGGACCATGAACCGAGGGGGCGTGTTTCCCCGGGGCTTTGCTACTTATTGGCTGAGGCGGAGCGGCGGCGGGAGGGGGGGGGTGACGCATGCGCACTCGTTCGCGCGGGCGACGGTCTGAGAAGGAGCAGAAAATGGCGGCGGCTGTGGCGGCGGCGGTTTCGGAAGGCGGCGCCAAGATGGCGGAGGCCGGGGCCTTGGCCGGAGGAGGGATGGCGGCGGCCAACGGGGCTGGCAACGGCGTCGGGGAGGGCGTCCCCAAGAGGTACGTGGGGAGGAGGAGGAAGCCGGTCGAGGAGCGCCTCAGAAAAGGGGGGGAAAAGAGGCATTTGCGCGCCACATCCGGGAACGGAGGCATTTCCCCCCCCCCCCAATTCTCTTGTCTCTGCCACTAACTCGGCTGAAGTGGAACCGTAAGGGGTCCCGAGAGACATCTAGTCGAGCCCGCCTGGAAGCGAAGGCCTGGCTTGGTTTCGCCCGCCAAATCCGCGAAACGAAAAGGAGAGAGAAATTGGGGGGGGGGGAGGCCAAGAGGGATGGGTCTTAGCAGAGAAGTCGTTGAGGTTTTCCGTGAAAAAATGATATGGTTATAGGAATTCTGAGGTCCATATATATATATATATATATATATACACACATACATATATATAGGGAGATATATATATATATATATATATATACACACACACACACACACACACACACACAAACATATACATATATATATATATATACACACACACACACACACACACACATATATATAGGGAGATATATATATATATATATATATATATATGTATATACAGATACACACACACACACACACACACATATATATATAATACAGTGGTACATACGCTTCAGGTTACACACGCTTCAGGTTACACACTCCACTAAGCCAGAAATAGTGCTTCAGGTTAAGAACTTTGCTTCAGGATAAGAACAGAAATCAGGCTCCGGTGGCACGGCGGCAGCAGGAGGCACCAATAGCTAAAGTGGTGCTTCAGGTTAAGAACAGTTTCAGGTTAAGAACGGACCTCCGGAACGAATTAAGTACTTAACCCGCGGTACCACTGTACAGACACACACACACACATATATATAGACATATATCTACACATATACACACATATGCACACACACATATATATATAATATTCGTAAACGTACAAGGCAAACACATACATAAGTATATAAACCACGTGTCTGAAATAGTGCAGGAGAGCAATCCTGAAGCCATTTTGACTCCTCCTAAATTGACCTCAAATGTGTCTTCAAGGAGGAAGGAAATGGGGAAAACTTTTTGCAGTTGTCTTTTGACTGGGGCTTACAGCTCCCTTTGCAAATACAGCATGGCAAGTATCTCTGTTAAGCTGAGCACACTGTCAATACGCGTAAGAGATTCAGGAACTACAGTGGTGCCCCGCAAGATGAAATTAATCCGTTCCGCGAGTCTCTTCGTCTTGCGGTTTTTTCGTCTTGCGAAGCGCGGCTTAGCGGCTGTTAACGGCTTAGCGGCTTTAAGAAAAAGGAAACAAACTCGCAAGAACTCGCAAGACGTTTCGTCTTGTGAAGCAAGCCCATAGGGAAATTCGTCTTGCGGAACGACTCAAAAAATGCAAAACCCTTTCGTCTAGCGAGTTTTTCGTCTTGCGAGGCATTCGTCTTGTGGGGCACCACTGTAAGTATTTTACCATTTCAGAGGAATGGCTAGGCTGCCCAGAAAAGGCAACCAGATAAGGCATTACAATATCAGGAATTCTGGCAGACAGGAGAGAAGCAACACATTCAAATTTCTGCTGGGGACCACCTCTTTCTGTAATGTATGCATGATGTTTTGAGTTACAGTAGAAGTGTTTTGCTGCATGCGCTGAAGCGGTCTACTGCCATGTGTGCATGCGCAGAAGCGGTGTACCGCTTCTCAGGTTGTGAAAATCTCGGGATCCAGATGGACTCCTGGAACGCATCCCGTTCGCAACCAGAGGTACCACTGTACTAATATACCGAGTGTGTGTGTGTGTATACCCACCCTTTTTTGGCTTTGGGTGCTAAATGCTGGAAGGGTTTGAGCTGGGTAACTTCTAAAATACAGTGGTGCCCCGCAAGACGAATGCCTCGCAAGACGGAAAAACCGCTAGACGAAAGGGTTTTCCGTTTTGGAGTTGCTTCGCAGGACGAATTCCCCTATGGGCTTGCTTCGCAAGACGAAAATGTCTTGCGAGTCTTGAGATTTTTTTTTCACTCCCCCCCCCCTTTATCTAAGCTGCTAAGCCTTTAATAGCCTTTTAGCAGCTAATCCGCTAAGCCTTTAAGCCTTTAATAGCCGCTAAACCGCTAATAGCGCTAATCCGTTAAGCCACTAATAGGGTTGCTTCGCAAGACGAAAAAACCGCTAGACGAAGACACTCGCGGAACGGATTAATTTCGTCTTGCGAGGCACCACTGTACCTTAACTGTAGGCCTCTTTTCTTTGCAGTGAAGGCGAGCGGCCAACCCAGAACGAGAAAAGGAAGGAGAAAAGTGCCAAGCGTGGAGGAGGGAGTCGCTTTGAGCCCTATGCCAGCCCTTCGAAAAGATACCGGGCCTTCATTACCAACATCCCCTTCGATGTGAAGTGGCAGTACCTCAAAGATCTAGTCAAAGAGAAAGGTAAACAGCTCTGCGTATGTCTGAGCTGCAACGTTGCGCCCTTCCCCATGGCGTTAATTTTCCCTCCTTCTGAAGCTGGGAGCGTGCCAGAGGTGATTCTGGGTAGCTGTAGCTATGTTGAAGAAGCAAGGTTTTTTTTTGAGGACAGGCTCTCCAGATGGTGCATGCTAGCTGCTGTGCCCTCACAGGATGCATCCTGTGTGTGCAGGTGTTTGGCATTGTCTAGAAGGCTTCAGAGCAAAAGAGTCTTTGCAGTCCCTTGGAAGAGGCGAGGCTTCTATCATCAGGGCCTGGTGTGAGCTTTTTTTCCCCCTTTCAAATATTGGAAATGCTTTTGAAGCCTTTCATGGGTCTGGACACGTTTTGCTGCTGAGGAGAAGGAGAGCAGCCTTCCTCCTGGTTGATGCAATCTTGCTTTCGTTGTTGAATATCCAGGACCGTTTAAGAGTGAACTCCAAAGGAGGATGGGTTGCCTTCCCCCACCTTTCCCTTTTTGTCTTGCAAAAGGGTGACTTGATTGGCTCCTCCATTCTGGTCATAGCTTTGTCCTAAATCCTCACAAAGATTTACAGTTCCGGGGGAAATTTGGCCAAAAGAAGCGATTCCACCACGTTTCAAATAAAGAACTCCCCCCACAGACATATTTTTCATCCAAAAAGTCAACACAGAATTGGAACCAAACTATAATCTGTTCATAGCTGAATAATGAGCTACAGAGCAAATATTTAGGGGGGAAATAAGGGGGGGGGAGGGAATCCATCCTCCTGGAGGGCATCTCTGGAAACGCATTATAAATTGGGAAATAAATTTGGGTCACGTGCTTTGAAACTTAGGGTCCCCGTGGCTTAAAGTGGAGAACGATGGCTAACGTGCTTAGGAGCCTAAGGAAGTGCAGGGAAGGTTCCCTTGAGGCAAATGGGGATTACACGCACAACACCGTTAAGGGATGTGTGGCCCATTCACACGTAACATGTCAACACTCAGTGTGGTGCGTGTTGGTAGCCCCAGAGATCTCAGTAGCTTTCAGCAGATGGTGGATTCACAGGCTAACTGTCCGGTCCTCCTTCCAGCTATGGTTTCGTTACATTGAATGGAACGCCGCTTTGGAACGTGACAGTTACTGATCTACGCCGTGCGTGAAATATTGGCGAATAGGAACGTGTGTGTTCATAGCTGTGTCCCACTGCAAGCCCTGCGCTGAGCTTGTGTGTTTTCGGCCTTTCCTTCAGCTCGCGTGGATGCCAAAATCTTAACGTGGGACCGCTTTTCCTCTTGTTGCTCTGCTCAGCTGCTTATCCTGGCAGGTGATCCCGGGAGGAAAAAAAAGAGAAATCCTCTTCGTTCTCTCTGCAGATAGTTTAGTGTGTTATGTACAGACGAGAGCGTTCTTGGGTTTTGTGACTGCAGCCCAGAGTTGATTAATCTGGCATCGCTTAAAGCTGCTTCCCCCCCCCCCCCAGCCCCATTCACTAAAAACGATTGCTTAAGGCAGTCCAAATTAATTACTCTCGATGCAAGTCACCATAGTTCCAAGAACTAGGAATGTGGCTCTAAAAACAGTTAGCATTTTGGGTTTTTGTATGTAAGAATTACAGGGCCCCCAGGTTCAAGTTTAGGAGCAGCATCTAAACTGAGGTGACAGACTGCTGCTCCATCACGCAACAACCGTGGGATTTATAATAGTAACTCCAGAGGCATCTTTGGTGCCAGTAAGTATGGTTTAGAAGACTTTTAAGTGTTGTGGTCTGTTCAGATCTCACCTGGTGTGTTTTGGATGCCTCTCTTCGAAATGTTTTTAATGGTGTCCTCCTCTCGGTGAAGTCATTTCAGTTTTATCACTTGTTGGTGAAACTTAACGTTACAGGTGTGTGGTACGTTATCCTTTTTTACTATTATTTAACTTTATGCCAGTGTTCTTGATATTCCTCCACCTAAAACAGTACACAGAGCAATGGGATACAAAATCTAGGAGCCGTGTGGCTTCTGGGAACTGGATTATTCACCAGGACAGGCAGGTGGAGGTGCTAGACTTCAAAAGTGTGCCTGGACATCTCCATTCAGTCGCAAAAGGCCTGTTGCCAGTTGCAAAATGCGACTGTCGCCTGGCTGCTTTCAAACACTGACCCAGTGTTGACTCAGAAGAGCTTTGGCAAAGTGATGTGGTCTGGACTTAGACCCCTTGTGGGATGGGACCTGTTTCAAGCCTCTCTCTTAGGACAGTGTTTGGGAGAAATGGGTTTTGGGCTGTGAAGTTCAGCCCGATAATTTAAGTAGATCACATGCTTTCTAGCGTAAAGTGTAGCATTTCCCTCCGCCCCCCCCATGACGCTTATTTTAACCCAGACTTGGGGAGCAGCAGCAAATGGCGGAAACCAGAATTGCAGGTTTTTCGATTGCTGAAAAGCGGCGCAAAGCAAAATCTGCATTGTAAAACTCACATCTGGTCACTGTGGAGAAAGAAATGTGGAAGTGGAAAGGGCTAGTGTGTTGTACTAGTTGGATGAGAGGAGTCAGTTTGAAGTGTAAACCCTTTTGCACTATCTGTAGCTCCTTTGAGGAAAAGTAGGAGATGCCTGTAAATTCAAGATTTAGCCACATGGCATAAATAGAATCCTGAATTCAGGGGCAACTTGGGAGTAGAAAAAACCAACCTGGTCTTCTGTTAAATAGACTCTAAACTCCCCTATGAGGAAGGGGCTTTCCAGTATAGAGGAAAGGCAAGTAAGGGGGCAAGATAGAAGTGTCTAAAATGATGCATTGGATAGAGAAAACGTTTTCTCCTTGTCTCATAGCACTAAAACTAGGAGTAATCCAGTGAAGCTTAATGTGGGACGATTGCAGGACAGACAAAAGAAAGGGCTTCCTCACACATGGTTAAGCTATTAAATTTCCTCCTGCAAGAGGCAGCGATCGCCACCGACTTGGGTGCCTTTAAAAGAGGATTAGACAAGTTAACGGAGGATCAGGCTGCCAACAGGTACGATAACCCTGAAGGCTGCCTCCACTATTGTGGGCAGAGTGGCTCTGTTTGTGTGCCTCCCATAGGCATCTGTCTAGTTGGCCTCCCTGGGAACAGGGTGCTGGACTAGATCCAGCAGTGCCCTTCTTAATATTCTTAAGCGTTAATTAGATTCGAGCCTTTAGCTAAAGAGGGCGACAATAGCCCATGCGAGGTTTCCCTCTTGTCTCGGTCCCCAGAGATGAACGGGCATCAAAGCCTGAGGGAAACTGAAAGGCATGGTAACATAGCGCGAGGAAATCAAGGATATGTCTTTGACTCTGGTTTGATACGTATCACACACCTGTAATGCCAAGTTGCGGTGGACTAGCAAATGTGGAGTGTTCCTGGGCTTTTAATAAGGCAAAGGCTCCATATAAGGTTGTTGACGATTGTTCTAAATCCCCCTTGTTTTCTTGGCTTTCTCCCCTTGGTCTATGTACCGTCTGGAATCTCATTTGTAGTTGGTGAGGTAACATACGTGGAGCTCTTAATGGACGCTGAAGGAAAGTCAAGGGTAAGTCTCCGAGAGAATTTCTTCCGTGGATTTTTACTACATGACCAAAAAAATAATGATAAAAAAATAAATAATGTAACTGTTAACGGTTGGAACCAAATGAACTTGGGATGCGTAGTGTGTATGGTTTTATCGTCGGCGCTGCCCCAGAGCTGCTTGGTGTGGGGGGGGAGGAGGTGGACATGGGGCATGTTAGACGCAGCAGCAACCCTCTGCTGCCCTCCTTTGGTGTTTGGCTGTATGACTTACGCATGGGTCCTTGTGTACTTTCTTTACTGGTACATGAACGTCCAAATCCTTAGCCTAAATGTTTCTCGTGGTTCTCGTTGCTGACCTTTGTAAGCTCGGTGTGGAAGAGAGGTTGCATAAATGTCAGAACTCCATGGCAGTCTGTGTCTAAATGTAAAAAACGAAGATAGCTGTTGCAGGCGTCCATTGCTTTTCAGTTCAGTGGAAGGTAGTTTCAGACTCTTCCCTGAAGGCTGATTTCTTTTGGGGGTAGAGTGGCTAGAGGTTGGATGTCCTAGAGGCAAGTAGGAGCTCGAAGAGTGACGTCTCTGAGAGAAGTTGGGAGTCTTGTCTGCATATCATTACTCCTTTTGCGTCAGCCCTAGCCATGTAGCTTCTAGGATGCAGGCAAATTGTTCTGCCGCTTGTTAAAACAGCAAAATCTTGACCTTAACGACTGTAAAGACAAACGAGTATCCTTTTTAAATATCTTAAGCTCATCTGGCTCTTTACTGACCTGTTCCTTTTCCTTCCTGCTCTGCGCTCTTCTCCTCCCTGCCTGACATGAAATTTCCACGTCGAAAGGGATGTGCGTAAGTAGCTGAACCACCTTATTGAACCACCTTACTGTAGCAGGGGGCGTGGGTGACATCCGGGAGCCTTTTGTGATTCTCTCTGGGTTTCTTTTTTTCCTTTCCCCCCTGCAGTGTTGTCGAGTTCAAGATGGAAGAGAGCATGAAGAAGGCTGTAGAGGTTCTCAACAAGCACAGCCTCAGCGGGCGGCCCTTGAAAGTGAAGGAGGTGAGCCTGTGGAGGCTGCAGCTGCCTGTCTCTCCCCCTGCTCTGGCTCGCTTCCATAAGACAGTGTAGTGGAGGGCCCCCCCCCCCAAAAAAAAGAATCCCAGTGCCACAGGATAGTTCTTATAAGGGCTGAGCAACCTGTGTCTGGGCTTTATCACTTCCCCCTTCCAGGTCTCACATGATTCAGTGCTCATGCCTACATCGGAAGTCATCCTACCAGCATGAAGGTTGAGCACGAATGCTTCCCTGATCTCTAGCTTTCTTAGACAGTTGGCTTTCCGGCTGCTCTGCAGGATGAGAGCTTGCCTAAACCTTTCCCCACTTTTTTCTGTCCTAGGATCCTGATGGAGAGCATGTGAGGAGAGCCGTACAGAAGGCCATGGCTGCATCTGGTGGCGGGATGGGGATCGGCCCTGGTCCCGGCGGCCCCGGGATGATCAACATCCCTCCCAGCATCCTCAATAACCCAAACATCCCCAACGAGATCATTCATGCCCTGCAGGCAGGCAGGCTTGGGAGCACGGTCTTTGTGGCCAATGTGAGTGGCCCCTTTGTCTTGCCTTTTTTTAAAAAAATATATATTTCTATTAGTTTTAAAATATAAAATTATAAAACATACCACACAATTCATCACAAATACCCTCTTATTAGGCTTCCATCAGAACCTCTGACAATCCTCCGTCTTAATCACTTCTTACACATTTCCTAACTTAATATCGCCTTTACATTTATAACACAACTCATCTCCTTCTTCATTTTTGCAATATTTCTAATATTAATCCTCACAGAGCTTCCTGCAAGCCTACAAACGTCATCTGGTCATCACAAATACTTGTCGAATAATCTGTAAATTTAGTCCAGTCCTCGGTAAACTTCTGGTCCCACCAGTTTCGGATCCTTCCCGTTAGTTTATCAAGTTCCGCATAGTCCATTAATTTCATCCTCCATTCTTCAATCGTTGGTAATTCTTCTTGCTTCCATTTTTGGGCCAATAGAAGAGGAAGAAGAGAAGAGTTTGGATTTGATATCCCGCGTTTCACTCCCTTTAAGGAGTCTCAAAGCGGCTAACATTCTCCTTTCCCTTCCTCCCCCACAACAAACACTCTGTGAGGTGAGTGGGTCTGAGAGACTTCAGAGAAGTGAGACTGGCCCAAGGTCACCCAGCAGCTGCAGGTGGAGGAGCGGAGACGCGAACCCGGTTCACCAGATTACGAGACTACCGCTCTTAACCACTACACCACACTGGCTCTCGATAGTATTCTTGCTGCCGTTACTGCATATAAAAAAGCTTGCATTCCTTTTTATGTATATCATTTCCAAGAATTCCCAAGAGAAATGCTTCTGCTTTCTTTATTAATGTATATTTCAGCATTTTTTTCAATTCGTTATATATCATCTCCCAGAAGCCTTTCACCTTTTTACATTCCCACCACCCTTTGTCTTGCCTTTGCTCGTGCGCTGTGTCATCTGTGTTGTTCCTTAAGGAGCCTGGTGATTTTGCAGCTTCTTGGGAAAGTTCTAGCCCTGGCGTCAGGGCAGCTGAACATCTTAACATGCCTTTGCCTGTATGAAGCAGGATATTTTGAGTGTATTTTCTTATCCCTCCTCTGCTTTCCTTCATGCCCAAAAGGCAGTGTGATGGTGAGGGTCGTTAGAGGTCTTGCACTGAACCTCCACACCCCTACTGATAGTGTTTTTTTGTTTTTTGAAAGCATCTAGCATTTGCTAAGTGATGTACGGAGATGTGAGAGCATGGCGATCCCTACCCCTCCCTAAAAGAAAGAAGAGATGGGGAGGATAGAGGAAAAAGCAAGCGAACTATTTAATCCTACCAGTCATCTTCTTCTTTTTCCCTTTTTCATGTTTGGATCCTTATGTCTCCAAAACAGCACCACCCACTGTTTGAGATCCCTGGCTTTGCAAAGTAGAAAATGCCTTTAGGGAAAACAGATCAGAGGGAGAAAGAGAGAAACCTAATGGCATTCTGACTGACTGGGGGGAAGGAATGGAGTATGTTGGAAAGGGACACATCAGGGTCCCCTTGTTAACAATAATATATCACCATGACAAAGTGTGGGAACAGAGAGCTCTTCTGATTCTCAAAAGCACCATTGTCCACTCCATATAAAAGGCAGGGTGAGGCGTGGGAAGGTGTGTCTTAATTTTGTGCCCAGGGGACTCTTCCAGCTAACGGGTTAACTTTTAGCTTGGTTAGCTCTTAATTTAATGCAGTAAAAATGCCACTTGAGAGCTGTTCCTTTATGTCAGGCATAGGCAAACTGGCCCTCCAGATGTTTGGGACTACAATTCCCATCATCCCTAGCTAACAGGACCGGTGGTCAGGGATGATGGGAATTGTAGTCCCAAACATCTGGAGGACCAGAGTTTGCCTATGCCTGCTTTATGTGAAACGGGTCTTGTGGGTGGTTTTAACACAGCTGAGCTTCATGTGTAGGCTGTGTTGTGGTTCATTCTGCTCAGAGATATTTCTGAACGATAGTGAAAACCCAGCTCTTGATACTGAGATACAAGCCGCCCCTCAGGCTGACTCTTAGTCCTATCTGTGCTTTGTTGGCTTTTCACCTTAAAGGTCACTCTTCTGTCGCTTAAGCACTGTGTTCTTGTTAGCTATTCTTTTGAGTCGTGCAGAGCGATGCAGCGGTTTCACCCTCGAAGCCCTAGCGATGAAGTAGACGCCACACACAAGACTCTGAGGATCACGCTTTGCTTGCAGGATGGCGACTATTAACGAGCAGCAGTATTTATGCATATCGAGCCGCATACAGTGGTACCTCTAGATACGCACACCTCTGGTTGCGTATCTTTCAGGATGCGAACGCGGCAAATTCCGGGTTTTGCCGCATGCGCAGAAGTGCTCTACACACCGTGCGCATGCGCAGAAGCGGCACCTCTGGTTGCAAATCCCTCAGGATGCGGCTGGATCTTCGGAACGGATCCCGTTCGCAGCCGGAGGTACCACTGTACAATGTGTTTCTCTCCCTTGAGCCCAAGAGAGGGTCTTCTTGCTTCTTCTAAAACTCCTTTGAAGCAGTCCATAAATTATAGCTTCTCTGTCCTCACCAACTCCTTCCGGACACTGTGTCTCCATGCTCAAGAAAACCACGGCAAAACAACCAGCCAGCCTCCACCCCCTATCACTACCTCAGAGACACAGATTGCTCACTTTAACAGGGAGTTGACAAGTGGTCAAGACAACAGATTCAGCATTTCTGCGACCTGAATTGGAGTCGCAGAATTTGCAGCTGTTACATTACATAGGTTTCCTTTTCGCCCGATGCAATCTGTTCTTTGTAAAATACATTTTCGTACAAACACTAACCCCTTCTCCCTCTCCTCCTTCAGCTGGATTACAAAGTTGGCTGGAAGAAGCTGAAGGAGGTGTTCAGCATGGCTGGCGTGGTGGTCCGGGCAGACATCCTGGAAGACAAAGACGGGAAGAGCCGGGGCATCGGCACAGTGACTTTTGAGCAGGCTATTGAAGCTGTTCAGGCCATTTGTATCTTTCGCTGGGGCTGGGGGGGTGGGAAGGGTGATAGCCGAGGAGGGCACAAGTTGCAGAATTCCTGCACGTACACCCAGGGAATAATCTATGGGCTTTTTGGTGGAGATGCTGGTGGTTCACCTCTGTGTCCCAACCTTAACCAAGCTGGGTTTTTCAAACTTGGGTCCCCAGCTGTTTTTGGACTATAGCTCCCATTGTTCTTGACCACTGGTCCTGCTAGCTAGGGATGATGGGAGTTGTAGTCCAGAAACAGCTGGGGACACGGGTTTGGGAAGCCCTGATCTAAGGGCTAGTTCATACAAACAGCATTTGTGGTGGGAATCTGTTTTTGGACTGGCTGTTTGAGACTCACACTGTTCACTGTGCGTGGGGGGGACACACCTCACAATCTCCTCTATGTAGAAAAAAACTAATGTCAATGAGAAGCTGAGGTTAGCTATGGGGTAGGGGAATCTGTAACCCTCCGGATGTACCCTTCCATCATCCCTGACCCCTAGAGGCTGATGAGAGTTGAAATTTGATAATACCTGGCAGGCCACAAGTTCTCCATCTCTTGGCTAGAACTGCTAGCTTTCTACATGCAGGGAATCTTTTTAAACTTGGTTCAGGATTTTGCCATGTGACCCTCCACCTGCGGCTGAAGTATTGAGGAAGAGTTAGGTGTGTACATTGTAAAGCTGATTTATTTAAAATTTCATATATTTTCCAGTCTTTATACCATCCCACCATGAAACTCTATACCTCTGTTTTCTGAACCTTAATAATCATTTTCCAATATTGTTGTGGTGCAAAAACATGACATGAGACACAGATATCCATTATTTTTTTTCAAGAGGTGCTCTCAAAATCACCCAACAAATCAAGGGTCACTTCTGTGTCCATAGATGTCTTCAGTGATTATTGGTGGTTCCGTTTATTTATTTCTACGTGCCCCTTAACACCATCGTTTCTAAGCTGTGCGCTGTGGTGTTACTAAAGAGAAACTTAAAATTAACCAGAAAGGCTTGAAACATCTGCTGAAAATTAAAAAGTCTCCACCGGGCACCTGTCTGAACTCAGCCTGAAGGCACTTCCATAAAATTGGAACTTTAATGGTGCATCAGACATGCATCAGTCTGTGTTTTTCTTTCTTAAAAAAATAGTGCAATCTTCTGGTGTAAGCTTTAATTTGATGGTGGTTTTTTGGGAGCCCCGTCATGCAAATTCAAGAGCATTCATTTTGATTCCAGCGGCTCTGACTTTGACCCAGACCTGAAGCAGTGTAGATGGGGCTGGGGAATGTAGGAGAAAAGTACAGTGGTGCCCCGCAAGACGAATGCCTCGCAAGACGGAAAAACCGCTAGACGAAAGGGTTTTCCGTTTTGGAGTTGCTTCGCAGGACGAATTCCCCTATGGGCTTGCTTCGCAAGACGAAAATGTCTTGCGAGTCTTGAGATTTTTTTTCCGCTTTCCTACCTTTATCTAAGCTGCTAAGCCTTTAATCAGCCTTTCTAGCAGCTAATCCGCTAAGCTCGATAAGCCTTTAATCAGCCGCTTAAACCGCTAATCAGCGCTAACTCCAGTTAAGCCGCTAATAGGGTTGCTTCGCAAGACGAAAAAACTGCTAGACAAAGACACTCGCGGAACGGATTAATTTCGTCTTGCGAGGCACCACTGTACCTAGAGAACCTCAGCGTTCTGAATATGCCCATGGGTCCCAAAAGGTTGATGGCCTCTGCTGATAGACTCGTGGTTCGAGTGTCACGCTTTGGCAGCTGTCGGTTGGAGAAGGAGGTGGATCTGGTCAGACTAAACAAAAAGCTGTCAGGTGCTTGCAGGGGCCATCTCTTCGGGGCTTTGTCGGGCTAATCCATGACGTACGCTCCTTGACCCAAATCACAGCCATGTTCAATGGGCAGCTACTGTTTGACAGACCGATGCATGTGAAGATGGTAAGTAGAACAATAATAATGTTTATATGCCGTGCATATAATGTATCTGCCCCAAACACACTGGGCAGCTTCCAGCTAGGGCTGGGTGATACTGGCTTTCAACATTGCAATATTTCACCAGCTAAGCATCGCAATATATTGATACATAACGATGTCTGAAATAAGGATGGAACTTGTTAGAGGCATTGGCTTCACGCTGTTGTTGTTTTTTGTGCGACGTGATTTGTGTTTAGCACGCACATGCGCGCGCACCCCACGATTCGCAGTATATTGCCAGATCAAAAATTGTGAAACCGATATCACGATACGGACTTCACAAATGGGTTTTGGACGATGTGTGTCGCCCAGCTCTACAATCCACCAAAATAGAAAAACACCACATTTTGCGCTCTATAAGACGCACCAGACCCCAAGACGCACCTAGTTTTTGGAGGAGGAAAACATGAAAAAAAATATTCTGAATCTCAGAAGCCAGAACAGCAAGAGGGATTGCTGCGCAGCGAAAGCAGCGATCCCTCTTGCTGTTCTGGCTTCTGGCATAGCTGCGCAGCCTGCATTCGCTCCATAAGACGCACACACATTTCCTCTTACTTTTTAGAAGGGAAAAAGTGAGTCTTACAGAGCAAAAAATATGGTATATTTGGGGGGGGGGGTGACCGAATTCCTATGCTCCACAAATAACCCAGAGATCTATTTTAAATAAAAGGACACATTCTATTCACGTAAAAACACGCTGATTACTGGACCGTCCGTGGGCCGGATTTAGAAGGCGATTGGGCTGGATCCGGCCCCCGGGCCTTAGTTTGCCTACCCATGCATTAAAAGCTTCCCTATGCAGGGCCGTCTTCAAAAGCCTGTTTATGATTTTCATTTGGTGGGAGGGCGTCCCACAGTTGTGTGCAAAATCGAATGCTACAGCAGGCATCTGCTGCGTTCGGCTTTGTATTGATCTTTGCATCTGATATTTCAGGACGAGCGAGCCTTGCCGAAAGGGGACTTCTTCCCTCCGGAGCGGCCCCAGCAGCTTCCTCGTAAGTATCTCCAGAAAAGGTTGCACAAGAAATGGCTGTGTTACTCCACATGGGAAGTAGCTTGCACACCTGCCCTGTGGAACAGTGTGTTCTTGTCATCGGGGAGATTTGCTTGCTCTCCTGCTATTTTCCATTGTAAAAAGTTAAATTCTCATGGTCAGTGGGCTATGCTTTCTGGGCACTTTAAAATTAGTATGCGACATTGGTTGTCAACCAGTGTGCTGTGGCACCCTGTGGAGACTTGAGGTATGGTCAGGGGAGCCCTGGGGGGCTGTCCTTTAATTAACTTTCAGACTGTATCTTCCTGCATCTCTCTCTTTTTGCCCCCCACGACTCTTTTCCTTGAGTCTTCCTCCTCCTTGCTGCCTCCCAGTCATGTTCCAGATTCCTAATCTCTCCCCTCCATTTCTGGCACGGTGTACATAGGAGCTTCTGCCAAGAGCTCAGCGAAAACCCCACTTACGCATATCCTGCAATGGCTTAAAACTGACTTAAAATGTGGAAAAACGAATAAAAAACCAACTAAAGCTATGTTGTTTAGTTGTCTTAGTCGTGTTCAACTCTCCATGACCCCATGAACCAGAGCATGCCTTGGAAACTCTCACTTCTCAAAGCTGCTCCTTTTTTATGTCCATGGAGTTTCTTGGCAAAATACTGGAGTGGTTTGCCAGTTCCTTCTCCAGGTGGATCACGTCTAGTCTAAACTCACGGCTATGACCTGTCCATCTTGGGTGGCCCTGCATGGCATAGCTCATAGCTTCTCTGAGTTACCGTATTTTTTGCTCTATAAGACTCACTTTTTCCCTCCTAAAAAGTAAGGGGAAATGTGTGCGCGTCTTATGGAGTGAATGCAGGCTGCGCAGCTATCCCAGAAGCCAGAACAGCAAGAGGGATTGCTGCTTTCACTGCCCAGCGATCCCTCTTGCTGTTCTGGCTTCTGAGATTCAGAATATTTTTTGTCTTGTTTTCCTCCTCCAAAAACTAGGTGCGCCTTGTGGTCTGGTGCGTCTTATAGAGCGAAAAATACGGTATTCAAGCCCCTTCACCACGACAAGGCAGTGATCCATGAAGGGGAACTAAAGCTATATATACGTATAAAAACTGTTTAAAACACACCAATAGTTAACAAGAAAAACAGCACAGCACCAGCCGCTTCATTTAAAGCGGTCAGTTACCAAAGCCCATTGGAACGAGGTTTCCATTTGCCAACGGAAGGGCAACAAGGAGGGAGCTAGCGTGGCTCCTCATTCCAGGCAGGGGGTGAATGCAGACTGATACTGATGGCTGGTTTTTGAACCTCTCTTCTTTTGCAGATGGACTCGGAGGCATTGGCATGGGATTGGGGCCAGGAGGAATACCTATTGATGCAAACCATTTGAACAAGGGTTTGGGTATGGGGAACCTGGGACCCGGAGGTGAGCGAGGAACTGGGGCCGGGCTCTTTCCTTTGCAGTTCTCCCCTAGCGTTCTCTCATGATTTCTGTGCTTTGTCTATCCCGGTGTCTGAAACAAGGATGGATCTGGTTTTCAAACTTTGTCAGCTAAACATCGCGATACACCGATACATCACAATGTCTGCAATAACGAGGGAGCTGTGTAGAGCCATTGGCTGGCTTCACGGTTTCTCCCACGTTGTGATTTTTGCATCACACACGCATCATGTTTCGTGGTCTATTGCCAGGTCAAAGATTATGAAAACGATATCACAATATGGGCTTCAAACTGGTTTTGGACGATAATCCAGCAGCGTCTGAAGAGCCCCCTATTTGGCTAAATCTGCTCTAATAATAATTATTCTTCTTCTTCTTATTATTATTTTATTTATACTCCGCCCATCCGGCTGGGTTTCCCCAGCCACTCTGGGCGGCTTCCAACAGAATATTAAAATACAATAGTCTATTAAACATTAAAAGCTTCCCTAAACAGGCTGCCTTCAGATGTCTTCTAAAAGTCTGGTAGTTGTTTTTCTCTTTGACATCTGGTGGAAGAAGATTGGAAGAAATTTAAAGATTATCTACAGAAACATTGCAAAATTAATGAATGTTAGAGTGATGTTGGATTGAAGTTAAGTGGCTTCTAGCTGAACAGGTTTTAAAGCTATAAATATATCAAGATTAAGGATTAGTACCAAAAAGACTAAGAGAAATGGAAAAATTGGTTCAAATAGGTAAAAATCTAATGTCATAATATATTAAGATTTAGGACTGGAATTAAAAAGGAGGGAAAGAAATTGCTGGGCTTACAAACTGAATTGGAATACAAAAGAGGGAGGTATGAGGAAGTCCGGGAAACAAGTAAATCTAAAAGAGGTTATGAAAGGACGGAACTATTTTTAACTGTTTTTTTTTTCTTTTTTCTATTTTGTATGGTGCATTTTTCTTTGTTTTTGTTAAAATTTTCTTGTTCATTAATGTGATTCTATTATTTCTGAAACTTTAATAAATATTAATTAAAAAAAAAAAGGAAATGATTTTGATTTCCTTCACACGGCACTTAGATAATCCACGCCCATGGGAGTGGCAATAGCCCTTCCCTTTAAAAGGGAAGGGAGACCCAACGCATTGTGGAGAACAGTTATCTGTGACTGCTTGGCCTGATGACTGTATGCAGCCTGCCGGAGCAAGAGGCAGTCTGCCTCTGAATCCCAGCCACTGATAACGCTAATAACAAAAAAATTATTATTTTGACCCCCGCTCATCTGACTGGGTTGCCCCAGCGACTGTTAATCCTCATGTCCTCTTTCCAAGAATAATCAGTGAGAAATGGGATGCTAGACTAGGGAAGAAGGCTTTTGGCCTATATCTCCAATCTCCAGTGAAAGGATTGTGCAGCGGGGAAAGACTGTTCTCTGTGTCTGGAACCTTAGGAAGCTGCTGCCCGCCACGGCAGACAATGCGAGCTCAGGTGGATCAGTCCTCGAAATCTTAACGCTGTCATAGGTTCTAATTTAATTCTGTGTCCAGGGCGGCTGTCTACCAGCTCCACCTGGTACGCAGGCTGAGACCCTCCCTGCCCGCAGACTGTCTGGCCAGAGTGGTGCATGCTCTAGTTATCTCCCGCTTGGACTACTGCAATGCGCTCTACGTGGGGCTACCTTTGAAGGTGACCCAGAAACTGCAATTAATCCAGAATGCAGCAGCTAGACTGGGGACTGGGAGTGGCCGCCGGGACCACATAACACTGGTCTTGAAAGATCTACACTGGCTCCCAGTACATTTCCGAGCACAATTCAAAGTGTTGGTGCTGACCTTGAAAGCCCTCAACAGCCTCGGTCCTGTATACCTGAAGGAGTGTCTCCACCCCGGACACGGGGGTCCATCTCCCGAGGGCCTTCTGGCGGTTCCCTCCCTGCGAGAAGTGAGGTTCCAGGGAACCAGACAGAGGGCCTTCTTGGTAGTGGCGCCCACCTTGTGGAACACCCTCCCTTCAGATGTGAAGGAAATAAGCAGCTGTCCTATCTTCAAAAGACATCTGAAGGGAGCCCTGAAGGGAGATGGGCGGGGTATATATAATAAATTATTATTATTATAATTTCCACTCGTCTTGTCTGTTCTCTTTTAGGAATGGGCATAGAAGGCTTGGGCTTTGGAATGAACAAAATGGGAGGTAAGTAGGGGAACGGGCTGGAACTGGTGTAGGGTGGCAGGATTGCAGTGGGGTCCTGGTGATACTTAACGCGACCCTCACCTCAAGGCGGGTTCCTCTACCGTGCATATTCCCAGGCCGTCTCTGCAACACTTTTATTTAATGTGTTCATACGCTGCATTTCCAGAGTAGGTCAAACAGTAGTTGGCTTGACCTGATGGAAAGCTCAAAAGTCCCAAGCCTTAGGTAAAGGTACCCCTGACCATTAGGTCCAGTCGTGACCGACTTTGGGGTTGCGGCGCTCATCTCGCTTTATTGGCCGAGGGAGCTGGCGTACAGCTTCCAGGTCATGTGGCCAGCATGACTAAGCTGCTTCCGGCGAACTACAGCAGCGCACGGAAATGCCGTTTACCTTCCTGTCAGAGCGGTACCTATTTATCTACTTGCACTTTGACGTGCTTTCGAACTGCTAGGTTGGCAGGAGCAGGGACTGAGCAACAGGAGCTCACCCTGTCGCGGGGATTCGAACCGCTGACCTTCTGATCGGCAAGTCCTAGGCTCTGTGGTTTAACCCACAGCGCCACCCGCGTCCCAAGCCTTACATACCGCTAATATCTGAAAATAAAGGAGCCATTGGAGCTCTTGAAATCTGAGCCTGGTGCCCTCTCAAATCCCACAGATGGGTTAGCTGGCGAGGCATGAGGGTTTGGGAACTTGCTCATTGTTTCTTTTATTGTTGTTATTCAGGGATGGAAGGGCCTTTCAGCGGAATGGAGAACCTGGGTCGTTTCCCTTCTGGGATGAACCTGGGCAGGATGAGCGGTGAGACAAACGATTGCTAATCTTCATAAACTGCTTTGCGCTTAATAGGGCTTGGGAAGGAGAATGGTGCTGAAACCCACAAGATTTTCAGAGTATCGATTCTGAGGTTCTTTAAACCTTTGATTCTGATCGTCTCTCCTTCACCTAGTCTTGACAGGGATATGAGGGACCTTTTGGGGGCGGTCCTCCAAATACTCATGGGCTGCGACTCGTGTTATTCCTGGACATTGAGTTTCTGCACTCCAGCGGGTGCAGAATGCCGCGGCGAGACTCCTTACGAGGTCCTCGCTGCGAGATCACATTCACCCGGTGCTATACCAGCTGCACTGGCTCCCGGTGGAGTGCAGGATCAGGTTTAAGGTCCTGGTTTTAACCTTTAAAGCCCTATACGGCCTAGGACCCTCGTACCTACGGGACCGCTTCTCCTGGTATGTCCCACAGAGGAACTTACGGTCTTCAAACAAAAACATCTTGGAGGTCCCAGGCCACAGGGAGGTTATGCTGGCCTCAACCAGAGCCAGGGCTTTTTTGGCTGTGGCTCCAATCTGGTGGAACGCTCTGTCCCAAGAGACTAGGGCCCTGTAGGACTTGACATCTTTCCGCAGGGCCTGCAAGACAGAGCTGTTCCACCAGGCCTTTGGCCAGGGCACAGCCTGACTCCCTCCTTTGGCAATCCTCACAGAACTCTAGCCCAATGGTTGCCATTAATCTGATTGGATTTAATTTTATAATGAAATGATTTTAGAATGTTTTATCATTTACTGTTGTTAGCCGCTCTGAGCCCGGCTTCAGCTGGAGAAGGTGGGATATAAATAAAATTTATTATTTATTATTGACTGGGGCGGATAGGTGGTCCAGCTGTATTCTTTTGAATGCCAGATGACAACAGAGGAGAGCTCTTGCTTGAGAAAGGCCCTTGGAAGCTTGACTCTGGCCGTGGTAGATTTTGAATTCCATGTAGCAGGCCTATTTTGTTGGGTGCTTTTATTACTATTTATTAAAAAGTAATTAAATCTGTATGCTGCCCTTCATCCGAAGACCACAGGATAGTTTATGCAACATACAAAAGGAGAACACGAAATACCGTATTTTTTGCTCTATAAGACTCACTTTTTCCCTCCTAAAAAGTAAGGGGAAATGTGTGTGCGTCTTATGGAGCGAATGCAGGCTGCACAGCTATCCCAGAAGCCAGAACAGCAAGAGGGATTGCTGCTTTCGCTGCGCAGTGATCCCTCTTGCTGTTCTGGCTTCTGAGATTCAGAATATTTTTTTTCTTGTTTTCCTCCTCCAAAAACTAAGTGCGTCTTATGGTTTGGTGCGTCTTACAGAGCGACAAATACGGTACATAACAAACAAACAAAAAAGAGGAGCAAACTATTAACGCCTCTCCTTACAGACTACTTATCGTGTGCTTATTCATCACTTCCTGCAAAAGAAAAAAGTGTTGGTGCGACTTACAGCTGTGTAAAAACACAATAATAAAATCTGCCACAAATGCATCATTTAAAAGCAATGCAACTGACAAAAGTGTTCATCCACAATAAATGCAAAAAAATACCCTCCCCCCACATATGCCCGAACATAGAAATGGTAGCAAATTTCCACCTACCTGGCACAAAACGATAAATTGGGTCCCAAAGCTTGAGAGAAATGCCTTTGCAGGGTGCCAAAACGATGAGTGTTGGTACCAGGCAAGTTGTCCCTGGGCTCATTTTTGGGGATGGGTCGTAGCTTGGAAGAATCATAGAATTGTTGAGTTGGAAGGGATCACAAGGGTCATCTCGTCCAACCCCCTGCAGTGCAGGAGTCTTTAACCCAATGTGGGGCTCGAACCCACAACGTTGAGATCAAGAGACTCATGCTCTACCGACTTGAGTTCCAGGATTCAAGAGCGCTCCCTTTGCATGATGTTGTAAACAAAAATTGCCCTTTTCCCTTATGGGGTATCCAAGAGCCCATATAGAGTCCTTACATAGGTTCCCTATTGGTAGGAGAAAATAACAGAGGCCAACCAGAGAATATTGAGAAGCAAAGCAGCTAGTAAGCTTGATCTTTATTGATCTGTTGCAACAGGGTGCTCCCCTCACACACAGGAGAGAGGAGGAACCCAGAAAAATAATGTGCAAGGCCTTATAAAGACTTTTGAAATTGCCACCCTGTAGATCAAGACCACCCCCAGAAACATCATACCTACATCACAGAAAAGGCGGTCTAAAACAGAAATTTAAATGTTGTTTTTCTCCTGTCCTTGTTTATCTCCTGTCTGGCAGGTTACTTGATTGGATTGCCTGGGGAGCCTGGCCAGTCTTTTGTAGTGATAAATACTTAGTTCGTGGGCCAGGTCACAGGCTCACACCCTGTTCAAACACAGACATACCCTTAAGACAGGATTTGTGAAGGAAAAGACAATGGGGAGGCTTTTCCACTTTGACCTTGCAGAGAAAACATTTGCTCAGTTTAGGAATCAAAATGGCTTCAGGTCGGTCTTCCTGTGCTGATCTATGTACGTGCGGTTATGAACATTACCATATATCTAAGACCTCAAAATTCCTATCACAATGGCGATAACAATCCCTACTGCCTCTAGTAAGGGATGAAAATGTCCTTTGCCAGAAGCTCTGGGAAACCACTGCCAGTCAGTATAGACTGGGAAGCCGCATTTTCTTTGCCTCTGTGTTTTCCGCTCTCCTGGCAGAGGACTAAAATCTGCTCTTTGTTCCCAGAAATGGACCGTGCGATTGGAGGCGGGTTTGAAAGAGACTTCCCGAGGAACGAAATGGGGATGCCTCGTGGCTTTGGGGACACCCTGGACAGGGGGCTAGGTAAGTTTGGTCCACTCTGTGTCTTCCCAGCTGTGACAAACCCTTCTTAGGCTTGGATCTTGTGTGTGTTCGGCAAAGCAGCCACTGCCATCTCCCCCCTCTATTTTGAAAAGGGCGTTTTCTGGTTGTTGTCTTTACTCGCCTGACAACCAAAGAGAGAGGAGATGGCGATTACGATAACCAGGTCAGTTCCCTGCCCAGCCACCCTCCACAGTGCACACCCCACCATATTCTGAAGTTTCGTTCAAAAATGTGAGCTTGCGATAGAGCACACCAGTGTGTGGAGCAAGTCAGAGACTGGCAGAGAAATGGAGCTGCAGAGTCCTTTATGCTGGGGATAATTCAGACAGAAATCCCCAGGTGTCAAAAAAGGGGATTTGTGTATGCCACTACTGTGGCTCGTGTTTTGTTAGCCCAAAAACGGAAAATGAGTGAGGTCCCAACTAAAGAAGAATGGCAACTTAAACTGATGGAATATGCTCAGCTTGTGGACCTAACATATAGAATAAGAGAACAAGAAAAACATGTTTAAAGAAGATTGGAAAATGTTTATTGAATAAAGGTAAAGGGACCCCTGACCATTAGGTCCAGTCGTAGACGACTCTGGTGTTGCGGCGCTCATCTCGCTTTATTGGCCGAGGGAGCCGGCGTACAGCTTCCAGGTCATGTGGCCAGCAGGACTAAGCCGCTACTGGCGAACCAGAGCAGCACACGAAAACGCCGTTTACCTTCCCGCTGGAGTGGTACCTATTTATCTACTTGCACTTTGATGTGCTTTCAAACTGCTAAGTTGGCAGGAGCAGGGACCGAGCAATGGGAGCTCACCCTGTCGCGGGGATTCAAACCACCAACCTTCTGATCGGCAAGTCCTAGGCTCTGTGGTTTAACCCACAGCGCCACCCACGTCCCTGTTTATTGAATACATGGGGGGAAATTGTGTACACTTGATAATAGAAGGGAAGTCATTGATATCTTTAAGGTTGAATATTCTAAATTGTAAAACAGAAAATTTTAAGAATGGGGCTGCGGGCCTGGAAGGAGGCAAACCTCAGAGTCCGTAATCTGCTGGGAGAAGCGGCTGTGGGTGAACCTGTTAATGCAATTAACGCCAATGTTTAAAATACACTAATTGTGCTTGGGTCTGTCTCTTGAGTTGCCCCTTTCTAGAGGGCTTGTTCCTGCCTTTCCCTTGCTGAAGTGTCTCCTCTCCTCTTTCTCTTTCACAGGTGGCGGCGGAGGCGGGGCCAGCATCCCCACCATCGACCGCATGGCCCCCGGCCTCGACCGCATGGCCACGGGCATTGATCGGCTCCCCTCGGGCATGGGGCATGGCATAGAAAGAGTGGGCTCCGAGATGGACAGGATGGGGCTGGTGCTGGACCGTATGGGCTCCGGCGTGGACAGGATGGGCTCCGGCATTGACCGGATGGCTCCCCTCGGGATAGACCACTTGGCGTCCAACATGGACCGCATGGGCTCTGGGATAGACCGAATGGGGACAGGGATGGAGAGGATGGGCACAGGGCTAGGGTTCGGCATTGACCGCATGGGCTCCGCCATGGACCGCGTCGGCACAACCATGGACCGCATGGGCGCCGGCGTGGACCGCATGAGCTCCGGCATAGAAAGGATGGGCCTGGGCATGGACCGCATGGTCCCTGCGGGGATGGGGCCCGCAGGGATGGGCCCCGTGATGGACAGGATGCCCGCGGGGCTGGACCGCCTTGGGGCGGCCTCCATCGACAGGATAGGACTGGACCGCATCGCGGCCAGCAACATGGACAGGATGGGGCTCGACCGCATGGGGGCTGCCGCCACCAACATGGACAGGATGGGGCCCGCCATGGGGCAGGGCATGGGGGCAGGGCTAGACAGGATGGGGCTCGCCATGGGGAGCACCTTCGAGAGGACGATGGAGATGGACAGGGGGAACTTTGCCGCCGGAAGCTTCGCCGGCGCCCTCGGGACCGGAGGACCTGCTGCTGCCGCCGGTGTAGCCAGGAAGGCTTGCCAGATTTTTGTGAGAAATGTGAGTGGGGGCATGATGGCGAGCCGCTGTGTTGAGCTTTGGGTTGGTGCTGGGAGGTTTTCACAGGCTCAAACCTCAATAGGTTGTGTTGCTGGATGTAGCGCAGGTCTTGGGCGGAAAGTTTCTGCATCGTGGTAGGAAAGGATTTTGAGTTTCCTAGCAAGGGGGAGGTGCCTGACTTCTGGTGGGTGGTGGTGCTTCCTCCCCCCGGTGGGGGGTGGGGTGGGGGCCCTGTGATGATGATGATAATGATAATGATAATGATAATAATAATTTTATTATTTATACCCCGCCCATCTGGCTGGGCTTCCCCAGCCACTCTGGGCGGCTTCCAAAAATATATTAAAATACTGCAATACATCAAACACTGAAAGCTTCCCTAAACAGGGCTGCCTTCAGATGTCTTCTAAATGATGATGATTCTGACTACTTTTTTCTCTCTCGCTTCCTAGCTTCCTTTTGATTTCACGTGGAAAATGCTGAAAGACAAGTTCAATGAGTGTGGTGAGTAGCTCAGTTCAGGAGCGACCCGGAAATTCCCAAAGGACACGGGAGAGCTATGTGTATTCTCCTGCGGGGGTGGGGAGGATCGTTTTGTAGGCTGGGTTGTCCTTCCCATGTTGCTCTATTAGGCAGGATTAGATCGGGCATGCCCCTCTCCCAAGTGGGGAGGGAGACCCCTCCAGTTCCCAGTTCCTTCCTTCTGAGTTCCCAGAGCAGGCTGTGTGGCAGATGCATTGTCCTCTGAGAAGAGACCGTTTGTGGATTTTGAACTGACTAAATCGGGAGAAGCATCCAGTCAGCCGGGAGATGGACAGTCCTCTTCCTTTTGGCTGGCTCTTCTGATGGAGCAGGTGGGAAAGATGCAGTGGTCAGGCTTAACCCCGTAGCGATGCCTGTTCTCTTGTTGGGAGAAGGCACTCGGGGGCCAGGAGGGGCTTTCTGGGGCCAGGATTGTTGCCTGACGCCCCTGAGTGAGGGTAAATCTCCTTACTACCATATGATACAGCCTTGATTGGGCCAGAGGGATTTGCCACTTCCTTCCCCCATCATTGAAGGCTTGGTGCTCTCATTTCAAGGGGGTGAAGGGTTAGACCACGGGTCAGCAAACTTTTTCAGCAGGGGGCCGGTCCACTGTCCCTCACACCTTGTGGGGGGCCGGACTATTTTTTTTTGGGGGGGGGGGGGAAATGAACGAATTCCTATGCCCCACAAATAACCCAGAGATGCATTTTAAATAAAAGCACACATTCTACTCAGGTAAAAACACCAGGCAGCCCCCACAAATAACCCAGAGATGCATTTTAAATAAAAAGACACATTCCATTCATGTAAAAACATGCTGATTCCCGGACTGTCTGCGGGCCGGATAGAGAAGGCAATTGGGCTGGATCCGGCCCCCGGGCCTTAGTTTGCCTACCCATGGGTTAGACTTTTGCTGAAAACTTCACTCTTCATGGGGGTTGCTGATTTAAGTTTGTCCGCATAGGAAGCTGCCTTGCACAGGGTCCACCCTGGGTCTCCAGCTGTCATTGGGACTACAACACCCCTGATCCGTAGCTAGCAGAATCCGTGGTCGGGGCTGTTGGGAATTGCAGTTCAGAAACAGCTGGAGACCCAAGTTTGGGAAACCCCGGTCTACACCGACTGGCAGTGGCTCTCTGGGGTTTGGAGTCATGAAGTCTTTCTGAGCCCTACCTGGAGATCAGACCTGAGACATTAGATGCTATGACACTGAGCTTCAGGTTTGCAGTAGTACGGCTTGAGCCTTTGAGGAAATCATTTGGGTACCACTAATAAAAGGCAGAAGGGACGCGGGTGGCGCTGTGGGTTAAACCACAGAGCCTCTTGGACTTGCTGATCAGAAGGTTGGCGGTTCGAATCCTCGCGACGGGGTGAGCTCCCGTTGCTCAGTCCCTGCTCCTGCCAACCTAGCAGTTTGAAAGCACATCAAAGTGCAAGTAGATAAATAGGTACTGCTCTTGCGGGAAGGTAAACGGCGTTTCCTTGCACTGCTCTGGTTCTCCAGAAGTGGCTTAGTCCTGCTGGCCACATGAACCAGAAGCTGTACGCCGGCTCCCTCGGCCAATAAAGCAAGATGAGCGCCGCTACCCCAGAGTCGGCCACGACTGGACTTAATGGTCAGGAGCCCCTGTACCTTTACCTAATAAAAGACAGAGTGGCCTACGTGCCAGCATCTCTCTGCTGCTCCAGACTTCCAGTCCAACTCTCAGACTTGAAACCAAGGCGTTCCTACGAGAGCCGGTATCAAAATAACATGGTGCAGAAATGGATAAGGCGGACCTATAACTGATAAGGAATGCAGTTTGGGCAAGGAGGACAGACCTGGGCTAAAGCGAGTCTTCTTCTCCCACAGGCCACGTCATGTACGCAGACATCAAAATGGAGAACGGCAAGTCCAAAGGGTGCGGCGTGGTCCGATTTGAGTCCCCGGAAGTTGCCGAAAGAGCCTGCCGTATGATGAACGGGATCCAGCTTCGCGGCAGGGAGATAGACGTGCGGATTGACAGGAATGCCTAAGTTTTGTTTTTTGGCAGGGGCCTTTTTAAATACGAAGGGAGAGCGCTTGGGGATTGTACTTTCTTGTTGGGATTTTTTTAAAAAAATTGGGTGTGAAGATGGTAAGATAACTCAGTTGCTTTTTGGAGTAATTTTAGTTCCTTTTTTAAAATAAGATTTGTTTTCCCCCCGTTTTACTGTCCTGGGTTTTTGTTTTTGAATTGAAACTGTGTTTTAACATGCACAATCCGGTTCTATGTAGTGGTGTCGCATTACACTATGTCTTTGGTAAATAAACACCAGTGGCGGGTGGCTATCAAGTCTTGTTCCCACCCTTTCCCTGGTTAAAGAAACTCTTTGGAAAGACCCTCTGAAGAAAGCAAGTCATGCTGATTCACTTCTGTGAATTTATGAAAAGTTTCTTTTAGGTTTTTTTTTCTTGGAAAATCTACAACTAGACCATGAGTCAAACCAAAACCACATGTCTTGTATGAAGTCGATGTCTATATTAAAAGTGTTCTCTTGTGGCTTACAAAGAATCCTGTGTTGGTTGTCACTGTGCATTTTGCAACACTGATTTGCGGGCAGAAGCTTCATGCCAGTATTTGAAATTAGCCAGACACATTTTGCAGCTGCCTGTTGGCCACTGGTGATGCCTGGGAGCCAGGATGGTGTCTGGGAATAACTGGATAGCATAATGAATATCATACAGTCTAATAGTAAAATAGTTCACTGTAATAAACAATCCTCTCTCCCCTCCCCACTTTCACAGGCCATAGATTATTTAATGGCCAAAGGCCTCGGTAAAGAAACATGTACAGTGGTACCTTGCAAGACGAATGCCTCGCAAGACAAAAAACTCGCTAGACGAAAGGGTTTTTTGTTTTTTGAGCTGCTTTGCAAGACGATTTTCCCTATGGGCTTGCTTCGCAAGACGGAAACGTCTTGCACGTTTGTTTCCTTTTTCTTAACACCGTTAATACAGTTGCGACTTGACTTCGAGGAGCAACTCATAGAACGCGGTGTGGTAGCCTTTTTTTCGCGGTGTGGTCGAAAATAAAATAAAATAAAATAAAATAATTCCTTCCAGTAGCACCTTAGAGACCAAATAAGTCATTGGTATGAGCTTTCATGTGCATGCACACATTCTTCAGATCCTGAGCTTTGCTTCACCTTCAAAGCATCTCTACTTATCCCTACATTCCAAGCAGAGATCTTTGTTTAAAAACAAATTCTTAATCGGTTTTGTAATAAATTGGGTCATAACCGTGACTCATGAAGCTGGTTCCTCCACTGAGAATATATGTGCTAAAGGTGGGGGATAAAAGACAGGGTAGGACTGCAACCAGCAACTGGAATACCTGAAGATGCTGTTTTCAACAAGAAAAAAAAAAAGGAAAGGAGCCGAAGTGAAAACCAGACCTGAAGTCCTATCTTCTTCCCTTTTTTTAAAAAAAAATATGGAACGCTTCACGAATTTGCGTGTCATCCTTGCGCAGGGGCCATGCTAATCTTCTCTGTATCGTTCCAATTTTAGTATATGTGCTGCCGAAGCGAGCACTGAAGTCCTATCTTCTGACCTGAAAACCCAGGTCCTTAGCTCCAAATGGTAGGAGTAGGTGTTCCATGTAGGATATAAAATGATTATAATATAATAATGAACATATAACATGGTTATAATATAATATAATTATATATAAAATATATACCCAGTAGGTGGCAGTGTGGTGTAGAAAAGTACTTTGACAGCTCGTGAAAATATATATAACAACACATTTCTCTAGCTACATTTTCTAGTACAAAGAGAACACGTCTTCAAGAGGGTACATAAAAGAATACACTCAAGTACATTTGAATCAAGTCATCCAATAGTACATTTGAAACAGGTGATTGTTACGTTAAGGTACATTCTCTAGGCGATGAGAGTGGGGGTGGAGAGTACATTTAGATAAGGATACATATAGGAAAAAGATACACCATACATTCAGGGAAAAGATACACCATTTAGACCAAAGATACATTTAGATATATTCTTGAAGTCAAATGAGAAAGATACAAAGAGTAAACCGCACATTCAGAGGATACGTTTTTTGAAGTCCAAGGCACAGTTTATATTCTTGTAGGATATTAAAGCAGAATACTATATATTTGATACTGGTAAGGTCATTTTCCTTTATTCCCCTCTCTGACCCTGATTCTCTTACGACAGTAATAGAATTAATATAATCTTACATAATATAATTATTATTATTATTATTATTACAATTAATAATTATATAATACATAATTTATAATAATATATAAATAATATAATATAGTTATAAAATATAATAATATATATAAATAATATATAATATATATAAATATATATAATTTATAATAAATATATAATATATAATATATATAATATATAATATATAATAAATAATATATATAAATAAAATATAAATAAAATATAAATAAAATATTATATAATATAATATAAAATTATAAAATATAATAATATATAAATAATATAATATAGTTATAAAATATAAAAATTATATAATTAATAATTATTAATGTATTAATCATATAATAATAGAATATATAATAGTATAATATAATATAATATAACTAATTCTATTAATCATAGAATTAATAGAATAAACATATAGCCCCTGAGCATGTCCAAAGCGAACCTGCTGCAATGACGTCACATCCTGTGCGCCGCCTGGCGAGCTTCGGTGAGCAGGCGGGGGAGGGGTGTAAACGCTCCTCAAGGCAGCCAATGAAGAGCGTTTCGAGAAAGACCCGGATGACCGTTGCCGCGGCAACCGCGACAACGAATGGGGAGCGAGCGCCTCTCCGCGCCTGCGCGCCGGCTGCTCTCGGGGGACGCCCGGCGCTTTCAACCCCTGACGTCATCGGGAGGCGCCGGCGGGAAGGTCGACGCGCTCCTTCCCTCCCTCTTGGAAAGATGGCGGCGGCCGCGCTGTGGGGTTGCCGGGTAAGGGGGGACGGGGCGAGGGGGGTGGGGCGCCTTCGTGTGTGTCTTGGGGGGGGGGGCTCCCCACCTTCCTTCCCCAAACCTCCCCGAGCCAGGGCCTGGTAATTGGACTCAAGCCCCATTTCGAAGGAAAGCGTGCCCCTGAGCACGTGCAGAGGGCTCTACCGGTCGTGCTGCCGAGGAGAGGCACCGCGAGGAAGGAGGTGGTGCCCCTGCGCATGTGCAGAGGGGCTCCCCCTCCTTGCCATTGTTGAGTCGTTTAGTCGTGTCCGCCTCTTTGTGACCCCCTGGACCAGAGCACGCCAGGCACTCCTGTCTTCCACTGCCTCCCACAGTTTGGTCAAACTCATGCTGGTAGCTTCGAGAACACTGTCCCACCATCTCGTCCTCTGTCGTCCCCTTCTCCTTGTGCCCTCCATCTTTCCCAACATCAGGGTCTTTTCCAGGGAGTCTTCTCTTCTCATGAGGTGGCCAAAGTACTGGAGTCTCAGCTTCAGGATCTGTCCTTCCAGTGAGCGCTCAGGGCTGACTTCCTTCAGAATGGGTAGGTTGGATCTTCTTGCAGTCCATGGGACTCTCAAAAGTCTCCTCCAGCACCAGAATTCAAAAGCATCAATTCTTCGGCGATCAGCCTTCTTTACGGTCCAGCTCTCACTTCCATACATCACTACTGGGAAAACCATAGCTTAAACTATACGGACCTTTGTTGGCAAGGTGATGTCTCTGCTTTTTAAGATGCTGTCTAGGTTTGTCATTGCTTTTCTCCCAAGAAGCAGGCGTCTTTTAATTTCGTGGCTGCTGTCACCATCTGCAGTGATCATGGAACCCAAGAAAGTAAAATCTCTCACTGCCTCCATTTCTTCCCCTTCTATTTGCCAGGAGGTGATGGGACCAGTGGCCATGATCTTAGTTTTTTTGATGTTGATCTTCAGACCATATTTTGCACTCTCTTCTTTCACCCTCATTAAAAGGTTCTTTAATTCCTCCTCACTTTCTGCCATCAATGTTGTGTCATCTGCATATCTGAGGTTGTTGATATTTCTTCCGGCAATCTTAATTCCGGCTTGGGATTCATCCAGCCCAGCCTTTCGCATGATGAATTCTGCATATAAGTTAAATAAGCAGGGAGATAATATGCAGCCTTGTCATACTCCTTTCCCAATTTTGAACCAATCAGTTGTTCCATATCCAGTTCTAACTGTAGCTTCTTGTCCCACATAGAGATTTCTCAGGAGACAGATGAGGTGATCAGGCACTCCCATTTCTTTAAGAACTTCCCATAGTTTGCTGTGGTCGACACAGTCAGAGGCTTTTGCATAGTCAATGAAGTCAATGAAGCAGAAGTAGATGTCTTTCTGGAACTCTGTAGCTTTCTCCATAATCCAGCGCATGTTTGCAATTTGGTCTCTGGTTCCTCTGCCTCTTCTAAATCCAGCTTGCTCCTTGCCATAGCTGTCAACTTTTCCCTTTTCTTGCGAGGAATCCTATTCGGAATAAGGGAATTTCCCTTAAAAAAAGGGAAAACGTTGACAGCTATGCTCCTTGCTGCTTCGTCCCGCATGCTCGTTTGACTCACAACCCCATAGCCCCTGAGCACGTGCAAAGGGCCCTCCCATCCTTCCGTTGAGACGGTGCTGCTAAGGAACAAACAGACCCTCTTTCTGTTGAGAAGTTTGGGCCCCATGAGAAAGGGGAGGGGAGAGACCCCTGAGTTCCCCTCTCTTTTGCTTTTCCTTGAGGATTTTTCTTCCGGCTCCCTGACAAAGGGGAGGGGAGCTGCTGAGCATGTGCAGAGTACCTCTCATTCCTTTTGCCGAATACTTCCATATTAAAAAGTAATACTGGTCTGTATTATTTAAAACACATTAGGAAGAGCATGCCATTGAGCGTGTTCAGAGTGCCTTTTTAAAAATAATTTAAAAAGCACACACACCCATCCAGTGTTAAAGATGAGAACTCTCTCTCCCTCTATATTTTTAATGTATTTTTAAATCTCTTGTTGGAAGCTGCCCAGAGTGGCTGGGGAAACCCAGTCAGATGGGCAGGATATAAGTAATAAATTGTTGTTGTTGTTATTTTATTGGAGGTGAAGACAAATACAGCCCCCTCACCTATTCCTTTAAAAAATTAACTACTGGGTCTCATGTGGCTGATTGTTTCTGTTAGGGAAAAGTAATGGTAATGGGGTTTGGAGGCTTGGCCTCTTTGCTATCCATCCCTCAACAAGCCTGTTTTGCAAGCACTATTAAACAAGAGCACCTTATCTTTCTCCTCCTAGAAATGCCTTTTAAATGTATGGCTTGTATCCGGACGAAGCTCAGGCCCCTTGCACCATGTTTTCCTCGTGCATCGAACTGGCAGACCTGCACTGGAGCTGTACCAGGTATGCTTTGCAAATCAAACCTTTTTGTGCATAACTGTAGTGGAGGCAGTTGCTGAGAGTTGGGCATTGCAGAGCAAGAACTGCCAGGCTGGGAGGGAGGGAGGAACCCTCCCCCAAGAGCAGTAAATAAACACTCTGACTGGCAGCATCTCTCTAGGCTTTTAAACAATGGATCTTTCCTACCTGGATATTGGACCTAGGACCTGTTGCATGCAAGATAGATGCTCTGCAATTGAGCTATGGCCCTTCCTTTTAGAAAAAAGTAAGATTCCAGACCTCGTACTTCTGAATAAAAGGGCCAATTTGAAAAGGAAGTTGCTTTACACTGTTAACGCCAGAAAACTTCTCTTTAGGCTCGATGTTCCTCCTCCGGAGGCCGGAAAGGTTTTATCTCCGGCTTTGTGGAGAATATTAAGCAGGAGCTGGCCAAAAACAAGGAGATGAAGGAAAGTATTAAAAGGTTCAGAGACGAAGCGAAGAAGTTGGAAGAGTCGGAGGCCCTGCAGGAAGCGAGGCGGAAATACGTGAGTCTGTTTCCTTCATGCAGTTGAGGCTTGATTTCTCTGGTGCGTTTCTCTTCCTCTTCCTGGGAGTTGCAGACCAGAGCAAAAGAGAATAATAATAATAATAATAACATATGATTTATACCCCGCCCATTTGGCTGGGCTTCCCCAGCCACTCTGGGCGGCTTCCCAAAAAATATCAAAATACTGTAATACATCAAACATTAAAAGCTTCCCTAAACAGGGCTGCCTTCAGATGTCTTCTAAAAGTCTGGTAGTAGTTGTTCTCTTTGACATCTGGTGGGAGGGCATTCCACAGGGAGGGTGCCACTACCGAGAAGGCCCTCTGTCTGGTTCCCTGTAACTTGGCTTCTCGCAGTGAGGGAACCTCCAGAAGGCCCTCGGTGAGGGTGGGAGTTGTGTAGTCCAGGGACACATTTTGTTGTTGTTTAGTCGCTTAGTCGTGTCCGACACTTCGTGACCCCCTGGACCAGAGCATGCCAGGCACTCCTGTCTTCCACTGCCTCCCGCAGTTTGGTCAAACTCATGCTGGTAGCTTCAAGAACACTGTCCCACCATCTCGTCCTCTGTCGTCCCCTTCTCCTTGTGCCCTCCATCTTTCCCAGCATCAGGGTCTTTTCCAGGGAGTCTTCTCTTTTCATGAGGTGGCCAAAGTACTGGAGCCTCAGCTTCAGGATCTGTCCTTCTAGTGAGCACTCAGGGCTGATTTCCTTCAGAATGGAGAGGTTTGATCTTCTTGCAGTCCATGGGACTCTCAAGAGTCTCCTCCAGCACCAGAATTCAAAAGCATCCATTCTTCGGCGACCAGCCTTCTTTATGGTCCAGCTCTCACTTCCATACATCACTACTGGGAAAACCATAGCTTTTACTATACGGACCTTTGTTGGCAAGGCGATGTCTCTACTTTTTAAGTACACAGGGACACATGGGCTGCATCAATAACATGTAGCAGCTCAAATGGCCACAGTGCTCTACATGAATTTTCTTGGAAGTCCAGACACTTCACATTAGCTGTTTTTATAATCCTTCATCGTGTTAATTCCTGTATTGTGTTGGGCTCACCCAAAGTCCTGCTTATGTCCACAGGGAGCCAGGGATTTCCTGGTTAGCAGTGCAGCTTTCTAGTGGCTCAGCTCCACAGGCGCTTCTGATTGATAGGAGAGAAAGGCATTGTTTCAAAGTAATGTCTCCTTCTGCACTGAGTCATAGGGGCTTATATTAGAGTTGAGGGGTCTTAGCTCAGCCTTGTAAATTGGCCTGTACTATTGCGTCCAAGGGATGCGGGTGGCGCTGTGGGTTAAACCACAGAGCCTAGGACTTGCCGATTAGAAGGTCGGCAGTTTGAATCCCTGTGACGGGGTGAGCTCCCGTTGCTCGGTCCCTGCTCCTGCCAACCTAGCAGTTCAAAAGCACGTCAAAGTGCAAGTAGATAAATAGGTACCACTCCGGCGGGAAGGTAAACGGCGTTTCCCTGCGCTGCTCTGGTTTGCCAGAAGCGGCTTAGCCCTGCTGGCCACATGACCCGGAAGCTGTACGCTGGCTCCCTCGGCCAATAAAGCGAGATGAGCACCGCAACCCCAGAGTCGGCCACGACTGGACCTAATGCTCAGGGGTCCCTTTACCTTTACTAAAAAGGAGACAGGGAAGACATCCATCCCGATTGGTCGTTACAAGAACATACAATGCAATACAGCCACAGGATACTTTGGTAAAATAATAATAGACGATAATAAGAGGGAGAGTTTGATTCGCTTCTGTTGTCTTGCCTTCCGCTGCAGAAAACAATAGAGTCTGAGACAGTCAAGACCTCTGAAGTCCTTAAAAAGAAATTTGGAGAAATCACAGACACTGTCAAAGACGTAAGTATGTGTTCGTATATGATGGATATTTAGGGTTATGTCTGGTGTTGCTTATATTTCAGAGCAGACCCGCTGAAATGAATGGGCATGGCTAACGGAGGTCCATACATTTCCACAGGTCTGCCTTCGAACGAGACTTAGTTGGCTACAGCTCTTCAGCTCCTGGTTTTGTTTTACATTTCTGACTATTCCCTGTCCCAGAGATTGGGGAGGGGAAGTATCAAAGGGAGATAACAAGGAAGGCTGGAATGAGAAAACGCAGGCAGCGTCTGCAAGAAATGGTTGGGAGTGTGAAGTCACCTGCTGAGGGTGCCCGCCAGTCAGTTGTGCCCTTTCCCTTCCTCTCCATTTTCTTCCTTCCCACTCGCCTGCCCCTCCCACAGTTGGTCGGATTTCTGTGCTGCTTACATTTTCAGTTTTCATTGAAACGTTTTAGAGCCACATGGACCTTTTCTGGTAATAATAATAATAATAATAATAATAATAATAATAATAATTTATTATTTGTACCCTGCCCATCTAGCTGGGTTTTCCCAGCCACTCTGGGCAGCTTCCACAAAGACCCTAAATACACTAAGATGTCACACATTAAAAACTTCCCTGTCAGGTAGTTGTTTATCTCTTTGACATCTGATGGGAGGGCGTTCCACAGGGCGGGTGCCACCACCGAGAAGGCCCTCTGCCTGGTTCCCTGTAACTTCACTTCTTGCAGTGAGGGAACCGCCAGAAGGCCCTCGGCGCTGGACCTCAGCGTCTGGGCAGAACGATGGGGGTGGAGACGCTCCTTCAGGTATACTGGGCCGAGTATATCTGGTAGTTCAGCAAGCCTCAGGTTTTATGTAATCATTTACAGTGGTATCTCGGGTTACATACACTTCAGGTTACATACGCTTTCGCTAACCCAGGAATAGTGCTTCAGGTTAAGAACTTTGCTTCAGGATGAGAACAGAAATCGTGCTCCGGAGGCATGGCGGCAGCGGGAGGCCCCATTAGCTAAAGTGGTGTTTAAGGTTAAGAACAGTTTCAGGTTAAGAACGGAACGAATTAAGTACTTAACCCGAGGTACCACTGTATTGCATTGATAATCTCACTTTTTCTCTGAGAAACCCAAAGTGGCCTTCCTAGTTCCTCTCTCCTCACCCCACATTTTATCCTCACAACAGCTCTCTGAGGTAGGTTAGGCTAAGAGACTGTAACTGGCCCGGGATCACTCCATGAGTTTGATGACGGAGCGGGGGATTTGAATCTGGGTCTGCAACACTATCGTGGCAATGCTATTGAGTTCACCACGAACCATAGCAATTGTTTCAACGGATTTCTTGTTTGATTTATATGCTGTTGTGTTTGGTATTTCAGCGGCCTTATTTTTGTTGTTGTTCGTTTGGCGGTATTGTGATGATTGTGAGCCGCTTTGAGCCCAGAATTGGTTGTTGGGGGAAAAGCAGAAAGCAAATATTAAACCGACTCGCTGCGCAAGGAGTGTGCCGGATCCCTGTTGTGCTTGGATGGTAGTGCTTTCGCTAGCTGAGGATGCTGGCTGTAAAGGCTGTGGCAGATTGCAGAGGTGGAAAATTGACGTTTGAAGTAAAATGAGCACAAGGAAGTGATTCTCATATGCTGCTCAGAATTATGTTTTGTGTAGAGCTGGGCGGTATTGCAATTAATTGCCCGAAACCGGTATGACGGTCAAACCGCAATACAGTGGTACTTCGGGTTACATACGCTTCAGGTTACATACACTTCAGGTTACATATGCTTCAGGTTACATATGCTTCATGTTACAGACTCCGCTAACCAGAAATAGTACCTCGGGTTAAGAACTTTGCTTCAGGATGAGAACAGAAATCGTGCTCCGGTGGCGTAGCGGCAACAGGATGCCCCATTAGCTAAAGTGGTGCTTCAGGTTAAGAACAGTTTCAGGTTTAGAATGGACCTCCGGGACGAATTAAGTTCTTAACCTGAGGTACCACTGTACTGCTTTCAGACTGAGCTAGTGATATGTTGCAGCTCCATGGCTGCTGCAAGCACAGCGTATCTCACTCCAATCTGCTTGCCTGCCAGCATTGTGCTAGCAGCAGTCGGAAAGCCATGATATATCGCCGGCTCAAATTGCCTTGCTCAGCTGAGAGGCGGGCGGCAGCGTTAGAAACTGATATATGAAAGCTAGGAGCTAAATTGCACCTTAAAACCTAGGTTATGGGCGCAACAACGGAACATCTAGGTGCACTTTTTTAATAACAAAAATACAAAGCTGAAAATGAATGAACTGCAGTTAAAATATTATGTTCATTTTTCACACCGTCTAGGTCCATAGGTAGGCAAACTAAGGCCTGGGCGCTGGGTCCGGCCCAATCGCCTTCTCAATCCGGCCCACGGATCGTCCGGGAATCAGCATGTTTTTACATGAGTAGAATGTGTCCTTTGATTTAAAATGCATCTCTGGGTTATTTGCGGGGCCTGCCTGGTGTTTTTACATGAGTAGAATGTGTGCTTTTATTTAAAATGCATCTCTGGGTTATTTGTGGGGCATAGGAAATCGTTCATTTTTTCCTTCAAAATATAGTCTGGCCCCCCACAAGGTCTGAGGGACAGCGGACCGGCCCCCTGCTGAAAAAGTTTGCGGACCCCTGGTCTAGTCCTTCCCCTGCCCGTCCCCCCAATATTCTTGAGAGGGTCTCTTCTCCAGTCTTCAGAGAGTAGCTGGAAGTGGGGAGGCAGAAAAAGGTCCTCCTTTCCTTCCATTTTGCAGTTTTAATCTGAAATCTTAGGTGTGGTGTTACACCCAGGGCTCATAAACTGCTTGCGCTAATGGAAATCCCTGTTGCAAAATGCTCCCAGAATTTCAGACATTGTGATATATCGGTACATTGTGATATTTAGCTGCTGATGTATCACGATGCTGAAAAGCAGATGCTGCCTGGCCTAGTTTTGTGATGTGTATTTGGGAACACTGTACATTGCCTGCATTTCTCAAACGTTGGGACTATGATTAATGCTTAAGCTGCAGAAAGATGTATTGTCTGCTGTAATACTTGGGTTCAGCTGTTTCACTTGTGGCCATTCTTTTCAGTTCACCCAGGGGGGCGAAATTTGTTCGCTTTCGTTGACGCTCGATTGTCACTGGCACACCTGTGAATAACCTGTGCTTCTGGAATTACTTACCTGTGTGGTGCAGTGGTTAAGAGCGGCCGTCTCGTAATCTGGTGAACCGGGTTCGATTCCCCGCTCCTCCACATGCAGCTGCTGGGTGACCTTGGGCCAGTCACACTTCTCTGAAGTTTCTCAACCCCACTCACCTCACAGAGTGTTTGTTGTGGGGGAGGAAGGGAAAGGAGAATGTTAGCCGCTTGGAGACTCCTTAGGGTAGTAATAAAGTGTGACTTTGGGTTAGTCACACTTCTCTGAAGTCTCTCAGCCTGTTTGACAGTGGGAGGAAAACCCTCGGAAGGCGGTCGACTCTCCTTCCTTGGAGGTTTTTCAGCACAGCTTGGACGGCCACTTGCCATGGGTTCTTGAGTTGGGATTCCTGCATTGCAGGGGGTTGGACTACATGACCCTTGGGGTCCCTCACAACTCTACAGTTCTAGGATGCTATGATTTAAAGTGCATCCAGTGAGCATTTAAAGCACATGATGTCCCCCAGATGATCCTGGGCATTGGAGATTCCCTCTCAGAGAGGCCAGTGTGGTGCAGTGGTTAAGAGCGGTAGTCTCGTAATCTAGGGAACCGGGTTCGCTTCCCCGCTCCTCCACATGCAGCTGCTGGGTGACCTTGGGCCAGTCACACTTCTCTGAAGTCTCTCAGCCCCACTCACCTCACAGAGTGTTTGTTATGGGGGAGGAAGGGAAAGGAGATTGTTAGCCGCTTGGAGACTCCTTAGGGTTATAAAGCGGGATATCAAATCCAAACTCTTCTTCTTCTTCTTCTGTCTTGCATACCAGTGGCGTACTAGTATATAGAAGATGGAAAATTATATATATATTTGGGAGCTCACCATTAGTAGGGTGAAGGCTGCTGTTTGATGGGGCTCGTGCCCCTGTGTCCCCCTCTTTGGGCATGCCTCGTTTAAGGGCTTCTTTCCCTTTGGCTGCAGAGCCTCGACGAAGTCAGTAAGAGCGATATCGGCCGGAAGATAAAGGAAGGTATGGAAGAAGCCACCAAAACCGCGAAGCAGTCTGCGGAATCGGTCACCCGAGGAGGAGAGAAGCTGGGACGGACAGCAGCGTTCAAGGCCATTTCCCAGGTACGCTGTTCTCTGCCTGTGGCAGGCTGCCGCCTTACTCCCAAGTCATCATCATCCTTTTTATTCGACCGTCAGTCAGAAAAGAGTACATTTTGTCAATACACAGTTAAAAACATCCAGGAAGATTTTAAAACTTAGCCAACACTAAAATGGGCTAAACAGATAGCCCCATATCGATACAGTCAATTATAGTCTTGCGACGCTTAAAAGCTAAGAAAAGAAATTTGGCCACCGAGGAAGGTATAGCTCTAGTGGCGTTATTCAGCAAGTGTAAAACCTGGTTTTCTCCGGGTAGGAAGCTGAATTGACATAGGAGTGGGTCTATAAAATTTTGTCTAAGCTCTGCATAAGAAGGGCAAGTCAAGAGAATGTGTTCGGTGGACTCAACCACCCCCATGGCACAATGACAAGTTCTCTGGGCGTATGGTACTCCCCTGTACCTTCCCCACAATACCGCAGAGTCAAGGACATTTAATCTAGCCGCTGTAAGAAGTCTACGGTATTCCACATAGTGGATTTCTGCAAGGTAGGGGGCTGGTATGGTCCGATAAATCTGGTCCCCTAGGAACATCCCTGGTTTTACCTGGGCTATGTCCTCTTGTCTGGCAATGTCACTCAGTCTCCGGGAGATCACAGCTCTAGCTTGATTGTACGTCATAGACTCGAAGTAAAGGAGAGACAATCCGCAGGATTGAACCTCATTAATGACCTCCCTTTCCCACGATGATTGGAAATCGTCCCTCAATATCAAGGGGGCAATACCCACTGGTTTAAAACAAAGCTTGTTACTCCCAAGTAAGGCCATCTATACCTGGTGTTAACAGATATCCTCGCTTAGTGCATGGGTAACGTGACTGCCGATTAGGTGTGCTGTAAGAGACCGTATTTTTCGCTCTCTAAGACACACTTTTTCCCTCCTAAAAAGTAAGGGGAAATGTGTCTTATGGAGCGAGTGCAGGCTGCGCAGCAATCCCTCTTGCTGTTCTGGCTTCAGGGATAGGCGTGCAAAGTCTCTTCCAACAACATTTGATTCAGAATATTTTTTTCTTGTTATCCTCCTCTTAAAACTAGGTGCGTCTTATGGTCTTATAGAGCGAAAAATACAGTAGATTGCTCCCTGCATTCACACAGCAGGCCGTTTTTTAGGCAGGTCCCGCTTTGGGAACACGGTGTGTTCCCAGGAAGAGGTGTTCGACGGAAAGGGCGCCACCACCGAAAAGGCCCTCTGTCTGGTTCCCTGTACCCTCACCTCCCGCAGGGAGGGAACTACCAGAAGACCCTGGGAGATGGACCTCAGTGTCCGGGCTAGATGATGGGGGTGGAGACGCTCCTTCAGGTATACAGGACCGAGGCCGTTTAGGGCTTTAAAGGTCAGCACCGACACTGCAATTTGGGCTCTGAAACGTACTGGGAGCTAGTGTAGGTCTTTCAAGACCGGTGTTATGTGGTCCCAGCGGCCGCCTCAAGTCACCAGTCTAGCTGCCGCATTCTGGATTAGTTGTAGAGTTAATTGTCACCCTTGTTACAGAGAGGCTTGGCTGTCCTACACCAGAGACAGCGCCTTCAGTTTCCCCCTGCGTAACGCTCTTTTAGCAGACATCACACAGAGGCATATTTGCTTCTTAGTGTTGGACATCCCTGGAACATGTCTGAAATGTCCACCTGGGCTGCCACTCATTTTAATGTTTCCCCTGCTCTGCTTTCAGCGTTTTTTTCTACCTTCTCGTTTTTATTTTCCTGCACCCTGCCCTGATGTGAGGGCTACATCACAGTATGATGAGCAGAGGCAGATCAGCAGCTACATCAGAGGCACTGGATTAAAAAAAAAAGAAATGCAGATCTTACTTAACATCACTTGTAGGGTTACAAGAAGTTTTGTAAGGAGGATTTTATAAATTATTGTGAAAAGGATTAAGATTAGCTGATGTAAGATTGGATTTATAGTAATAAGCATGGTACCAGGGACACGGGTGGCGCTGTGGGTTAAACCACAGAGCCTAGGGCTTGCCGATCAGAAGTTTGGCGGTTCGAATCCCCGCGACGGGGTGAGCTCCCGTTGCTCGGTCCCTGCTCCTCCCAACCTAGCAGTTCGAAAGCACGTCAAAGTGCAAGTAGATAAATAGGTACCGCTCCAGCGGAAAGGTAAATGGCGTTTCTGTGCGCTGCTCTGGTTCGCCAGAAGCGACTTAGTCCTGCTGGCCACATGACCCGGAAGCTGTACGCCGGCTCCCTCGGCCAGTAAAGCGAGATGAGCGCCGCAACCCCAGAGTCGGCCACGACTGGACCTAATGGTCAGGGGTCCCTTTACCTTCACCTTTACAGTCATACCTTGGGTTACAGACGCTTCAGGTTGCGTTTTTTCAGGTTACGGACACGCCAAAACCCGGAAGTACTGGAACAGGTTACTTCCGGGTTTCGGCGGTTACGCATGCGCAGAAGCGCTGAATTGCAACCCGCGCATGCGCAGACGTGCCGCTGCGGGTTGCGAACGTTCCTCCCACATGGATCACATTCGCAACCTGAGCATCCGCTGTCATAAGCAAAATTAGAAAGAAATTTAGAAAACCATTAGAAGGGCTTGAAGGAAGTCTTAGGCTGCGATAGCCAAAGATTTGTCATGTGGTTTCGGAGTTGTTATGTTGGAAAGTTTGTGCAAAAATCAATAACAATTATTTAAAAAGAAGAAGAACAGAAATGCAGATCTATTTAAATTTTTTTAAAGCCAGCCAAAGCAGGAAAGGGCTTTTTTCGGGCCGCACAGTGAAACACCAGGGCGGTTGTGGTTGGTTGACGGGGTGGACAAATGCACCCTCCGGGGTTGGGTTTGCCAACTCAGGTGTTCTCTGTCCAGTTACTCCCAGAGTCTGCGGGACTCCTGCCCTCTCCGCTGTAACCGCCTCTTGCTCTTCCAGGGCGTGGAGACGGTCAAGAAAGAGATCGACGAAAGTGTCCTGGGCCAGACGGGGCCTTACAAGCGGCCGGAGAGGCTCCGGAAGCGGACAGAGTTTGCTGGCGAGAGGCTGAAGGAAGAGAGGATATTTGAAGCCAACGAGTGAGTGATGGCTGGGAAGGGGGTGCGGTTTGCAGGGGTGTCTGGGTGCTGCCTGTTGCTTCCCTGGAGGCAGAAGCCTGGCGGCGTGCAGTAGAGGATGGGGGTCGATGGAGGCCGGGGGCAAGCTCTGGACCCTAGTATTGCTCTGACAGGGTCTTTGCTAGGAGCCCCTCTGTTACGGCTGCTGCTGGTCGTGGTAGGCAAGGCTGAAACGGATGGATGGGGGCTGTGACTTGTTGAAGGAGCATCTCCACCCCCATCGTTCTGCCCGGACGCTGTGGTCCAGCGCCGAGGGCCTTTTGGCGGTTCCCTCATTGCGAGAAGCAAAGCTACAGGGAACCAGGCAGAGGGCCTTTTCGGTAGTGGCGCCCGCCCTGTGGAACACCCTCCCATCAGATGTCAAAGAGATAAACAACTGCCTGACATTCAGAAGACATCTTAAGGCAGCCCTGTGTGACATCTTAGTGTATTTTTGGTATTTGTGGAAGCCACCCAGAGTGGCTGGGGAAACCCAGCCAGATGGGCGGGGTACAAATAATAAGTTGTTGTTATTATTATTATTATTATTATTATTATTATTGAAAAGCAGCTCCTCTCAGGGTGGGAAGAAGCTCAAGTGCTTTGCGTAGAGAAAGCCCCAGGTCCAGTCTCTGGCACTTTATTTATTTAATCTGCACACCGCCCCTAAACCCGCAAGGCTCAGGTTCACAGCATAAAATCACAATGTTAAAACATAAAATGCATATTATGTACTTAAACAGATCCTGCAATTGTCTAAGGGGCCCTGCTCCATGTGCCACCTCCTTGAGAGGTCCGGAGGGCGGCAACACGAGAACAGGACCTTTTATGTGGTGGCTCCCCGTCTGTGGAATTCCCTCCCCAGGGTGGCTCACCTGGTGCCTTTATTATACACTTTTAGGCACCAGGCAAAAGCATTCCTTTTCAACCAGGCTGATTGACATCCAATGCCCCTTTTAAAACGTGTTGGGGGTAAGGAAGGGATTATTGGGCTGCTCTCGTTTTTTTTATTTTTGCTATGCACGTTGTGCTTTTCCATTGTGCTTTATGCTACGAACCGCCCTGAGACCTGCAGGTATAGGGGGTATGGAAATTTAAAAATAATAATAATAATAATTTTATTCCTCCCTCCCCTTCATTGGCTCCTCCCCTTCTTCCAGGGAGGCGATGGGCGTTGTACTCCACAAGGACTCCAAATGGTACCAGCAGTGGAAGGAGTTCAAGGACAACAACGTGGTGTTCAACCGTAAGCGGCGCCTGCAGGGAGAGCTCCTCCCCGTGTCTTCTCCCCTGCTTGGTCCTGTAAACGCAGGCTGAGTTAGGCAGGGCCCAGTGCCATGCGTGAGGGAGGCAAGTGTCTCCACCCCCAGCGTTCAGCCCGGACACTGAGGTCCAGCTCCGAGGGCCTTCTGGCGGTTCCCTCACTGCAAGAAGTGAGGTTACAGGGAACCAGGCAGAGGGCCTTCTCAGTGGTGGGGCCCTCCCTGCGGGAAATTCCCTTATTCCAGCACTGCTTCCCGTTGCTATCCCAGATTGTTAGATATCCCGTAGGCTGTCCCCGGGACAGGTGAGGCTGCTGATCCCTTATTTTCAAATCTGAAAGCTGACAGACGTGCCTCCGTTGGCTCCCAGTACATTTCTGAGCACAATTCAAAGTGTTGGTGCTGACCTTGAAAGCCCTAAATGGCCTCGGTCCTGTATACCTGAAGGAGCGTCTCCATCTCCATCGTCCAGCCCGGACACTGAGGTCCAGCACCGAGGGCCTTCTGGCAGTTCCCTCCCTGCGAGAAGTGAGGTAACAGGGAACTAGGCAGAAGGATTTCCTGGTAGTGACGCCCTCCCTGTGGAACGCCCTCCCATCAGATGTCAAGGAAATAACTCTCTGACTTTTAGAAGACATCTGAAGGCAGCCCAGTTTAGGGAAGTTTTATCGTGTTTTTAATATTCTGTTGAGAGCTGCCCAGAGTAGCTGGGGAAACCCAGCCAGATGGGCGGGAAATAAGTAAGTAAGTAAGTAAGTAAGTAAGTAAGTCAGGCCTCATTGGGCCTCTTCACCTAGAGGAATGCCCCCATGCAGAGTGGATTTTTTTGGGGTGGTGGTGGAGGGAATGGGGCTGAGGCCGCTGCTGATTCTGTCCCCCTCCCCACAGGGTTCTTTGAAATGAAAATGAAATACGACGAGAGCGACAATGCCATCATCCGGGCCTCTCGTGTTGTGACGGACAAGGTGACAGACTTCATCGGTGAGTCTCTGTCCTTCCCTTTCCCCTTCAAGTGCCGCTGGCTGGCCCTATAGGGACGCGGGTAGTGCTGTGGTCTAAACCCCTGAGCCTCTTGGGCTTGCCGATCGGAAAGTCGGTGGTTCAAATCCCTGCGACGAGGTGAGGTGAGCTCCCGTTGTTCCGTCCAACCAGTAGTTCGAAAACAAGTAGATCAATAGGTACCACTGTGGCGGGAAGGTAAGTGGCGTTTCCATGCTCTCTGGTTTCCGTCACGGTGTCCCGTTGTGCCAGAAGCGGTTTAGTCCTGCTGGCCACATGACCCGGAAAGCTGTCTGTGGACAAACACTGGCTCCCTTGGCCTGAAAGCGAGATGAGCGCCACTACCCCATAGTCGCCTTTGACTGGACTTAACCGTCCAGGGGTCCTTTACCTTTTACCTTTGCCATCAGGTCTCCGTATGGTTCGCAAAGTACGGTAAATGGCTCTCCACCCCCCCTCTCTGCACAGAACTCCCTCTCTGACTAGAGTTGAAGCTCTGGGGCTGACGAGACCGGAGGGTGGGTGGAAAGGAAGCTGCGGCTGTTGCGCTACCCCACGTTTCAGCTGCTAGACGGCAGGGAGGCTGAGCAGTGTAAACAAAGCCCCATGGCGCGTCCAGTCCCTTTGGGGCTTCCTCTGCCCTCACTGACTTACTCTCCGGACTCCAGGAGGGTCTCCTCATGAGCCACAAGGACTCTCAAGCTCTCTCCCGCCATTTCCCGGTTCAAACCTATCTATCTGTTTCCCAGTAATGCACATTGTCGACTGCTCATAAGTGGGATGATGCCTGTATTGCATTGTGGTTTAGCGGTTGAAGTGTTGTCTAGGCACCTGTAGGAAGAAGCCCACTTGTGTCTCTCTCTGGCTTCTTCCAGATGCCGCGCACAGGGTTTCTCCCCTCCATCCCATGGTCTTAAGGACTAACAGCTTGGTTTTTCACGGCATAGGGAAGCAAAGCTGAGAGTTTTGGATCGCTGAGTGATTCTTCTGTTAGGATATAGTTCCGTTCCACCTTAGAAGAAACAGGCATGACTGTTGTGTGTCACACGCCTGCTTACTTCCAGCACAGTCTGCTGGGAACTTCCGTTTGTATATGGCTTTTGCTATCCGGTTGTTTGCTTGGACACGAAGCAGACATGTTTCTTCCTTTGTTCCTGAACTATGCTGAATAAAGGTAAAGGTAAAGAGACCCCTGACCATTAGGTCCAGTCGTGGCCGACTCTGGGGTTGCGGCGCTCATCTCGCTTTACTGGCCGAGGGAGCCGGCGTACAGCTTCCGGGTCACGTGGCCAGCATGACTAAGCCGCTTCTGGCGAACCAGAGCAGTGCACGGAAACGCCGTTTACCTTCCCACTGGAGCGGTACCTATTTATCTACTTGCACTTTGACGTGCTTTCGAACTGCTAGGTTGGCAGGAGCAGGGACCGAGCAGCAGGAGCTCACCCCATTGCGGGGATTTGAACCGCCGACCTTCTGATCGGCAAGTCCTAGGCTCTGTGGTTTAACCCGCAGCGCCACCCGCGTCCCTTATTGTGCTGAATAAACGCCTGTAAATAATGCTTACTCATGTCTCTGTCCGCCACTTCCATTGTGAAGATTTATTCACACTGCTGATAAGAGTGTGTCAGGTCTCTACAGGTCCCTGAGGCTTGTGTCGCTGATTGATGCTGTTCCGAAAACCGGAGTTCGCCCGGCTGCCGGCCGGTGGCTGGAGCCAGCTGGGGGGGCCTGTCAAATGCCCCCGTCTCCCCAGACGCATCCCAACATCTTCACCCATCCCTTTGGCCCCACAAATAAGCCCTTGCTTAAAGTCGAGGCCTCCTGAAGCCCTGGCCCTTTTTCTCACACACCCCCAACGTCACTCTGAATCCCCTCCAAATGCCAACCCTCTGTTGCCTCTGATTGTATCGGCAGGCGGGCTGTTCTCCAAGACTGAAATGTCGGGGGTCCTGACCGAGATCCTCCGCGTCGACCCAAACTTCGACAAGGACCGCTTCCTCAAGCAGTGCGAGGACGACATCATCCCCAACATCCTAGAGGCAGGTCTGGGGTGCGGGTGGGGAGAGACGGCTGGGGTGCAAGGGTGTCTTGTGTGCCTAAGCAGCGAGGGAGGGGTGGGTCGCTTAAAGGCAGCAATGTGGGAAGTGGCCCTGGCATCACAGCTGTTAAAACAGAGAAATCCGAGGGCTCCCTTGGACAAAAACAAAGACACCAACCAGGATAACTTGGAGCAAAACAGCAGCCTGTAGGCTTGGCCTTTATTGGATACTGTCGCGACAGGACTCCCACCCGCAACAAGATGAAGCAAAATGGAAGTCCAGAACAAAAGAAGACCCCAACTTTTATTAGTTACAAATCCCCCAAACTACACCCCTATGACTACATCACAACTACGGCACAACCACATCACAAAAAGGAGGGGTTGAGGGAGGAGTTGTGGAGGTAACCTGAGTATCTTGTCACCTGGCTGGTTCCTCCTTTCCCCCCTCCCCATGAGTACTTTCCAGGTGACAGAGGGGAGTTTGCAGTTTCCTGCCCCCAAAGGGAAGAGCTGATCATTGTCCTTTGTTCCAGTCCGCGCTGAATCCACTCCTATATGCAAGTTCTTGTGACCTTGATGGTCTTCTGTCTGGGACCATCAGGGTTGGCGTAGCAACTGGGCAGGGCCTCAAGGGATGCTCAAGGGATTATGGCTGCCCTGTATCAAACCTTCCCCATTTTGTAGTCCTTCCTTCATGGAGTAAAATAAAAGTGGAACAGTGCAGATCCGATGTATGGTTGATTTTCTATGAATTTATAACAGAAGCGTAGTGTGTGTTGTCAAATTTGTACAAACTGAATGATGGGGGGGGGGCGGTTTTCCTGTGACACAGCAGAAAGAGAGAGAGTCAACTGATGGCTTTCAGGAAGGTGTCCAAGTCCAGAGAAAGGAGGGGTGAGGCAGGATCTTTCTCTATTCATTTTTATTTATTTATTGAATTTATATACCACCCTATACCCGGAGGTCTCGGGGCAGTTCAAAGGAACGAAAACAATCTCTGTCTGGAGTCAGGGCCCAGGAGCCAGAGGCTGGCTGGCTTTTCCCTGTCTTTCCGGCATCTGTGCTCTCCTGCAGTTACACAAGCACAGTAAAACAGCAAAAGCAAAACATAAAAAAACACCTTAAGCTGAAAGTGCTGTCCTTGCCCAATGGAACTGATACATACGAGAAGGAAAGGGTCCCTTGCAAGGAATTAGAGGACAAGAGGGAATGGCAGGGGGTTGTACTTTTAGGTGTGTTTTTAATATTCTGTTGGGAGTCGCCCGGAGTGGCTGGGGAAGACCCAGCCAGATGGGCGGGGTATAAATAATAAATTATTATTATTGTTGTTGTTATTTATTTCTTACCGTATTTTTCGCTCCATAGGCCGCACCGGACCATAGGGTGCACCTAGTTTTGGGAGGAGGAAAACAAGAAAAAATTATTCTGAATCCCAGAAGCCAGAACAGCAAGAGGGATCTGGCTTCTGGGATACCGTGTGGCTGTTCTGGCTTCTGGGACAACCGCGCCAAGCCTCTTCAGGGCAGCGGGATGAAGGCTCCCCCTGCCTGAAGAGGCTGCGCAGGGCTAAGGCAGAAGCCAGGACAGGCGCGTCACTGAAGGGGCGCTGCCCCTTCAGCGAAGCTGGAGAAGGAACAGAAGGAGACCCTTCTGTTCCTCCTCCGGCTTCCAGGTCAGGTGCGTCGCCGCGAAGCCAAGGAGCCTGCATTCGCTCCATAAGACGCACACACATTTCCCCTTCATTTTTGGAGGGGAAAAAGTGCGTCCTATAGAGCGAAAAATACGGTATATTACTAGATGACTCTTGGTTTCCCAACTCTACAGTTCTCTGATTTTACGACCTTTATTAGAACTCGGATGCAAGGAAGAGAGTTTGGGGAAAGTTTTAGATTTAGGAATATCGGAACCTGCCTCGTACAGTGTCAGGTTCATTGGTCCATTTGACTCAATATTGTCTACCCAGACTGGCAGCAGCTCTCTGGGGTTTAGAGCAGAGCAGCATTCCTACCTCTACCTGGAGATGCTGGAGTGTGTGTGTGTGTGTTGAACCTAGGACCTCTCCATGCCAAGCAGTCCCTCTACTCCGAGCCTACAGCCCTTAGGACCTTCGTGTACTCTCCGTTGTCCTTCTGCTTGTCCCTCTGTGGTTGCAGCTCCTTGTGTGTGATTCTCTGTTGCCTCTCCTCCTTTCTTTAGGCCATTATAACCGGAGACCTGGACATCCTCAAGGACTGGTGTTACGAGGCGGTGAGTGTTTGCCCCGGGAGATGGCGTGGTTGGTCCTGGCGGGGTTCGTGGGTGGTGGCCATCTTTCCATCCTGACATTCAGGAGTGTCCCAAAAAACGTTGCGAGGACATGAGAGCTCACACATTGCTCGCACGCTTCCCAAAGGCTCCTGGCTAGCCTCTACAAGAAGGTACCGTATTTTTCGCTGTATAAGACGCACCAGACCATAAGACGCACCTAGTTTTTGGAGGAGGAAAACAAGGAAAAAAATATGCCGAATCCCAGAAGCCAGAACAGCAAGAGGGATCGCTGCGCAGCGAAAGCAGCTATCCCTCTTGCTGTTCCGGCTTCTGGGATAGCTGCGCAGCCTGCATTCGCTCCATAAGACGCACACACATTTCCCCTTACTTTTTAGGAGGGGAAAAGTGAGTCTTATAGAGCAAAAAATACGGTAGGTTGCCAGATTACATCCAAGGATGCTCTTTTTAACTTTGTGTGCATGGGCAGTGGCGTAGCGTGGTGGCGGGCCCCCGGGGCAGTTGCCCCAGGTGCAGAATTGTCAGGGCGCAAAAATTCAACACCCGGCGCTGCCTCCATACAGCTGGGTTCCGTTGAAAACGGCTTCTCCTTTCGAACCAGGGACAAGAACAACTCTTCTTACCTCTGTCAAGGAATTCTACTCAATATTGATCCAGAGCAGAACTCCGACGTATAGCTAGCAGAGTAAAACTTAAACCCGTTGTGCAGGATTCCCAAAAACAGACTAGAGGCAATTGTATTTCACCCAGCAGAGTTTTACTGCTACTGAAGGCAAATAACAACAACAACAACAACAACAACTTATTATTTATACCCCGCCCATCTGGCTGGGTTTCCCCAGCCACTCTGGGCAGCTTCCACAGAGACCTGTCACACATTAAAAACTTCCCTGAACGGGGCTGCCTTAAGATGTCTTCTGAATGTCAGGTAGTTGTTTATCTCTTTGACATCTGATGGGAGGGCGTTCCACAGGGCGGGCGCCACCACCGAGAAGGCCCTCTGCCTGGTTCTCTGTAGCTTTGCTTCTCACAGTGAGGGAACAGCCAGAAGGCCCTCGGCGCTGGACCTCAGCGTCCAGGCAGAACGATGGGGGTGGAGACGCTCCTTCAGGTATACTTGACCGAGGCCCATAATGGTCACAAATCCAATACATTCAGGATTGGCCCTGTCCATAAGAAATTGGCCCAGTTGCAGCAGACTTAAACTGACAATAACTTATAATAAGACTGAAACCTTAACACTAAGCATACTATGTACAGAACACCACACCAGAAGGAGAAGAGATAGAAACAGAAAGTGAAGCCCAGTCTCCTTCTGGCCTGACTCTTATAGTCAGCATGACCTTGACAGAAGAGGTAACAGAACCGGTTTAAACCAGCTGTATTCCGCTTCTCTGAAGGAATAACCCAAACATCACGAACCTTCTGCTTGTTCCTTTCACACAGAAGCTTCCAGAACCCTCGTGAATTAAGTAGACTGGGAAAGATCAGATCAATACTTTCTGCACTAAGAAATGCAGACCGACAACCTCTGCAGCTGTGATCTGTGTGGCGCAGACGTTGTTAGGCCGTTAAATGCGCATGCGTACTCAGTCCATTTTCCTCCTCCTGTTCAGTCACAGGCACTGGCAGCCCAGGCTACACCACTGCACACAGGTCCCGCTGTCTTCCTGCTCAGTATGCGAAAATTCATATATCCGCACACAAGGAATTATGCCCAAACTTCACTATAAACACCGCAAAGTTAATTTGCTTTCTTCCATGTTTTTCCTTGCTTGTTTCTGCCCTGCTGCTTGGTGGCACCCATTTTTGAGCAGAAACAATGGAAGGAGGGAGCGAGATCAGATAAACTGAAAGACCAGGAGAGACCCAGAAAGTTACCGTATTTTTCGCTCCATAAGGCACACTCTTCCCCTCTTAAAAAGTAATGGGAAATGTGTGTGCGTCTTACGGAGCGAATGCAGGGGGAGGCAGGCAGGAAAAGCCCCAAGCTCCGTGCGGCTCTTGGGGGCTTTTCCCCAGGAGGGAGAAGGGACTGACGCAGCCACCCAGTCCCTTCTCCCTCCTCGTAGAAAAGCCCGCAGAAGCCGCACGCTCCTTAAAGGCTGTGCGGCTCCTGTGGGCTTTTGCGGGAGGTGGGGGAATTGCCATAGCTGCGCGCAGCCTCTCCCGGCTGGAGAGGTTGCGCGCAGCTAAAGAGGAAGCCAAGACAGCCAGCAGGATGGATCTTTGCTCTTTGGGGCGGTGGGGGGGGGGGACCCGGGCTTCCCCCTGCAGCCCCGAGAAGCTCTGGGAGAAGCGGACAGGCTTTCCCCCCCTTGATTTCCCCCTCTAAAAACTAGGTGTGCCTTATGGAGCGAAAAATACGGTAGTTTCCCCTGTTGTCACTCTTTTGTTGGTTGGCTGCAGTCATTACAGGAAGAAACCATTGAGAAAGGGGGCTGATCTGGAAAAACCAGCTGCCTCCTTCCGGCCCTGGTGGCTGCTGGGCTGCTGCTGCCTGTTCCACAGTGTTGAAAAGCTGATATTGCCCAGCGATGGGCGATGGGAGAGACCCAAGTGCGCCGCCTTGAGGTCCTTGAAAGAAAGGGTTATATATATAAATTTAATAAATAAATACTATGGGAAAAACTTCTTTCAGACTTACAGCCAACTGGCACACCCGATTCAGCAAGCGAAAGTGATGGGGCTTCAGTTCCACTCCAGGATTTTGGACGTCGACAATGTAGACGTGAGTGCCTGCCCCTCTTTCTTGGCCTGGACTGGGACATCTGGCAGTCAAAGGTCCAGTGTGGTGTAGTGGTTAAGAGCGGTAGTCTCGTAATCTGGGGAACTGGGTTCGCGTCTCCGCTCCTCCACATGCAGCTGCTGGGTGACCTTGGGCTAGTCACACTTCTCTGAAGTCTCTCAGCCCCACTCACCTCACAGAGTGTTTGTTGTGGGGGAGGAAGGGAAAGGAGAATGTTAGCCGCTTTGAGACTCCTTTGAGTAGTGATAAAGCAGGATATCAAGTCCAAACTCTTCTTCTTCTTCTTTCGCTCCCTCCTGTCCAGTGGCAGAGTCTTAATAGCAGAGCCTGGAGAGGAGGAGAGCTGGAAGAGCGCAATAGCCTCGCAACTGCCTCATTAGGACGCTGGTGGCGCTGTGGTCTAAACCACTGAGCCTCTTGGGCTTGCCGATCCGAAGGTCGGCGGTTCAAATCCCCGTGACAGGGTGAGCTCCCATTGCTCTGTCCCAGCTCCTGCCAACCTAGCAGTTTGAAAGCACACTGGCACAAGTAGATAAATAGGCACCACTGCAGCGGGAAGGTAAACGGCGTTTCCATGCCCTCTGGTTTCCGTCCCGTTGCACCAGAACCGGTTTAGTCCTGCTGGCCACATGACCCAGAAAGCTGTCTGTGGACAAACGCAGGCTCCCTCAGCCTGAAAGCGAGATGAGCGCCACAACCCCATAGTCGCCTTTGACTGGACTTAACCGTCCAGAGGTCCTTTTACCTATTAGGCCAACACCTACTGGGAACAGTTGCTTGCGCTGTCTTGCCTTCTTTGAATAAAGAGCTAACTTCACTGACGCCATGGTTTTTTCTTAATCACTGAACTACACTTGGCGTGGGACGTGGGTAGCGCTGTGGGTTAAACCGCGGAGCCTAGGACTTGCTGATCAGAAGGTCGGCCGTTCAAATCCCCGTGATGGGGTGAGCTCCCATTGCTCGGTCCCTGCTCCTGCCAACCTAGCAGTTCGAAAGCACCTCAAACTGCAAATAGATAAATAGGTACCACTCTGGCGGGAAGGTAAACGGCGTTTCAGTGCGCTGCTCTGGTTCGCCAGAAGCGGCTTAGTCATGCTGGGCACATGACCCGGAAGCTGTACACCGGCTCCCTCGGCCAATAAAGCGAGATGAGCGCCGCAACCCCAGAGTCAGCCACGACTGGACCTAATGGTCAGGGGTCCCTTTACCTTTACCTATATTTAGCTAAATATGTTAAGATAACTTAATTGGAAAAGCTTGCAAAGAATAGATAGGCTTAGGATTTAAATACGTAAGCATAAGATTTAAGATGTTTAAAGTTACCGTAAATTAGAAAGAATGAAAGATGTTAAGCAATCAAGTTAAGTTTTTGAGAAAATCAATTTTGGAAAACTTAAAATGATATATAATGAAATTCAGCCAAGGGGATTTGAGGAAGTCACTTAATAATGTTACCAAGATTTAAACAGGATGTATGTATGTATGTTTGTTTATGTGTGTGTATGTTTGTTTGTTTTGAATTTTTGAAAATTTATTTAAAAAATTGGAAGAAAAAAAAGAGCCTTGCGCTCTATCGACCGAGCTACCGAGCACCGCTATGGACTAGTAACTTGAAGTTTTTCTCCGCTTTGCAGCTCGCGATGGGCAAGATGATGGAGCAGGGACCCGTCTTGATCATCACTTTCCAAGCTCAGTTAGTCATGGTGATCAAAAACCAGAAAGGGGAAGTCGTGGAAGGAGACCCGGTGAGTAAAATTTCCCTTGCGCACTCAGATCTTGTTAGCTGCCTTTATTTAACCTTCTGTTGTATCCAACCTGCTGGGCTAGGCTAGACAGACCTCTCCTGACAGACGGGTTCCCAAAGCAACTGTGATTACCGTACTTTTCCATGTATAAGGCTATGTTTTTTGCTTTAAAAAGCATGCTAATAAGTGGGGGTCGTCTTATACATGGACAGTTCATAGGGTGGACATTTGATTGGCGGCTGTCAGCGGCTATTGTGCATGTTATTGGTTGCTGTGTCAGCGGGTGGTGTTGATTGGTTGACGCTCCGGCAGTTGGGCGGGCGATTGGCAACTTCTGTTGGCGATGGGAGGTGGATTTTCTGACACATGCGGGTGAGCGATTTTTTGCAATTCCCCGTACGAAAAGTTCAACAACTCTGGGCCATCTCCCCCCATTTTCTTAAATTTGAGTCCCCCAAAATACTCTTATACATGGGTGCGTCTTATAGACGAAAAGGTACGGTATTATCAAATAGCAGGGTGCTGCCCGTTAGGATTATAACCTCTTTACAACCTCATGTTCCTGCAGCTTAGTTAGATGAACTTTTGCCTAAAAACAAAGGAATGAACCGTCATTTCCAAATCTTTTTTTTGGGGGGGGGGGAAGGTCACCCCGAAATCAATGAACCAGTTTTTGTATGTGTAACTGTATTATGCAATGTGCATAGCATGCGTACAGGAAAAGCAGAGCTTGCAAGTTTTCTAATACCTGTACGGCGCTTTGCACATCGTACATCGCCTATTATTGTTTAGATTAAACCGAGGTGGCGGTTTGTCTTTTGTTTCCGTTGCATTCGACGCAATGTTCCCGCCTCACTTGGATTGCGCATTCTGCGCGCACCGATTACTTCTTGGGAATCCAGAGTAGGATGGCTCCTGCTTCCGGCGATTCTCCCAATACAGGTTTAGGAAGTCTCAGGCAGCTGCAAAAGTTCTAAACAGTTCCATAAAGTTTTAAAAAATACTTATGAGTTATATGCATGGCGATTCCAGCTTTTCATTCCGGAGTTCATTTCATCCCGAGCTTTTCATTCCGGTGTGACTTTTTTCACAACTGAGAAGAACTACCGTATTTTTTGCTCTATAAGATGCACTTTTTCCCTTCTAAAAAGTAAGGGGAAATGTGTGTGTGTGTCTTATGGAGCGAATGCAGGCTACGTGGCTAAGCCAGAAGCCAGAACAGGGAGAGGGAGGCTTCACGGGCTGCCCCAGAAGCCAGAACAGTGAGATGGAGCGCTGCGCAGCGCTCCATCTCGCTGTTCTAGCTTCAGGGTTAGCGGCGCAAAGCCTCCGCAGGGCAGCAGGGTGCCTTCATCCTGCTGCCCTCCGGAGGCTTCGCGGGCTGTCCCAGAAGCCTCCACAGGGCACGGGGATGAAGGCTCCTCGTGCCCTGCGGAGGCTTCGCGCAAAGCTAGACCAGCTATCCCAGAAGCCAGAACAGCAAGAGGCTATCCCAGAAGCCAGATCCCTCTTGCTGTTCTGGCTTCTGGGATTCAGAATTCCCCCCCCTTATTTCCTCCCCCCCAGACTAGGTGCGTCCTATCATCTGGTGCGTCTTATAGAGCGAAAAATACGGTAGTCCCTTTCCCAGTGTTTCTGATACAGGAAATTGTGGGGTGGGGGGGTGGGGGAAGGGAGTCAAAAAGTTATAACCCTAGTCCCCATGCCGCGATGTGAACTGGCCTTAACTCTGAACGTCCCCCCGTTGCAGGAGAAGGTTCTACGGATGCTTTACGTTTGGGCCCTCTGCAGAGACCCGGACGAGCTCAACCCTTACGCCGCCTGGAGACTGCTGGACATTTCTGCATCAAGCACTGAGCAGATCTTATGAGCTCGGCGTCTCCTCTGCCCGCCTCTGCCAGAAGACGGGAGCAGCGCTTCTTTCCTCGCACGGAGGCCAGACAGGAGGGCAACTCGGGTGTGGCGCTGCTTTGCCGGGGACGCGGGAGTGCCAACTCCAAGGCCGACAGCGGGGAAAGACAGCGGGGCATGGGGTGTTTCCTTGACACTGGAGCAGTGTGCCAAACTCTTGTTCTCGGGGAGGACAAGCGAGGAAAGACCCCCGCTTCGGATTGCGGCGCTAAGGAGTCTGAGGTGCACTTTGCCAAAGCAGCCCGGCTCGATGTCCCCATTCCCCCTGCGCTTCGGGCGACAACCTGGCCTTCGCGGTGCCCACCCGGCAGCAGAACCAAAGAGGCGCTCGTTTGCCACGCCACCCTGTTTTTTGCAGGTGGATGTCAAAGGCCCGAACTACGGTTGCGGAGGAAGGGGAACGGCTCTATGGGGCAGGGGAAGTTCTTTCAGCTTGGGTTGCTGCTCCGGGGAATGGAGGGTCCTGTCGTCGTCCCCCCACAGTTGTCCTTCCGCTGCAAGCTTGGCACATGGAGCAGTTGGGAGGGGGCTACAGCTGTGAGGGGTTGTGACAGCCCTCAGCCCCAAGACACACACACACACACACCCTGCCTGCCCCAAACACTCGGATTTGGCCTGATCTGGGCACGTGGTATCATGGCAATAGATTCTTCTACCACCTCTGTAAATTAAATACGTATATCCAGCTTGCTTGTCCCAGTGTCTTTGTATGGTGGGGGTGGGGGGGTCAGAGCGAGCAGCTTGACCAGCTGTCCTGCCATGGGGCTGGCTCCACGTACAGGCAGCGGTCTAAACCACTGAGCCTCTTGGGATTGCTGATCCAAAGGTCGGCGGTTCGAATCCCCGTGACGGGGTGAGCTACCGTTGCTCGGTCCCTGCTCCTGCCAACCTAGCAATTCGAAAGCACGCCAGTGCAAGTAGATAAATAGGTACCACTCCGGCGGGAAGGTAAACGGCATTTCCGTGTGCTCTGGTTTCCGTCACGGTGTCCCATTGCGCCAGAAGCGGTTTAGTCCCGCTGGCCACATGACTCAGAAAGCTGTCTGCGGACAAACGCCGGCTCCCTCGGCCTGAAAGCGAGATGAGCGCCTCAACCCAATAGTCGCCTTTGACTGGACTTAACCGTCCAGGGGTCCTTTACCTTTTTTTACAGGCAGGCAGGAAGTACCCAATTCTGGCATGGCGTTTTAGCAGCGGGGTGGGAGTCTTGCCAAGAGATTTAAAAGTTTTGAAACTTTTGAAAAGTTTTGAAGCTTTTTCTTTCGGTGGTGGTGTGGGGGTACGTTCATAGAATTGTAGAGTTGGAAAGGACGTACAGTGCAGGAATCTCGAACCCAGAGCCCTGAAACTAAGAATCTCGTGCTCTACTGACTAGAGCCGGGTGATATATTCTGAGAAATGGTCCGACGCCGGTACGGCATTCAGATCGTGATACCGTTTTCAGACAATTTGAGCCGGCGATACAAAGACGCTTTGCGTTAGAGGAGATTGCCTTTGCAAAAAAAAAGTATAATTTGGCAAAACTGCGTACAATAATTTGCAAAAAATAACAATGGTGGGTTTGATGCAAACTTTAAAAAAAAATAATAATCTCGAACTGATGTGGAAATGTAGAAAACAACTTAAGGTTGGGAAAACTGGAAAACGGAGAGAAAGTGAAGGGTTATCTTGACCCTCTAACCACTGTGCAACACTGTGCTACAGGGAGGAGGCTGCTGGATGAGGATGGCGATTTTAGTACCTTCCCTTCACCATTAGGTAGCTTAAAAAAGTAAAGGTACCCCTGACCATTAGGTCCAGTCGCGGGCGACTCTGGGGTTGCGGCGCTCATCTCGCTTTACTGGCCGAGGGAGCCGGCGTACAGCTTCCGGGTCATGTGGCCAGCATGACTAAGCCGCTTCTGGCGAACCAGAGCAGCGCATGGAAACGCCGTTTACCTTCCCGCCAAAGCGATACCTATTGATCTATTTGCACTTTGACGTGCTTTCGAACATCTAGGTTGGCAGGAGCAGGGACCGAGCAACGGGAGCTCACCCCGTTGCGGGGATTCAAACCGCCGACCTTCTGATCGGCAAGTCCTAGGCTCTGTGGTTTAACCCACAGCGCCACCCGTGTCCCTTATGAGGTAGCTTACAACAATCTAAAATAAAGTTTAAAACAATTTGCAGTCACAAAAGTAGGGCGGGTCCTTTAAAAAATGTACATCTTGGGTGTCAAAAGGTCTTAGGGTGTGTCTTCCACATTTGCAGAAAACTGTAAAAGTTTCCAGGCAGAAATTCCCCTTCCTCTTGCCCCATTGCACTTAATTATTACAGGTTTTAACAAGCGACATTAAGAAAGCAGCAAGGTGCAACTTGACAAAGTCAGCAGATCGGTGCAAATGCAGGAGTGTAGTTTACCTAATTCAGCTGGAAAAAACAAACAAACAGAGCATTAAAGAAGGAGTTAATTAATTCCTGAGGCGCCCATTCTGAGCTGATGAATCATACCTCTTTTGCGATCGTGTCTTTCAGGGGCTTAATGAACAATCATAAAAAGTTTTTTTTAATGCAGATGGAATCTGCTTCTTGAAGAAGAAAAGCAAGACACTTCCTACCCCCCCCCCCCATGTAAAGTGTAAGAAAGGAGAAGTGATAGATGAGTAGAAAATGATGCACAGCATCTAGAAATGTTTTTATCCCTCGCTTAAGACACTGGAATTATCCACCTGTCCCTCCTTCTGAATGATCTATCCCTCGCTCAGAATTATCACTATGACACTGGGATTATCCACCAGTCCCTCCTTCTGAATGATCTATCCCTCGCTCAGAATTATCACTATGACACTGGGATTATCCACCTGTCCCTCCTGAATGATCTGTCCCTCACTCGGGATTAATACTGTGACACTGGAATTATCCACCAGTCCCTCCTTCTGAATGATCTATCCCTCACTCGGGATTATCATTGTGACCCTGGGATTATCCACCTGTCCCTCCTTCTGAATGATCTATCCGTTGCTCAGAATTATCACTATGACGCTGGGATTATCCTCCTGTCCCTCCTTCTGAATGATCTATCCCTCGCTCGGGATTATCACCATGACACTGGAATTACCCACTTGTCCCTCCTTCTGAATGATCTATCCCTCGCTCAGGATTATCACTAGGCGTGCTGACTCAGGAGGGAGATTTGGGGGGCTGATGTTGCACGTCACATCCACGGGTCTTGTGCGATGTCGAGCATGATGCGCGGTGGCTCCTGCGCCTCCTGCCATGGAGGGGAAGCAGCCTCCGGCCCCTGGCAGTGGCAAGAGAAGGTGCAGCCACATTCTTGGGCATTGCACGCAACAGAGCGGCGATGTCACATGCAATGCCCAGACGAACATTGTGGAGGCTCATTCCCCCTCTAGCAAATATTGGGGGGCTCAAAGGGGTTCAGCCCCTCTGAATCAGCGCCCCCAGATTATCACCCCCCCCCCAGATGTAGCTGTGTTTGGCTCTCCTTTGGACCGAACCCACACTCTTCCTCCCCACGATGAGCTCCAGGATTCTCTGGTAACGGGTCCAGACAATTTATGCCGTCAGCGGGCAGCTATTGCATGTCACGGAGGAGTTGGCAGACGAAGATTAAACGATCAAATGAAGATTTAATAAGGAAGTTGGCAGAAGAGGACATCTGGTCTTCCCAGGGCAAAGCAGTCACTGGGATTTTTGGGGGGAGGGTGGGGGGAAGGCAGGCAAGTGGGAGAAGTCGTCCCTTAAACACTCAGCAAATTGCTTTTCAGCGTGAGAGTGTCTCGTTTTGCTGATAGCAGGAAAAGAGCAGAGTAACTCAAGAGCAACATGGCAAAGTCCAGCAAGTTACTGACATATTTATGACTCGGCTGGCTGGGTGGAGAAAAGATGGTGTTTAATAGCCGGGGGGTGAGCAACAAAGCTGCAAAACAAAACAATTTGGCGGGGGCTCCGGGCTTGCTGGACATCAAAAACCGCTATTTCATGATCGATAGCAGGAATCACAAGTTTTACAGGAGTGAGCACATGGAGGGAAGAGGTTCTGGAGGACGCCGTCGGAGGATTAAAACCTTGGGAAGCAGCTATTTTTGAGTTGCACAGCGGCCAGCAGAATTTATCTGTTTTTACACTTGGCTCTCCAAGATTTCAGGTGGGAGTTTTTCTCCCAGCACCAACTGAAGGTGCCAGGGCTGGGTGTTCATCAGAATGCGGATGATACCCAGCTTTACCTCTCTCTTAAATCAGAACCAGTGAAGGCGGTGAAGGTCCTGTGTGAGTGTCTGGAGGCGATTGGAGGATGGATGGCGGCTAACAGATTGAGGTTGAATCCTGACAAGACAGGAGGACTGTTTTGGGGGCACAGGGGGCGGGCAGGTGTAGGGGACTCCCTGGTCCTGAATGGGGTAACTCTGCCCCTGAAGGACCAGGTTGCAGCCTGGGAGTCATTTTGGACCCACAGCTGTCCATGGAGGCACAGGTCAATTACTCTGCATCCAGAGCAGCTGTCCAGCTCCATCTCAGACCCTCCCTGCCCGCAGACTGTCTCGCCAGAGTGGTGCATGCTCTGGTTATCTCCCGCTTGAACTACTGCAATGCGCTCTATGTGGGGCTGCCTTTGAAGGTGACCCAGAAACTACAACTAATCCAGAATGCAGCAGCTAGACTGGGGACTAGGAGCAGCCGACAAAAGAACTACACTGGCTCCCAGGACGTTTTCGAGCACAATTCAAAGCGTTGGTGCTGACCTTTCAAGCTCTCAATGGCCTCAGCCTAGTATCCCTGAACCCTCATCGTTCTGCCCGGACACTGAGGTCCAGCTCCGAGGGCCTTCTGGCGGTTCCCTCCCTGCGAGAAGAGAGGTTACAGGGAACCAGGCAGAGGACCTTCTTGGTGGTGGCGCCCTCCCTGTAGAACACCCTCCTGTCAGATGTCAAGGAAGAAACCAACTATCTTGACTTTTAGAAGACATCTGAAGGCAGCCCTGTTCAGTGAAGTTTTTAATGTTTGATGTTTTATTGTATTTTTAATATTTTGTTGCTTCTAGCCTAGAGATGGAGGGAAGAAGTACCAACAAAAGAAGAATGGCAGACTAAACTGATGGAGTATGTGGAGATGGCGAAGTTGACGGGGAAGATCAGAAACCAGGCAGATCAAGCATTTTCAAAAGACTGGAGTAAATTCTTTGTATATTTAAAAGACCACCGTAAAGAGTTAAAATCATTGGCAGGGATGTAATGACACCTGTAATGTGGAACTAACTATGGACATATAACAGATGGATAATGGTAAAAAATGCAGAAAATTTTATTTTAAATATGGAATCCATGGAGGAGGGAAGGAGGTCCGAAGCTTTTAAAGAAGCTTTTATTTTGTTTGAAATTGATAAAAGTTTAAATGTATAAAAAGGTAAAGGGACCCCCTGACCATTAGGTCCAGTCGTGACTAACTCTGGGGTTGCGGCAATCATCTCGCTTTATTGGCCAAGGGAGCCGGCGTACAGCTTCCGGGTCATGTGGCCAGCATGACTAAGCCGCTTCTGGCGAACCAGACCAGCGCACGGAAACACCGTTTACCTTCCCGCCAGAGTGGTACCTATTTATCTACTTGCACTCTGACGTGCTTTCGAACTGCTAGGTTGGCAGGAGCAGGGACCGAGCAACAGGAGCTCACCCCGTCGCGGGGATTTGAACC